CCTTCAAGTTATTTCCGAAGGTGACCTTTTTCCATCTTTCTCTCTGCCTTTGTTTGGCTCACCAGCTACCATAGTAATAGTGGTCAATAAGAGAAGAGGTGTAAAAATTCTCTTTCTGAGTATACTAGCGCCTGTCCCCAGCAAATCGTCGTTGATCGTGGGCAGAGCTTGTTGAGGTCACGAGAGGTAGTATACACAAGCAGAAGGAGAGTTCCCAACGAAGTCCGATCTCATCAATCACATGCAATATCTCGCACGGGGCGGGTTTTGTGCGCTACCCCGCCAAATTTCCCCCTACACTACTTTCCTTCTGTCTGAACCCCGGACTTATTGATTGGTCCCCAGATCAACAAGAGACATCATGACAGGTTGATATGTAGCAGGTACTAATCATGTTATGAGACGGAGTCTCCCAACCCTAGCACTCGCATAGCGGGAGAATTCAGGGCCTCGTTCCTTTCTCGTGTGAAGGTGGTCGGAGAAACTGCCTCCAATGGCTTTGATGTGTTCCTCAAACTATACAAACGGAAGCGATGAAAAAGTATTTTTTGCGTAATTCGAGATTGTGGAACCCAAGCATTTCAGTGGCCCGGCAACAGGGTGTTCCCACATTATTTTGTAGCGCGCCAAGGTATCAAGACCTACGCTACTACCGCCCCGCCGCAGCACCCACAGCAACACCAAACGGGCCCAACTTCCCAAAGGTCATCATTATGCGAAATAAATTCAGTCCTTCCTGTCCATCTTCTGAATCAAACGCCAATGACAGAGTGAGGCGCGTTTCACCTCGCGAGGACATGTCTCTTCGGTGGTCTCCCGCCTCTGAAAATACATAGCCCGGTCGCCGGTCCATGGCGTCGGCCACATCACGGACAGAGACACTACACTAGTGTAATCCAGACCGGGCACTCTGCCCGTTCGGTAGTGTCTGTCGCAGCATCATCAAGATCGTCTCCGTCGGCACCTAAAACAGTTCCAGAACCGTCCCCCGAGCCTAGGCAATTCCACATCGGGAATCCACCCTTTGCTTTTTTAGGCGAGCCACGGACTGTGCCGCCACGGCGTGACGACATCCCGTGGTCGTGTGCTTTCTCTTCACATGTCGATGTTGTTGTTATTGTTGATATTTATCCTTGTTGTTACCCGCTTCACACATTCGATTTTCAGGGGAGTTAACCAACGATCCATCCGTCTTGGACTTCTAGATTTGGCTCTACCGAGGCTCATGACCTAGGTTAGTTTAGCTCAAGCTTATTCAACATCACACCTCGAGTGACATCGACTGGACTCATCTCCCTGCCAACACTGAGCACAGAGTAAATACCTGAGCACTTTGACATCTACGCAATCAAGCTGCAATGGAGAAGTCTAAACCAGGCTAATTTTGTAATACAGCCTCATAGACGTTATTACCCTATTTTACACAGCTTCACTGTACATGTTACTGTGCCGCCATGAGCCACCCGTCTCAGAGTCCAGGCTCTCCTGCTGCAACTGGGCTCCCATCATCCTTGCGCCTCCAGCTTCCCTCAGCCCGGTTAGCTCCAAACTCAAAGGGCTGGAAGAGGATCGAAAGTCACATCCCTCTGTTATTACGGCCTCTCGTGCGCGCCTATCTGTTGGGCTATGTGTCTTCGGTTGCCCCGAGATTGTTCACTTTGATTTCCAAGCATGCCCTCAGGTGGAAGGCCGGGAAGAAACAACAGGATGGTTTTGTCGAGTCCTTTGTAAACATACTACGCGGTGGTATGGACTGGCACCGCTTTCCTACCTTTTGCGCAATCCTGACCGGTGGTAGCACGTTACTCGAGGTATGTTCTGACTTTCTGTACGAGTTACAGTATCGGTACTCACTCCTGGCCCTAGGTTTTCTTCAAGACTATACTCAATCGTTTAGCCGCTACATTGTCCCATGTCACACGAAAACGGCAAGTATCCGATCACCATCCATCAAGGACATGTTATTGACACTTGACCATTGTAGACTTTCAAGGTCGTTTGCCTCCTTCATTGCGGCATGGCTCGGTATCAAGCTCTTACAGTCAAAGCGGACTCCAGGTTTCACCGAGATCATATCCTCACCCACAGTCATAAATGTTGAAACACCTTTACCCACATCAGATGCCGTTCCCGATCAAAGACAAGAAGTATCTCCGAAGCAACCCATAAGGACAGTACACTACGCTGGCCGAACCTTGGACCTGACCCTTTTCGCCGTCACTCGCGCCCTTGACGTGATTTTTGGGGAGCTCTGGTCCCACTACAAGGCCCGTCGCCATGGCTCCCCCTCCACCACCGCCAGTAGTAGACTCGTCGAATCCCTCATATCCCGCCTTACCGACCCGGCCATCTTCGCCCTTTCCAGCGCTCTTATCATGTGGACCTGGTTCTACCACCCCTCGCGCCTCCCACGGGCCTACAACAAGTGGATCACCTCCGCCGCTTCCGTCGACAGCCGCCTAATTGAGGCTCTCCGCCGGTGTCGGGCCGGATCCCTCGTGTATGGTAAGGACACGGGCCAGGCCCCGCTGCTGGGCAGCATGTGCAAGGACTACGACTGGCCTGAGGCCTGGGGTGACCCGGCCAAGGCCGTGCCCTTCCCCTGCGAGATCGTCCACATGGGCTGCGGCCCGAGCTGTGAGCGGCACGCCCTGTCGAGGTTCGCCCGCTCGTTCAAGTGGGCCTTTACCATGTACCTGCCGCTCAACTTGCTGCTCGTGCTACGCAAGCCGAACTGGAAGGCGTTGAAGAAGGCGCTGGTCTCGGCGTGTGGGTCATCGGCTTTTCTGGGCGTCTTCATCACTCTGTTCTATTACGGCGTGTGTCTAGCTCGCACGAGACTGGGGCCGTACATTGTGGGAAGAGACGTAAAGGGTTGTCAGAAGATGGACGGCGGGCTTTGCGTTGGCACTGGGTGTGCTATGTGCGGATGGAGCATCTTGCTGGAGAACGCGGGGAGGAGGAAGGATATGGCGCTGTTTGTCGCACCAAGAGCACTGGCTACGTTGTTCCCGAGGAGATATGACTTGCGGAAGCAGTGGAGGGAAACGGCGGTGTTCGCTGCCAGTACAGCGGTTGTCTTTACGTGTGCGTTGGAAAATCCGAAGAGGGTGAGGGGTGTTCTTGGAGGGGTTTTGGCGGGTGTTTTGAAGCCGTGAGGCAGAAAAGTTGCAGTGGCAATGCCTTCTTCGAACATCGACAAGGGGAACTAGGAAGACACTCGACAGTGATGAATCTACATACCGCATACTGCGATGATGACCCAGCCGATCACATCGAGAGTGTAGTCGGGATACTCAGTCTTTGGGTGCCCGGTAATGTCTTTGCTGCCGACTTTTGCAAGGCCTTTCAACAAGATCGGATGAGCACTCCAAGATAGTGAAGCTCCTGGTCACGATACCCGGATTCAAAAATATGTATCAATGAATGGTCTTGAACATGCTCTACTACGTTCACATATGCTCGACTGTGCTACATCGACGGCGAAGTCCACGAATCGCCCAAACCACTTTCCCAAGGTCCCGTTCAACACCACGCATGGTTCTTTTCGTGGCATCCTACTGCAGGAACTTTACAATTACCAAATTACTGAACTGGATCGAAGTCGACATGATATATAGTGTACATGTATGTATCCGCCATCGTCTTCAAGCGCGTAACTCCATGGAGTTTGTCGGTGATAATGAGGGAGCAACCCTCTCTTAGTACATTCCCCTCTTTCTTCTTCTCCTCATTCATCATACACTTTGCTCTAAGACCAAAGTTATTGCCACCGCGATGCAAGAAAGCTTTTGAAGTCTCTGGTCTACTCAACCTCTGCACTCCTTTACTCGACCAAACTCGAAAGAGCGTGTTCGGAACAGCATACTGTCTCAAACCGCTCGCTCTCCTCCGTTTATGGTTACTTGCTAAAACAAGCATCGAGTAAGAAAAATAGACATAGACAAAGTCGTTTCCGCACGATATGATATGACTCACGTATTCAACACACTCTCTCTTTCTGCAGAACATACCAAGCAAAATCAGTCACACGAGATCATCAGGCTCTTGGAAGCCTCGCAAGTCTTGAATTTTCGGAATGTTTCTCTCCTACAACACCTCCAATAGAAGTCTCATCACCACTCACAGACCAGTCGACACTCCCAATGACCAAACTACGACCAGTTGACACAACCAAACAACCCAAATAAACAAATAACACAAGCCAACATCCAAGCCCTCACCGACAAAAATGCTACGTAACAGCAGGCTCTACCCCGACACCCCGCTCATCCTCCTCTCCGCCCTTTGCCTCTTTATCACTTTCGGCCCTTATCCTCCTCTTTTCGCCAAAGTCACTTCTTCTCTTCGGGCCAACCTACAACCACAAAAAGTCCGCCCTTCTCCTCCTCCTCCTCCTCCTCCTCCTCCTCCTCCTCCTCCTCCTCCTCCTCCTCCTCCTCCTCCTCCTCCTCCTCCTCCTCCTCCTCCTCCTCCTCCTCCTCCTCCTCATCCCCCTCCTCTGAAACCCTCCCCCTCTAGTTTCGCCACTGTTTCTTTTGAGGCTGGTGGGGCTTCGACTTTGTAGTCTCGGCCCTATCCGTCGTCATCTGCATCGACCGCTACGGACTCGACGCTTACTGTGACCGCTTTCTTATCACGGTTTATGAAAAGGTGGAAGAAGGTAATGGGATGGGGTGTAGAAGAAAGTGAAGGGTTCAAGAGATTGGTGGTGGTGGCAAGGTGGTGAGGTAAGGCGTCTGGCTGTTCTGGTGCCCCTGGAATGGAATTAGGATGAAAGGGAAGATTTGGTTAGTTTAAAGGAAATGCTAGATTCTACAGATATGATTGAGGACGCAGAAAGGAGAGCGGAGGATGTGGGGAACACTTTGGATACTTGTGTACCTATAGGCAACAAGGGCTTTTGGATTTGGTTTTTGGAACAAATCGAGACGATACCTCACCTGTTAGGTAACTGGCGAGTTGACGTTTGACGGCGTTGGGAATGTGAGTACTCTGTGTGAGAAATTGAGAAGTGTCTTGCCAGCTATCTTCAAGCTCAAGGCCATGTCATTTCAATTAGATAAATGCGATGGGACACTCATGTCGTGACGGCGTACACTCATGTTCCTTTTGTTTTCATTACAATATTCCATGCCATTAAAAGCGTGCTCAGTTACCCCCTTTCTGACCCATTCATTACGCCCGTAAGCCGTTGCAGTAAACATTCTCAGCCATCTTCTCCCTCTGTGGTAGGGAACTACGACCTCCACCATGAGCAAACCCCAAGCACAAAGATACAAACGAGAATATCCGCCTTGACCGTGCTGAATATCTGTCCATACCTCATCGCAATCTCCAAATAGCCCTTCCACGGCTGCGGCAAGAAACCCACAGCCATACCCAACATACCACCACCAAAAGCGCCGCCCACGGGACTCTTTGCCAAACCCTTTTCCAGAAAGAAGCGCGTCGTCAGCAGCAGCGCCTCAGCCGTAGCAAACACGTAGAAAAACCGTCTCGCCGAATCCGTATCGAAGCCCACAGCCACCTGGTCCCCCGCGCCCACGTGGTGATGGTTGTTGCCAGTAAGGATGTTCTTGCTGTCCCTGTCGACCTTGCTGCCGCTGAACGAAGTCCACAGCGCAATGTAGAGACCGAGACCGAGCGCCACGGCTGTGTGCAGCAGGCGCCACAGGGAGGAGTACCGGTCGGGAACGGCCATGGCCGGCGGGACTCCTTGCTGGCCCATGCCCATTCCAGGAGGCATCATGCCGCCCATACCGGGCATGCCGGGGAACCCTCCTCCTGGAAAAGGTGGCATACCACCGGCACCGGAACCGGGAGCTCCACCTCCGCCAAGCATGTTGAGCATCATTTGCATCATCGGGTCCTCAGCGCCCGGACCGCCCGGACCGCCCGGCCCCGCTCCCAGTAGGCTGGCAAAGGGGTCGCCGCCGGCGGCACCTGGAACCATGGGGGATTCGCGGCCGAGCATCATCTGGCGCAGGCTCTCTTCGGAGAGGTCGTTCGGGTCAAAGGGAGAAGGACCTTGTGTAGGCTGTGGCAGCTTGGGAACTCTTGGGGTGGTGTTTGGTTGGTAGAAGTGTTCAGAGGTGGAGATGTCGACCTCTTCGGGGTCGGCGTGAACTCGGGGTGCGGAGCTGGAGGTCGGGACTGGCGATGTCTTGTCATCGTTGCTGCTGCTGCTGCTGGCTGGCTGCGTAGGAGGAGGGTCTGAAGAGAAGACAAATGTCAGCTTTGGTTTAATGCCATCTACATGATATTATACTATGCTAGGGCACAAGATGGATGGACGGAAAACACTGACCTCTTTCAACACCGCCTCCCAATCCAGTGATCTTGTTTAGACGATTTCCGGCATTGGCCCTGATCTTAGCCTCGCGTCGCTCCTTGCGAATGCGAGCCTGCTCGAGGGCGCGCGCCTCTGCCTCGTCTGCGGGGGAAAGTCCCTCTGTCATGGTGCTTGTCCGAGATGCTCGTTGATTTGGGTGGGTGTCGTTAGGTACAAGATCGATCCGTCACTTTGTTGTTCCAATGTATGTGTTTGTTTCGATATTCGTTTTGCGCGCGCGCGCAGAGGGATTGATCGGTTGAGGGATGGATGATGATTTGTAAAGCAAAGAAAAAAAAAAGAAGAAATGAACAGATTGAACTAGAAGCGACAAAGGTGATTGTGACGTCGTGCCTTCTTCTTCAGTGGACGAACGTGGCTCTTCCGGTTCCCTCTTGCTCCCTGTTGGTCGCTGTTGGTCCAGCTACCTCTACGTACAGTAGGTAAGGTCCGGGATGCCCGCCATCGGACTACATAGTGAGCTGTCGGTCTGCCCCGTCCCCAAAAATCCTTATCTAGTGTATGTCCCGCCTTATCGGAAGGTCTACGTACTGAGGCGGGAGCTACCCCTGCATTCACTGTTGTTGAGTGTTGACCTCCCCCCCCCCCCCCTGAACCCCTTTTTCTTTGTCACATCGGCGTCGTTCGGATGCAATGCAGGTGTGCAAGTACGTGGTGCTAAGGCATTGTTTCTCAATTTGAAGCTCTGATATCTTGGCGGCTATATACTTGTATGATATATTCTTTCAAACTATAATACCACTTGGATCATTTTTGTTACTCCTCTATCGACACTCTTCCATCCATCTACCTCCTTTGAGCAAAACCCTTTGTTTACTACTGAATTGACATTGGTTATAATATCTCGACCGTACCGCTCAAGTGACCACAATCACAAATCCCTTATGTTCCCCAACTTGAAAGCCCACATCAGGTTACCAAGTGAGCGGACTCATGCGGCCGTTCTTCAAATGGCTGTTCTGTCTTCCTACCCCTCGACCTCCTGAAACTCAACAGCTCCACGATGACGAGGACCATGAGAACGAAACCAAGAATCATGAAGGGAATAAGGTTGTAGCGCCATCCGCGCATGGATCTCAATTTCTTCTTCAGCATGTCGTGATCGTCGCTGTGGACAAGTGATAGACTGTTGACCTGCGTATACCAGTTCTCCGGGGTCCAAGAGTCCCGTGGGTACGGCTTCGGAGCATTGCCTTCTGCGTAGGCGAGGTCGATACCCTGATCCGAGTGCCTGTTGGTCAGGACATAGGTATATATCAGAGCCGTGAGAGTAAGAAGCCAGCTGAGAATCGTGATAAGGGCCCAGAGATAGTAGAATGGCGATGTTTTTCCGTACTGCCACAGGGTTACTTAGTAGACGCACAATACACAATGATTGTACGAGAATGAACACATACCTTTGCCCTGGACCTATGCTCCAACCACAAAGCTAGGAGGCCACCGAACCCTACAAGGACGACGCCCGTACCTCCTGCTGCATTTGTCGTATGGCCGTGGTCCGTTAAAAGATGTGCAGGTTCTCCGGGAAGGTCAAAGAACGAACCAAGTCGTCGGACCTCAAATGGTTGGCCGCCGCGTCCATGAAGAAATGCCACCATTGATGAGACAAGGGATAACGAGATGGCTGCGTCAACGTAAAGCAAAAACAAAGCCACATAGATGGCTTTCATGAGCCTGCTTGAAGCCATTTTGAACGAATCCCACTAGGGCTGAGGGAATAGAAGAGCTTAACAGTGTGAAGAAGGACAGGAACAGTTGGGGTCTTGATATGGCAAAGTGCAATGTGGTTGGGGCCTGTCCAAGTTTCCCCAGATATTGACAACAGCGCTAGCCATCTATATAAGAGCGGACCGACTGCGGTCGTGCCGGTTCGTCTTTTCTCTCGTTGGGCGAAAAGCCTTCTCTCACCCGCCTTTGGGGACGCGGATTGGATCCCATTTCCAAATGTGGTGGTTGTCAGCTTGTCCACACGTAAGCACACAAAACTGACACTGCCTCTTCATGATGTGCAGTGAGATTGGCTCGACCGGGTACGTACTTCTCTTCTTTTTTTTTCTCAAGGAGGGATATCACTGCGTATGCCCAGCCAACGCCACGAAAACCCTTCCGTATGAGAGATGCCTAGTCTGCATGGAACTGCCACGCGCTGATCCGTGGACGCAAAGCATTCAGCACGAGGCTCGGCTCGCCTCGCAAGGTTGTAACCCATTTTGTGGCTATACACAACAGAGCTTGCCTTGCCAGATATGGGATATTGTGACGTCCTGGATTGACGAATACTATTCTTTGTTGGGAGTTGTCCTAGGCCGGTTACAATCCGGAGACTGAAGAGTCCAGTTCCCACTGGAGGATAGAAATTGACCGTCTCTCACGGCATATGGAGTTGAAGCCAACTGCATCATAGGCGGACAGGAAGAGACCATACTTGTCAGCCCGGTGGAATAGTAGGTAACGCCACTCTTTGAATTAAGAGCCAAAATAGGAATTGTACCTCTCGGCAATCGTCAACAAGCATATAAGCAGAGAAATGCTGAACGATACAGCAACAGAGCCACAGTTCGTGAATTGGCAAGCTAACCGGCAACTCAACAGGAGTTTTTCCTGTTTTCTTCTTCTTCTTGAACCTGGGACAACGAGGGAAAAAAAAAAATGATGCACTTGCAACCTCGCAACAAAACGGGATAGTCTCATCAAAGAAGGAACATAAAAAGCCCCCAAATGGACAATTTAGACATTGTCATGAGACATGACATCGCGATGCCGACAAGGGTTGTTTGATGTTGTTGAAAAGAGGAGGAAGCATTTATCCGCCAAGCCACGAGGGTGAATTCCTTATAACACAACCCCGAGGTTCTCTCGTCAACTCCTAACCCTCACCAGCCACCCCGACAGCTCGGTACTTGCTGCTACAAGAATATTGCCAAAAGGCTATGCACCAATCAGATCGTAGTGGGGTGGTCGACGTAGTGCCGCCCCACTGCCTATCGATAAACGAGTTATCGTAGGAATCGTCGCCAGGGCAGCTTCCATTTGGTAGGTAGGTAGCTTTAGTGTACGGGACGAACTCCGAAGCTTCGTTGTGTCAACACATCCCGTCCCGTCCATCCCCATCGTTCGTCTGAAAAATAGCCTTCACACGAAACTACACATATCATTTACACACACACAAACACACACAATGCTCTCTAGGATAACACAACGTATGGCCTTAAAGAGGGCGCTGGCGAGGCCTTCCCCTTGCGCCAAGGGCCGCGCTCAACCCCAGAGGAGATCTCTCACATCGGCACCCAGGCCTGGCGATGGTCCGTTGATGGAGAGGCGAGCTGATCGCGAACTTCCTGGTATGTTCTTCCCGTGTCTCTCGCTTCTTCACTTCTCTGTGTTCTGTGTTTCCTGCTGTTTCCGCACCCCAATTGAGTTCCTTACCATGGAAGTTACTGACCCTTTCTTCCCTTCTCAACCACAAAAACAGACGTCCAAACCTCCCGCTTCCGCTGGTCCCGCACCTTCCCCATCTTCTTGGGCATCGTAGCCGCCACCTCGATCGCCATCTTCAACTACCAGAAACTCTCTTCCCCCGTGGTCGAGTCAACCCTCTATGCGCTGCGCACGAACCAGCGCGCGCGCGAGTACCTGGGCGACGAGATCTACTTCAAGGCGCAGATTCCGTGGATCTCGGGCGAGATGAACCAGCTGCACGGCCGCATCGACATCAAGTTCAATGTCAAGGGCACCAAGCGCACGGGCGTGATGCGCTTTGCCAGCTTCCGGCCCACGCCCCGAGGCATGTTCGAGACGACCGAGTGGAGTCTGGAGACGGAGGACGGCAAGGTCATTGACCTGCTGGAGGAGGGCGATCCCTTCAGAGCTATCAACGGCCGTGCAATGGAGCCTGAGCTGGATGATGATGCAGAGGATGCGAAGGTCAGGGGCTTTAGGCAGATGCCTAAGTAATCGTTTTGGGGTGCTCTTAAGGAGGGAATAGTTTTGAAAAAGAGAGGATGTATATGAGAACCGGGAAAGGTGGTGGTTTCTTCCCCCCCAAACAGGATGAGCTGAAGGACAGAATCGTGGTCTGGCTCTCTGATTGAATACCCAAAGGCTGTCAAGGAGGGATATGTAAGATATAGGGAGAGAACATACGAACCTATCACGGGCAAGGGTTGTATGTTCAAGTTGTTATACATTTTCGGTAGCTGTACATTGTAACACCCCACGATGCGTGTGTATCATACAAGAGAGAACTAAAAAAGAGAAACCGGGAAGGCTATACCATACATTCCCTTCCATAAACCTAGTACAAACACATACTACAGACCAGACAGCCCCCCTCTCTTAAGCCGAAGCCTCTACCGCAGCATTTCCATCCGCCTTCTCTGTCAGCCCATTCTTGATGAGCGAATCTATCAGGCCCTGTCTCCTCGCCTCCTTGAGCTCCAAGTGCAACTTCCTCGCCGCCTGCAACTTCTCCTCCGCATCGGGGAACCGCTCGTTGAGGAGCTGCTTGGTGGCCTCGACAAACTCCTCCGGGGGAGGAGCCTTCTTGACAGCATCCTGAACCTTGACAACCGCACCCTTGTGACCAGCGACCGCGCCCTTGACCACCACGATGCCGAGCTCGTTGTCCACCATCAGAATGGGCAGGTTCTGGACCGTGTGCTGCTGCGCGCCCATGCGACCGGGCATCTTCTTGCCAGGCAACACACGCGAACCGGAGCCCTGCGAACCACCGACGGAACCAATGGTACGGTGGTTCAGCGAGTTACCGTGCGACGCCTCCTGACCGGCGAAGCCGTGACGCTTCATACCACCGGCAAAACCCATACCGCGCGTGATGCCGCGCACGTCCACCACCTGGCCGACGTGGAACCAGTCCGGAAACAGCTGGACGCCGACCGGCAACAGACCGTCCTGGTTGCGCACCTTGAACTCGGCGAGCGTCTGCTTGGGCGGGATGCCCTTGGCCTCGTAATAGCCGAGCTGCGGGGCGCCCACGTTTTCGGCGCGGCGCTCGCCCAGGCCAACCTGGACGGCCCAGTAGCCGTTCTTGGCGCGCGTCTTGTTGGCGACGACTTGGACCCGGTCGAGCTGCAGGACGGTGCAGGGGATGCGGGCGCCGGTGCGGCCCATGAAGACGGTCATGCCCTTCTTGACAGCGAGCACGCCGGTGCGCAGGGGTGTAGTCTTCTCGCGGCGCTTGAGGGCAGCGGCCGGGCCCGAGGTGGGCGCCGGAAGACCCTGCGTCACTTGGTTGAATCGTGTGGGCCTGCTGCGCTTCGGGAGCGTGCTCCAGCCGTACTTGACGCCGCGCTTTGCGATCTGAGGGAGGAGGGAGGGAAAGACGGTCGATGGCGAGGAGGCGGAGAAGGTGGGTGTGGTCCGGCCGGCGAGGAGGAGGGAGCTGGCGGCGGTGGTTGTGGTGTGGGTGGCTGACCTCTCGACGAGGGAGAGCTGCCTCCAGCAGCGCGCGGGCAGCCGGGGCGCCATCGTGTGTGTGTATAAGTCTGAGGGGAGGGTTGGGTGGTGTTGTGTTGCTTTTGGTGGGGTTGGTCGCAGTCAATTGGACCTGACGGTGTTCGTTGTATCGATGTCGGGGCCCCGGAGCGTCGAGTGGGGGAATTTGAAAGGACACCGGCTGTCTTCGAGACGCGAACCGGAGGGGGCGGAGTTGGGAGGTCGTTTCGGCGCGCGGCCGTTGAGGTGGTTTTGGGGCGGGTGCGGGAGTGGTGGTCGCCGGCTCGAAGCACGGAGCAGCAGAAATTTGATAGCCACTCAGAAATTCAGTAACGGGATGCTCCCCCCGATAACGTCGATCGGTTCGGCATCCGGGGATTCACAATTGACAGGGGAGGGGCGGCTATTTACAGGCGGGTATGTATTTGGCGGATTGTGGTGTACAGAGTGACATTTCTACAAGAAGGGTTAGGGTTAATCGTTTCTTTCGATTCACTTTACTTCCGCTGGAGTGCGGGCGCATTTTACCGCATTGGATCCCCCAAACTCAACCGCTAAAACATCTTCACTCGAACCACCACACACAGCCCCAGAAAAGAAATCGCTTTTGCATTTTGGTTTTCCTTCTTGCACGAAAGTGCCTTTTTCATTGTCGCCGTTTTGAGATACCCAATATTCCCATCTTTCATTTCTTCTTGAGGCATCAGCAAACATGGTCTTCTACTTCACTTCGACCGTCGTCAGTCCCCCGGCGTTCATTTTTGTGGGGAAAGACAAGTTTGAGAGTAGGTGAAGACGATCATCAGCCACAATTGGTATTCTGCATCTCCTTGTGGAATATGCATATATCTTGACACACTCATGGACATTGCATATTTGACTTGGATATAGATGCCATCTCGTCACTCATCTAACATGCTGTTTTATAGACGAGGAGTTGATCCAACACGGCTGGGAGGAGGATGTATGGTAAGTTTCACCCCGGCCAAGCCTCGTTCGGCATTTTCTAACTATTCTTCGTAGGGTATGACTCCCCATGAGGTTCTCGTCATATTATGCTCTGTATCTCATTACTAGGCCCTAGTTCCATGTCGACAAACTTTCCAGTGCTCATATTTACCTCCGTCTCCCAGAGGGTTGGACATGGGAGAACATTCCCGAGGAGCTCCTGACCGACCTTGGTCAGTTGACCAAGGCCAACTCCATCGAGGGTAAGTCGTGCTTTTGAATTCTACTGTCAGGAAGTCATGGGGGAATTCGTGAGGACTAACTCTGTGCTTTTGTAAAGGTAACAAGAAGGACAACATCACAATCATCTATACCCCATGGGCCAATCTCAAGAAGGACGGCAGCATGGCGGTTGGCCAGGTCAGCTTCAAGGATCAGAAGAAAGTGAAGCGCATTTTGATCGCGCAGCGCGAAAATGCTATCGTCAACCGTTTGAACAAGACCAAGGTTGAGAAGCACCCGGACCTGCGAGAGGAGAAGGAGCAGCATCTCAAAGAGCTGCGCAAGAAGGATCAGGCGGCGGTGCTGGCGCGGAAGAAGGAGGAGGATCGCCTGAAGAAGGAGCGGGCCGAGAAAAAGTGGCAGAAGGATCATGCCTACGATGAGCTCTTTGCTGAGGAGAACATGATGAACTCGAGCAATCAGGATCGGGATGAGACCTGGGAGGATGATTTCATGTAAATTTGCTCGAGAACAAAATAATCAAACCTTCTTAAGTTTTCCAAGCTACATAAGACCTGAAAATCCTTTGATGCCTGAAAGCCATCGTCAAAACCTTTCCGACCTCGATTCTTGTCTGGTATGCTACCGCTCTTAAAGCAGCAGACTAAGAACTAAACCAGGTTTGACCCATCACTAGAGGTAGCTCCTTTATCCACTCTCAAACCCCTTCCTACCCGTCACTCATTCCTCACTCCCCTCAAAAGGTCCTCTCTACCCCTGACGGTTATATCCCACACCTCTTGCGTCCGCCGTCCCTTTCACCTTATGGTCCGTCGGCCTAGCCGCCGCCTCGTAGACGATATTCTTCGGCGCTTGTCCCAACGTCATCCACTCTCCCTTGAAACCAATATAACTGATTCTCGTTTCATCCTCCTCTCCTTGCGAAAAGTTATCCGGGAAAAACAAGCACAGTCTTTGCACGGCGTTGAATTTGGCTCGCTTGACGGGCAATTCCTGGATTTCCGAAGTCTGGGAGAGCTCGAATTCTTGTGTTGGAGTAGAGTCCTCAGCTTGACCGAAATCGTGGATGTCGGCGTTGGCGAGGAGGCGGAGGGTGCGCGGGGCCGAGGGGGAGGGCGAGGTGCGCAGGAGGACGGAGTGCAGTTTGATTTGGGCTGTGAAACTATTTGGGTGTGTGTGTGAGTGATTGGGTGTGTATGATGGGGTCATTGTATGATGTGTATGTTACAGGAGAGGAATGACATTGAAATTCGTAAAGATGTGAATGACTTTGAGTGATCAAGTGAGGTAACGTAGTGTGACATACGGAACGTTGATAATCAGCTGCTCATCAGCATCGCTCACCACCTCGGGCTCCGTCGCCAATCGTTCGGCCCACGTCTTCTTGATAATGGCCTGGCCGGAGCCGTGCACCTGCTCGTTCAGGGTGGTGATCTCGTCAAAGTTGATGTGCTGGTACAGCGAGAACTGCACGGCGGGGGTGATGTCGTCAGAGTGGTCGTGCTCTGCCCCGCCCTCATGATGGTGGTGGTGGTCGTCGTGCTCGTCGTGGCAGTGGTGCGACATTGTCCGGAGTTGAGTTGTTGGAATATAAGATTTCTGTGCCTCGAGTTGTCAAGGTTTTGATGATTGATTTTGACGACGGAGTGGTTGTTGAAGTTTGGTGAAAGTGAGGGGCCAAGACTGAATGCTTCCGTCGTAAACCTGCGTGATTTGAGTTGACCGTTAGTTCTTCCAGTGGGTGATTGCGGCCAACTACATTTCAACGACGACGACCAACAAAAATGCCTTTCGGAGATTGGAAAGCTAAATAGAAGATGTAGAATAGCATGCAAACTACTTTGACGAAACTCGTTTACAAGAATTGGCTTATACATTGAACGCCGAATCTTCGAGTGTTTTCCGCACTTTCTCATCCAAACATCCATCGATCAGCAAGCAAACGAACTACCTCCACCATCGGTCACACATCTGATTGTCACACAACATCACGTCAGGATCAAGCACGAAAAACGATGAGGTTGCCATACGGTCATATTCATCTATCTGAATCCCATCCGCTTCTTCACCTTTTGCTTCTTCTTCACATGAGAGGGCCTACCTCCATGCGGTCCTGCAACGATTTGTGACATGGGCTGCGATGCAAAAAACTGCGATGACTCCGGCTGAGTGTTCTGCGTGAAAGCAAAACCTCTCGGCTGGCTCGACTGAATGGCAAAGGGCAGTGGTTGACTTTCTGCCTTGACAGCTTCAACTCCGCGAATCCTCGCCAGCAACTTCTCTCTCTTCCTGCGCTTTACCTCGAGCTTGCGCCTTCTCCTAAGACCAGCATCATCTTCCTCGTCATCTTGACCTGGCCTCCATGTAATGACATTGGGGTCTTCACCAAGCTCCCAGTGAGAGGTGACTCGGGTTCTACCGCCAATTCTCTTCGAAACGGGGTTCATGGCCACGTACTGGCGTAGCCTCACGCCCACTATATCTTCACCGTCTGGTTGATCTTGACTCTGGGTCGTATCATAGCCTTGAGACTGTGATTGCGACTGCGAGTGCTGTACGAACTGGGAGTGAACTTGTGAGGAGAACAAGGGAGGAGAGCTGCCAAAAGGCATGGAGCTGGCAAATGGCTGGCTCTGACTCAATCTGCCATCCCCAGTCTCCGATGCAGCCCATTCTTCAGGTACTGCCGCTACTCCGGCCTCCGAAAGGAGAGTCTCGGCCGCGAGAAGCTGCAGCTTGGGAATGAGAGCCCCTCGGGACGCCTTTCGATGGTTTAAGGGAAGATGAGAGAACATCGCCATCAACTTCTCAAAGGCGCGGTCTATCTCATCACCCAAGACGTGACGACCATTGGTGGGAACCAGTCTCCCAGGAACATTATCAAGCAACAAGTGCTGATGGGATGACCAACGTGAGGCGAGTCCGACGACGTCTTGAACACCTCTTGTTTGTTTCACTAGATTAAGTCTTTGACGCAAAGCGTTAGCAACCTGTCCCGACGGAAAAGGAGGAATGACAAGTGTGTGTGGTGAGTCCTGGATCAGAAATAGAACAATGTATAGGTGTATTTTTGTAATCATTGTTGATCATAAACAGCCTCTCTTTCGAGAAATCATCATATTGGACGGATACTGTGCAAAGTATGAATTATGTCAACTTACAGAGAATGTCTAGGCATATAGCCATCGTGTGTCTCACGACTAAGGACGTCAGCGATGCGAGTAATGTCGACTTCATTTTGCGATGGGCGTGCCTCGTTCGACGTTGAGGGAACCACTAGCGTGTTGGCCAATGCCCGCCCGTAGACCACAAGACTCTGAGTATCTGGTTCCCTTTTCAGAGTTCCAGATGAATCTCGGCCAAGTTCCGGGCTTCGAGACTCGCGGACTAAGGAACGGTCGTCAAGCTCGTCTGGTAAGGCAAATGCATTGCGCAGTTGCTCTCGCAGTATTGATTGCTCCGATGCAGAGCCAGAACGGGCTACGCATTCATCAGGAGGTCGCACCCGTACACCAGGCTCGTCAGACCACATGCAAAGCGAGCAGCTCAGGTCCAGATCGTGTCCCAGCGTAACCAGCTGGAAGAACCTGGTTTGCCTCTTCGCGAGAGCACGAGTGAGAGGTGCCGTAAGCTTTGCTTGGCCAACGCGTCGCTCGACCGGAAGCATAGCGACACTGATGGACTTGGATGAAGCTCTGAGGCGAACTGACTCCCGATGGTAGCGAAGAGGCTTCCCTGAGCTGGGGCTGATGAACCAAAAGACAGTAACTTCGCCATTTCGACTGGAACGGATCGACACGAAGCAGGCCAAAGCACCATCGATGAATGTTCCAGGAGACACCTCGAGCCTCAGTGACGGATCTTGGACGTCTCTTCGGTGGGGTGAAAAGACAAGTGGCTCAAGCCGCATTCCAGAACCATCGTCTTTGACAGAAAGCCAGGAAATGGTTGTATTCGTGAGAAGGAAGGCCTGTGATGGATCCAAGTGCGAAGGGGCGAGGTCCAAAAGACGTTCTCCCTTCCTTGCTGCTAGCAAATGAGGTTGGACCTCAGACTTGCGAGTTTCCGTGTCGAAAAGGCAGAGATTAGTGCTGTTTCCGAGGAGAAGCAAGCTAGCCCGAGACAGACGGTGCCTTGGTTTGGCGCGCGTGGAACTTCTTGACCGACTTCCTGGACGGCTTTCATCATCGGACCTGTCCCTTTTCAGAGACAGCCACATGATTCTATGTGGTTCCTGATCATCTGCTGTCCTGCCAGGGAACTTTGGGATGGACCCTAGGCTGATGTTGCCGCACATTCTCAGTACCGGCTTCATCACCTTGGGCCGTGCACCTCGTCGGCCAACAATGTCCCATACGCTCCAATACCCAGCTTGATCAATGATGGCAAGCTGAGGGACCTGATCATCAGAAAGCGGATTGAAGGAAACATCCGAGTGAGAACCGCCCCCGGATCGATCGGATGTGATGGTGAACAAGGGGTTGGCAACAAGTTGCGTCAGGGTTGAGGAAGATGGTTGAGTGGAGGATGAGCATTGCACCGGCAACTTTCTGAGTTCGGGCTCGCAGACCGTAGTTGAAGTCGGTTTCTGCACAATGAGCCAGCGAACCTGGTCGTACTTCTTGCTGTCATTGACGAACTTGATCAATGAGATGGGAACGCTGTCCTGACACCAGTCTCCTTCGAGATGATGGTTCGGGGCATGAAGACGTATCTTAACGTCCTCATCTCTCCAGCTCCACTCTTCACGGGCGAGACTGATCAAGCGAAGAATGTGCCCCGACTCTCCGCTGGCAGTGGCAAGCACCGTGTGTCCCTTGACTCTATCAGGGTCTCTAACATCAGTGATCTCTCCAGTGGCCAGGAGGGAGGCAGTGGTTGGTGTTGCGGGACGGGTGCGCGAGTAAGTGTTGCTGATCTCCTCGATGAGCAGCGTCTCGGTATCAACATCTCCGAGAAAAGCCTCTGGGAGGGTTTTGAGGAGCCAGTTGTTCTGAGACTTGGCAAGTTGGGAAGGACCAAAGCTGCCAAGGTCAGGAAGGGCTGTCTTGGTGGGCGCGGACCACTGATTGAAAGGCGTCACCTGTTGGAATTGAGGAACTAACAGCGGAGTCGGTTAGTCCCAGAATGCCCAAAGTGAGGCGCAGGTGAGGAGCAGCTTACTCTCATCTCTAGCACGATCTTTGCGAAGTTGACCAGTGCCTTGGTTGATTTGAGCGGGGATGTAGGTCAACCGCCCGACGATACCACCAGCATGAGCGCGAGGGCGACTCAGAGCATGCGAGCGGCCGACAGGGCGGATGGGACCATGTCGGTCAGCCATTCGGAGCTCTCGGAGTGAGGGTAGCTCGCGATGACGAAGTGCTCGGCGGGATCATTTCTCCCCCGATACCGAATGCTCGGTGTTTGCGACTTGGTCAGGCAAACAAAAGAAAAAAAGATATTAGAGGTAGAAGCTCAAGTGCGCCGGCGCATTGAGTCCTGACCGTGGTGGTTGGTGAGGGATGTTGGAAGCAAAGAAATGCTGTGGAAGAAGGGAAGGAAAGAAGAAGTGAGAAAATGCGAAACGTCAAACCAGCTTCTCTTTTTATTTTTTCGGTCTTTTTTTTTGCAAGAAACGCAGAGAAAATGCATCGGACGGGTCCACCGCGAACTTTTTGGTGGGGCCGATTCATCATTGAACGCTCGGCGGAAAAGGTACGTATCTTTGATGAGATGACGACCAATCAGAAAGTGATGTTGCTCAGAATCCGATTCCCCAGGAAACCATGCCCGAAATGGAAGGGACGTAAACATGTCAAGAACCTGACCAAAGTTCCCCCCACCTTCAAGAACAGCCATCTGTCCCTACAACCACGTCGTCCCGAATCGCGTCGCAAAGCTTTCGATTGTATCATCTACTGTCGGAAAACAGAACCTAGTACAATAGACAGCAACTTTAGCGACTAGCATCAAGAATGTCACGGAAAAGCGTCATGTCGTCCACATTCGAGCCCTCGCTCTCGACTAGCCGACAGCCCCTCGGGCCATCGCTCGCCGATACCCTACCCAGCATCAACTTTGGTTTCGATGAGTTGCGCGATCGCATGGCCAAGTTCACGGCCAAATTTGACGCTTTTATTGAGCAAGGGCGCAAGCGCGTGCTGGAGGAGAGGAACCAGTTTAGGATGAACGTGGCAGAGCTTCAGGGTACGTGTCATGCACACCTGGTCAAGAGGGCGCATATTGATGCTAATTTCTGCTTCCTGTAATAGAGGACCAACGTATGAAGAAAAAGGACATTGAAATCCTCCAACTCAAAACCAACACCTACCAACAGACCATGGCCAAGGAGGCCGCCGAAACACGCGAAATGCAAGCCGCCATCGCTTCGCTCACCGAACAGCGGGATAAGCAAGCCGCGATGCGTGACGCTTTGAAAGAGCAAATTGCCGCCACACAGAGGGAGATTGATGCGCGTCTAGCAGCGCAAAGGGCGCACGCTGCGCAACTGGAGGCGCAGGCGAGGTACAACGTGCCAGAGCTGGATTTCTGGGTAACGAACCTGTGCATGCGGATCGAGGGTGCCGGAGCAGAGGACAGGCTCAAGTTTGTCTATACGCACATTGATGAGAGGAACTGGGAGCGAGAGGCTTGGTTCGAGTTGAGCATGAGTGGGAGGGACTACGACGTGAGGCATTGTAGGCCAAAGCTGGAAAGAGAAAAGGTCGAAAAAGTGCTGGACCGGGTAAACGAGACTAGGGAGCTCGTAGTGCTACTTAAGGGCATGAGAGAATTGTTTGTTGAGGCCATGAAATCTTGATTCCAGTTCAGCTGGCCTGGATCGCGAGTTTGGATAGTTGCGGTTAGATACCCCGAATATTGGACGTCCTGACCTGTAGATGCCGGTGGACTTGGATTGGTCGATTTCAGGATGTATTTGGTTTCCCGTCACTGCTTCTATCATCATGCGAGTGTCGCCTGCTTGCGTAGAGGTAGGTATTGTGAGCTAATTCGTGTGTGCCTTCAGTTGTTGCTCGTTGGTGGTGAGTTGCTCGGATGGCATCGGCCCTTAGTTCCCTTGGCACCGATAGGCGTGACTTCATCTTGGTCAGAAGCAGGAACGCAAGGGCGCTCGGTTGAGAAAGGTGCCCCTGTAGAATGCCGCTGTAGCAGCTCGTTCTTTCCCAGCCTTAGGTCTTTCAGGGGTAATTGTTAGTATCACAAAAGCCCGCCAACCAGGGGCAGTTCCTCCCGTCAACGTCTCCAGGTTCCGACGCGTCAACCACAAGGGAATCACCACAACACTTCACCTCGCTCACCTCTGTCCCTTTCCATTCCACTCTCACTTCAACTTCAACTCGACACATCGCATCAGTACTTAATCACCAAACGTTGCGCCTCGTTCTTTTAACGTACAATATTCACATCCTCTGTTCAAGAAAAGGACATACTATTGTTTGCCATGGAGAAGAGCGAAAAACAGGCCGCCGCTCAACAGGCGGTAGACATTCTTCATGAGATTTCCACCATCCTGGTAAGCCAACAGTGTCACCCTCCTTGCGACATTGACTGCTAATCATAAACCAGAACTGTCAGTTGGACCGCAGAACGCTATCCATCTGCATTTCCATGATTGAAAATGGCGTAAAGCCTGAAGCGCTGGCTGTAAGATTGTCTACATAACCTCACGTAGCCCGGTCCGTGGGGCAACTAACACACCATGACAGGAAGTGATCCAAAAACTTCGCGTGGAATCCCGTGTCATCCAAGCGAATATCGAGGCCGCCGCGGCCACCCCCAGTGCAGCTCGCCGAAAATAGATGATCGGCGGGGAGAGGGTTTTAGTCGGTTCTTCGAAGCGTGAACCGTTAAATGAGGAAGACGACCAAGAGCAGATGGATATCGACTTAACTTCCGACGGTATAGATCAGCGTTATCTGGCCGCGCCGAACGACACCATCTCGCGGTACCATCTAAATCTCACTGTCTACACTCTTCGATGGGTGATTATGGGGTTCAAGGAACTGAAGACAAGATATCCACCATTGTGCCTCTCTGACAGCAAGATGGACCAGATTGCGGCGGACTTGATTCGCCGACTACACGTGCTGTTGAGAAGGGAGGAGCTCAGCTCCGAAATGAGTCGTGGTCGCAGGGCATCAAGAAACCTCACAGAAACCGGGAGAAACGGCGGTTTGCCGTTGGGATTGAGAAGAGCCAGGAGGGCCCAAAGCGCACCGGACCGGACAGAGAGGATCAAGTTTTACCAGGAGATGCTGCGATTCGTGAGACAGCGACCCATGATCTCGATGTCGTTGCAGCCAAGCCCCACGGAAAGTTGGGACCATGATCGCTTCTCAACAGACTGGAACCAGAGGGGAGAAGAGGAGGAAACGAATGATGCAATGGAACTCTACGAAACATACGGAGAGGAGGTGAACCAAGACTCGCAAGAGGAGGAACAACAGGCACCGGTGGAAACGGAGGTTATAGAAGTCTGCAAAACAGGAGATGGCGAGGAAAACGTCAAAGATGATTCGGAACAAGAACAGGCACCGGTGGTGACAACGGAGGTCATTGAAGTACAACCATCCAGTGGAAGCAACAGCTCCGACGACAACGAATGACTACGCCACCAGATATGATATGAAGGCCAAAAAAAATCAAGAAGCCAGTGGGAAGAATAGAGGCCACAAACATGTCCAACACTAGAAGAAACTCACCTCCGAGTTCGATTCGAGCGACGGCGAGGCATACGTCAACGACGACCAGTAATTATGCGGGTTGAATGGTTCACACGGTTCACGAGCATTACCATGATGGAACCCAGATCGATTAAATGTATCAGATCAGCCATCTGAAGACGTGGAAAAGGTGGATTCAGCGATTGTTTTCTGTTCGTTCTTCGCAAAGTAATTGACGATACAAAAGACAGCGACATAAAATCAAGACAATGTGTTTTTTTTTTTCAAAGTTCTTTCAGTGGCAGTTAGATCTGACTCCAACTAACCAGAACATGTCGTCATCGTTCCTTGCAACCTGTGACCGTTCAGTTAATCCTCTTGCAGTTCACATGAAGGAATTATTTCCTTAGTCCAACTGCCCAACTACCCAGCTATCTAATTAATTGTCTCTAGGGAGGGAACTAACAGTGAGAAGATCATATTGATATTAGGCAAGCAGGCCTCAATCTTAACCAAGCCCCATTGTAAACTCACAACCTTTTATTTTCTGTGAGGTGATCAAGAATAATTTTCCCGAGTTTGTTTTCGTCTTGGCACCCCTATATATGGATCAAGTGAGTAGGTCCGGCCAAAAAGTCCTAAGCACTGGGCACTGAAAATATGTACACTATCAAGCCAAATGCTATTCATTTCCTGAATGATATTTTTATGTAATCTTTTTCTTCGTATCTGGCTGCAGAGTCACGAAGGTAGAGAGGATGATGAACTCATGATTTCAGGATCCTTCCAAAATTGAAGACCTGACATATATACAGATTTGTGTTAATATTAGATTGTCTTGGAAAGCCTTATCCAGGTGGAAATAGTAGATCTAGAAAGGGTAGGTGGACCATCAATTTTAAGGTTGTAGGCACACTACAAGCTCAAGCTCGTTGTTGTTGTTGTTGTTGTTGTTGTGTTTTGAAACCTTTGTTTTGGTGTATTACATAAAACTATTATTTTCAAAGAATCAAGCATGCTTTAGTTTTAGATATTCTTTTTAAATTGGCGCAAACGGACTTCCAACTATTACAGTTATTTACCAAGGGAAAAAAACAAAAGAAAAGAAAAAGAAAAAGAAAAAAGGAAGAAAAAGGTATCTCAAGCTACAGGTACACCTTTGGAGAGTAATTAGTCTCAATATTCCAGTTGTCTCATTTTCCCTGCCCATCCCGCCGAACCGTACTCCAGTTTCATGCTCATGCCCACTGAATGTTGCTGTCGAACAACATCTCGGAGGAGAAATTTTTTGAAGACCAAGAAATATACTGTATAAGGTATATCATGAAAGAGATATTCTCTATACCTGCTTTTTCCTGCTCTTTCCATGCCTCCCTGCTTTCTGCGTTAAGTGCCTCTGTCATCCTTTCATAATCCGTGCCTGGCGACTTTTCTTTCCGCTTATCTTGATTTTCCATTCCTCATCCAAAGTATCATCTATGACCAATCAAGTCCAACTCAAACCCTCCATCCCCTATTTCTTCAAGGTCATCGTCATCATCATCATCATCATTCTCTTCCTCGCTCTCTTCTTCCCCACTCTCATCATCCTCATCGTCCTCATCTATTAGATCCCTAATAGAGGTGTGCCCATCCTGAGGAACTGGAACTAACCTTCTCGGCGAGCGTCCCAAGAAACCCAGCACGTCTTCTAGCGTCACCATGTCCTCTCCCCATCGACTTTCCTCATCGTCATCGGTGTAATCGTCAGAATGGTAATCTGCGCTCGTTGTCACCCCAGGTCCAGCTGCTTCGTTTATTGACCTGCCTCTTGTTCTCCTCCTCGTCGTCCTTGTCGTTGTCATCCCGGGGATGGCGCGATCTGGAATCATGGTGTTATTTGCCGCGCCGGAAGGAGCAGATGCTGAGTAACCGCCGAACCCTACCAAGGCGGCGGCGGAAGCGAGGACGGCGGCGGCTGTGGCAGCTGGGGAGGAAGGAGCGAAGGAGGAGGGGCGAGGGAAGTAGGTAGATGGGGAAGGGGTGGTGGGGAGGTTGGAGGTGGACGGATGTGGTTGGTCGGCGGAGGAAGAGGATGGAGATTGTCGGTTTCGGTTGGCGAATAGACCTGCTAGGGCTGAACGCCGTGGTGGTGAGATCGGGTCGGAGTGGAAAATACTTCTGTTTTGTTGTCCGTTTGTGTCGGGATATTGAGGATCCAGCCCTCGAGCAGCTGATAGTCGTCTACCGCCGGCTGTTGCCGCGTTGTCAAGGGCAACTGACAGCATACTCACACCCTGCGCTCCGTTGTTGGCATCACTCGACCCAGTGGCAGCCCTTGGTTCCTCCTCATCCTGGTCGCCATTCACACCAGGCATATGGAGCAGCTTATGTTCGACCGTATTATACGAGTGACAGACTGAACACTTCAGTCCCAACCAGTGGTACCTTGTCTGGCTTTTTGCACTGCAGTCGTTGCACGAGATGACGGCCCGGGCATCCTGGTACTCGTCGGGCATGGGCTGGGTGGCGATGGCGATGTCAAGGTTACGAAACTGGATCTCCATGTTGACGCAGCTCTTGTTGCAGACCGGACATCTGTACGATCTTTCCCGGTGCGCGCTGAAACAGTGTTTATGGATGGTATGGCCACATTTCATGATTGCAACCGGTCGCGGAGAGTTAAACAGGTAATCGCCGCAGATGGGGCAGTCGCAGTCGGTTGACCGTTCAATACATCGGTGCTCGTCGCGCGTGGAGACGCATGCTGAGCATTTCTGATCACCAAGAACCGTCAGTTCATGTTGGGTCAAAGGGGCCATCCATTTCTTCACACGAGCTTCAAGCGACTCACCTTGCAATGGAAAAAGTCTTTGCCCAAGCCCAGCCCAACTCGGCAGAGCCCACAATCGTTGCAGTGATAGATTGGTTTGTTCCGATCGTCGTTCCACAATTTGCAGATATTACAATAGTAAGAAGCCGCTGACTGGCTACAACCAACACAAGTCTGCGAGGCCTTTTGGGTTCGACCGCACAACATGCACAACATGTGACGTGTTTCCCGCCGCGGCAAGGTGTGATCTTCCACCTCATCGTGACAGAGCCGACACGTATACCACCGATCACAGGCGGCGCATTGCAGCTTCACATTGCGCCGGTAGTGTTTGCAACCGAGTCTGAGAACGGGCTGACCGTTCTCGTCCAGATCCTCTGTTTCTTCCTCGGGTTGTATCCCCTGCGCAATCGCGTATGCGAGACTGACATCGAGTTCTCGCACCCCGTGTTCGTCGCGTTTTGGGACGGTTTTGGGGGCATAGGTCGGCTTCAGATCCTCCTCTGTAACGTGGATGTTCAGGGTATCCTCGTCACTAAATCCGCTTTCGCCCGCGAGAGGATTCCAGAACTTCAAGGCCGTTTGCAACGGGCCAAAGGAATCACGATCCCGGTTCGATGATCGATCGCGGCTATGGCTCTGCGCGCTACGAGCGCTCTTGACGCTGTGCACACTACGCACGCTCCGACCGCTGGGCGATTCTGGGCGCATGCCCATAGTACCATCATGCGCATGTGGAGACTGTTGATAATACTCCTCCGTCATGACCTGATGTATCAGCTGCGCCTTGAGGGCCTGCGAGATGTCGGCCTGATTTTGAATCGCCTGTATCCTCTTCCTCAATGCGCTCTTGCCGTCATCTTCTGGTAACTCCCCGGTCTGGGATCGAGCGTCGGAGTCCACCTGGGAGGGGATACGAGGAAGCGTGAGGAAACTCTGTTGCGCTACTTGCGCAGTCCATTCTGGCGCCAGCGCAGAGATCGGCGAAGTTAACGACGGTCGCGCCGGCGGCGTCGATTCGTATGCCGCTGCGGATATTGGCGGAACTGGAACTTGTCCTATGTGCCCTGCTGCTGGAGTGGCAGTTGCGACATCGGCGGCTTCCCCTAACCTCGAATGCGAACTTGATGCGGCGTTGGTTGGTGTGGTTGTTGTTACAACAGCCACCGGCTGCGCTACGGTTCTGCCAACAATAATCCCATCCAGACTTCTCCTATAGTTCTCGTCTCCGTCCTCAAACACCGATTCGGGCAGCGCGGCCCCATCAGATCTCGTTCTCTGGTGTTGCGAAGTGGAAGACGGCGTGGGTATATCGGGCTCTTCAGCGGCAAACCCTGAGGAAAATCGCCGAACTTGTCGTTGTGCTCCTCGAAGCAAATCAGAGACTAAGGTGGCCATAGCAGGTCATGCGGTTGTCGCAGACCTTGTTTCCAAGTTTCTTCCTTAGGGTCGGCTTTGTCGGACGTAAACGTATAGCGGCAGCGGGACTGACTGGGATCGTCGGACAATGTGATGTCGAGAGAAGGAGCAAGGGCGAGCGCGGTGGCGATTACGAAGTAGGCGGAAAGGAAAGAAAGCAAAAAAGAAGGCAAAACACCAGGAAGGTGTGCGTGCTGAAGAGCTAGAATAATAAGCCAGTATATACGTAAGACTAAATTATGCTAACAAGCGCAATAATGTCAATTAACAAGAGTATGTAAAGGTGTTGTGTGTATCCATGGGTGGGTATCATCCATCAAAGTTCATGTTTGGGGGAGACAGATGTTGGACGAGGGAAGCGGGAGTAGTGAAGAACGAAATGTCGGTCGAGCTGTGGCAGACGCAAATGACAAATGGCACGATGGCTCGATGGGTGGGTGCAGTGAGACCGAGACTGGAGTGGTCAGTCCGTCAGTCGTCTTGTTCCTGCTTGTCTTTTTTTCCTTCCGGATTTCGGGCAGATCATGTCGTCAATTCGCCCGCCATTGTCCTCCGTCCGGTGGAGAATCGACACGATGGCTCTTGACTTTGAGGTTTCCACTCAAACAGCATCTCGCCATCGTTGTTGCCATGCCAAGGGCATGTTCCCCGCCAATGATCGCGGTGCAACAGCTTGTGACACGGCAGCGGCTTTCCCCTGTCTGGCTGTTAGGTAAGTAACGCCTGCTGTTTTGCGCCTTCACGTGTCCGCCTGTACCGACGCTACGCCAACGAAGGCCCTGGTGAGATGTCCGTCTCCCGCATCTGCAACAACACGCGACTTTACTTTCTTACTGCCACGCGACAGCAACAACAGTTCAATGCAATTCACCGACCTCACCTGTGTACACCTGTGCAGTGTGAGAGAGACGAGCGTTGACTTGTTGCGTTGCCCACGTGGCTGATCACTTTGGCAGACATGAAGATGATCCGTCCGTTTCCTCGGAAGGCCGGCCGTCGAGGGCTGGGGCCTGGCTGGCAAGCTGGTGGGGTGATTAGCGGACCGAACGGACCATAACGGTCCGGACCTCCCGGAGTGGACGAGTAGTGTAAAGACCCGGCCGGACACGGTCACTGTCGGGCAACTTGTCCGTCTCCGTGATCAGTTTGAACCGGGGCCATTATCATATCAGGGTCACGACCACGTCAGAACGAAGCATGCTGGCAGCAGGTTGAAAAGAGAAGAAAGGAAACTCATGAGGACATTTGTTGCCGTTGGTGCGTGGAAGAAGAACGGAAAGTGTCAGAACCACGACCACAACTGTGCATCTCCTCCCAAACAACCCAGCACGGCCCCAGAATCGGTTACAGAAGCGACGGGACCTGAGCTGCAGCTGCCAATGCGGGGCAACCTGTGGGGTTACGACGGCAACGGCTCTGATCCGGATGTTGTTGCACAACCTGAAGCAACTGGAGTACAGACTGCAGATGAAAGGAGCAACTTCCAGCTCGGCACATGTTGTTAGTGCAGTGTGTTATGGTAACCGATGGTGACAGGGACAGAGGAACCGACCTTGGCTGGCGACCAACTGATTCACAAAGACCCTTGTCTCATTTTTGGCGCCTTAACATGCATCTCTAGCCCAAAGGTACCTAGCCATCGCCAAGTAGCCGTGAGTGTGTAGTATACAGTGCAGTGCTCGAAAAGGAAACTCCCGTCCTGGGCATGTTCAGTTCTTGGTGTGTTGCTTCAAGCTCCATGCAGGGGGACTGAGTGAGAGAAATGTAACGGAGAATCGATTTCTATGTATTTGGATGGGCGATAAAGGGAACGCTCGTCGTAATCTCAATCACCATTCCTCGTTATGCTCTGAAACCCCCTTTGGGACGGGGGCTGTCCCTGGCTGAGCTGGGACTTTACACACGTTACCCAAGGTTAAGGTACACTCTCAAGTTACATACATGCCTCTACACTCCAACCCTGGTTTGATTGTTGGTGTGGTACTTCGATTCACACTTTTCCTTCTCAAGTTTGGTTCGGTGGACTTTGGCGATGCAAGCCCTGGTAAAGCGCTGGAAATGTTTCCCTTTTAGGTATTGTCTTTGGAATACTGAGGAGGCTGTTCCGAAGCCCTGTCTCTACCCTGGCTTTTTGACGATTTAGACCAATCACATAGTCTAGATCGCACATTTCTCCCCTGTTCAAAGTCGGAAGAAGTCCCACGCTAACAATCAAACCAGTATTGAACTGTACATGGTACACTACTTGTTGTCGTCCACTTGGCCCCCGCGTTTCCCTTCCGCGTGACGATTCGGTTGCCCGGACCCAGCTTGCCAGGACCTGAAATGGCCCTGTCATTTAACACATACAGTCAGCTCCCCTGTTCCAGCAACAGTTGGAGGGAAAACTACCCTTTTTGAAAGGGTAGGAAGCGCAATCCTAAAATAGAAACACCGGGTGGGAAAATTCACTGTCGATTTGTACGTAGGTACCTAGGGTATGGAAAGGTGAAACCAGGAAAACTGAAGGGGTCTGCCACAGGGCAAAATTGGCTTGGCGTGCCAGTTTTGGTCACGGTTGAAAGGCAGGTGGTCTGTGCACGTCACCACTATGGTCAGATGTTTGGGGTTGCTAGGTGGAACAGGGGACCGGGCCAACTGGAACTGCTGTCTTGTGGGTGATCCTGCTGGATCATAAACTTCGTTGACGGGACCGGACTGTGCGTATCCGGTGCATGTACGGTAGACGGTAGTAGTACCCCTGACGTCGACTGACATACCTAGAGGTACCTATATACCGTACATGCTGCCGTCTTTACTGGAGGTTCATCCAATATATCTAGGGCATTCCTGACGCTGGTTCTAAACAGCATCCCAGGAACCTCCACGGATGGATGCCAGCGATGGTACGGTTATGGCTTCTCTAGGTAGATAAGGCAAAATTTCACACGCGTTCGTGAAACCTTTGTTGCTCCAATCTTGTCTTTCTTGGCTCGCCCCAGTGTCGTCACATCGCTATCCCGCCTAACAGAAATGCAAGTACTTGATATGACGTTTGGCTAAGGTAGGCTGTGCATCTGCAATCCACCCAACCGTCGCCTCTCTGGGCCACGGCAGCTAACAGGGCAGGTTGCCGCACTCCGACAGCAACAGCACCCTGACTTCACCTAGCAACCACTTTTTGCTTTTTTCTGGGCGTGTGGTGTAACATCACAGGCGACAAGACAAATTGGACCCGGACGTCTCAAACCCTTCATCGGGCTGTGCTTATTCTTTTTATTTTTTTTTAATGGCAGCACCGCCTCAGTCCATCGTTGAGTTTCCTCATCCATGACACATTTCCTGATCCAAAACTATATCCGAGTCCATATTCCTCCATTCGTCTGTGTGACCCGACAATACCCTCGTTCGCCAGCCAACATCTTCCACCACTCTCTCTCTCTTCGGCCATCGCAATCCAGTCCGACCATTGCCTTTGTGTGTTCAGCAACTCGCGCAACGATATATCCACTTCACGCTCTCCCGACGACAAGCGCGATTCTAGCCGGCCGTCAAGGTCAGTCAATGCTAAACCAGACAGGTAAAGGCTAGGAATTCATTTCTTTACCTTTCGTCTGGAGCTTTGACGATCTGCGCTCTTTCGATCCGATCCGCCGTGTCATGACTGTCATCGCTTCAGGCCAGCCTTCAATCTCCCTTGTGGTCCGAAACTTTTGTTTTCGACAGGTTCCATCTCATTCGCCATGCAAAATCGCGTATCAGACAAATTGGAAGCCACTACGGACAATCAAATAATCGGATACTTTCCCCATTTCCATGACTTGGTGCATACCTAGGTACTACCCAAGGTATACTCGGAAACTACCATCCATTTGGAACTGAAGCACGCATTCCATCTTTCTACTTCCCTTTTACCTTCATCCTAGGACATTTATTTTTCCCATTCGGCTGCATCTATTAGTCACTTCCTTCAGACTGCTGCCACACACCAGTCAACAAGAAAAAAAAAAGAGCTTTGCAGGTCACGGCTACCTACCTACCTTCCTACTTCTACTTCTTCTACATAGCTGAGCTCATCCGTTACTGGCTACAGGCCTAGCCCCTGGTGAAGGTGTCATTGAGCGTACGCTACATTGCGTTGCCACTGGTTGTCACTGACTGCCGCCCTGTTGATGATTTCCTAACCGACTTGTGGTTGCCACCATCATACTTCCATTTTCCCTCTCGGAAGGACCCGACTCATACACACACAGATTTGACACCAATTTTTATTTTTTATTTTTTTTGGAAGGCTCAATCATCAAGATGGCCATCTATACCACCCAAGCACGGTCTACGCGAGAAGGTACCATGAATATCAACGACACCTCCATGCCTTCTTCGATGGCGGTCTCGACCACTTCGCCCTTTTGGCCATTGGGGCCTTTTCCCAACAGAGTGGATTCCCACGCCAACTCGCACCCGCTCCCGCACCAACTCCAGCATCCGCCTCAAGATCCGCTTCAGCATCCACAAGGGCCGTTTTCACAGGGATCCTCGCAGCAGCAACAGCAACAGCAACAGCAACAGCAACAGCATCCGCAGTGGCACCCGCACCCGTTTCCGCAGTCGCACCGTGCCTTTGGTCCTCCGCCGAGCTCTGGCAGTATCATCACTACAAACAACTTGAACCGAAAGTACAGCAACGGCAACAACAACTTGAACGGCAACAGCCCCGGCAGCGGAAACGTGAGTTCCAACAACGTGAGCGTCAACCGGCCACCCACCGCAAACGTCCAGGTCCGCCGCCGTCCTCATGCTGCCACGACCGCCGGTCGATTTCGAAGTGCCGTCAGAGTTCCGGACCTCCCTGTCTTGAACAACTTGCGCATCACCAGCAACACAGGTAACACCAACGTCGACAATTCCAGCTCATCTGACGAGGGTTTCCGCTCTTCAGCTGCTCGTCCTCAGAGACCAGAGCATCGACGCTCCATGAGCCATCCATTCCCGTCTCTGTTCTCGAGCAAGAAAAAGAAGTCATACCAGATGTATGCTGGCGATTCCGGGTCCGAAACGGTAGACGACGCCGGTTATGCGCCCAAGCTCGGTACCATCAGGCCTTCAACACAGCATTCTCGTAATCATAGGAATGTTCCTTCTACGGGCAACAAGGACTACAGCACGGGAAATTGCATGACGTGCGGTTGCTTGGTGCGATGGCCCAAGGAGCTTTCTGTCTTCAAGTGTACCATTTGTTTGACCGTCAACGACCTACAGCCATCCAGCTCAGGTCAAGGGCAAGGGCAGGGTCCTAGGCGGGATGCTTCCCGAAACTCACCTCCCGCAGCGGAAGAGCGAGTCTTCTCTCATGGTAAGAAACTCCTCTATCTGATATGACTGTTCGCTCACTCATTAAAACCTGCTTAGAACGACCGGTTTCTTTGGGTCATACAAAGTCACTGGCCACACAATGTCTGCGTTCATTTCTTTCGTCTGCTCTACGCTCAAAATCGGGCCGACAAGCAGATGTGCAGCCAGACTCTTATTTTACCCTGGCAAAGGTTCCTTCGCAAGATCAGCAGGAAAGTTCGCTTTCGCCACCAAGTGGTCCAGGAAGGGTACCGCCGGCAACAAGCAGGGCGGTAGGCGTGAGCCCACAACCGCAGCGCGATGGGTTAACGGTCCCAAACACCGACCTGGATCCTCAGCAGCGTTCCAATAGAACGCCTCGGTCATACTCATCGTCCTATCCCGAAAAACGACCGGCCATTCCTGATCTCGGCCTCCAAGCACCTGGTCCTCAGGCGAGCCCACAGATTGCAAACCCTGAGATAGATTCGAGGCGGATGTTCAAACGGCTTGAGGATTATATAATCAGCTGCTTCACCTCGTATCAATGTTTGAATACTTCGTTTTCGACAACCCGCCCGTCTCACCAGCCTAGACCTAGTGGCGAACCAGAGCGTAGACGTCGACCAACGCAGTCGCAACCTCAGCCCCGACCTCAGCCCCCACCCATGCCTCAACCCGAGGCCCGCAAAGACTCGGTTACTACAGAACAGCCGTTTGTTGAACTGGACGCCAAAATGCTTTTGCTGGGGGACTTTGCGGAGAATGGTCTCTGGTGGACGGGAGGACACGAAGAAAAGGTACCAGGGAGGTCATCGTCCAACCGGAGCGATCCTGGCGCGTCTGCAGTGAGCCCAAGAAGTCCTCGAATTGACTGGGCGGAAGTAGAGGAGTGGTATACGGCAGTGCTTGACGCTGTGCGGTCCTGGCCCAAGTTTTACGATGAGCTTGTCAGTGAGGATTCCAGTCTCGCTGTGCCTCCCGAAGCGCTTAAGGAGATCGAAGCACAGTTGCTTGTGGGACAGGACCATGTTCATAGGTCGCTTTTGAAGGCTAGCGAGACGATTATGAAACGGCCCGGACGCCTGATGACTGCGCCTCATGAGCTACGGTTTATTCTCATTCTCGCCGCTAACCCACTGCTTCATGCCTATTACAAGCCATATACCGGCGAGTTCCGGCATATGGACTCATTTTGGTCTGCTCAGGGCGGTCCCTCTTCTGGAAGGCATTCCGGAATCATAAAGCGTATCGTCGGTCTCCTGTCTAACACTCCCAACGAGTGTCACAATCATCTCGTCAACTGGTTTGCGAGGTACCCGGAACCGCTTTTCATAAAGACAAAAGATCTCATTTCGAGCTTCTTAGCATTTCGACTTAACCGACAGAATGAAAAGAAGTACGATGCCAGAGTGGATATCACCGCCGGTTTGATTCCAAGTCTGAATGCTGGCAGGTCTGCGGCCTCACTTCACGCTGCGTTGGGATCTTCACAGGCATCAGGAAAGAAGCAGAAAGAAAAGAAGAAGATATACAATGAAGATTGGCAGATCAAGGCCTCGGCGCAAGTTCTTGCGCTGATTTTCGCCGCCAACAACACGGGACATTCACGGCGCAGCCTCGCCAATCTTACGGATGGACCGGTGGCGAGCACAAGGGATCGGGTCCAAATGCGTGGGCAAATTCTTGCCACAAGCGATTTCTACACCACTCTTCTTGACGACTCCGACCTCGTGGCGGACTTTGAAACATGGGAGTCGAAAAAGGGAAAGTTTGCCTTTTGTCAGTTTCCCTTCCTTCTTAGCATAGGCGCCAAGAACCAAATTCTCGAGTATGACGCGAGGCGGCAGATGGAGGACAAGGCAAGAGACGCCTTTTTCAACAGCATCTTGACCCATCGTGTTATTCAGCAGCACCTGGTGTTAAATGTTCGCCGGGATTGCCTGGTTGATGACAGCCTCAAGGCTGTGAGCGAGGTGATCGGTAGTGGCGGGGAGGACATCAAGAAGGGCTTGAAGATCAATTTCAAAGGAGAAGAGGGTATTGACGCTGGCGGTTTGCGGAAGGAGTGGTTCTTGCTCCTTGTCCGTGAGGTGTTCAATCCCGATCATGGTAAGTCCACACATCTGTTGAAAATTAACTTTAGTCGTCCTAACCTTGTTCTAGGGATGTTTGTCTACGACGAGGACTCCCAGTACTGCTACTTCAACCCCGCCTCTCTTGAGCCATCCGAGCAATACTTTCTAGTCGGCGTCGTCTTCGGTCTCGCCATATACAACTCCACCATCCTCGACGTCGCCCTGCCACCGTTCGCGTTTCGGAAACTCCTCATGGCCGCACCGCCTGCCACGCTGGCCACGTCCCAGCCTCGCCAACCCATGACGTACAGTCTCGACGACCTCGCAGAATACCGCCCCCGCCTCGCCAGCGGCCTACGCCAGCTCCTTGAGTACGACGGAGACGTCGAATCCACCTTTTGCCTCGACTTCGTCGTCGACATCGAACGCTACGGATCCACCGAGCGCGTCAGCCTCTGCCCCAACGGCGAACGCCGCCCTGTGACCAACGCCAATCGCCGCGAATACGTCGATCTGTACGTACGCTACCTGCTGGATACGGCGGTGACGCGCCAGTTTGAGCCTTTTAAACGGGGGTTCTACACCGTCTGCGGCGGCAACGCCTTATCACTCTTCCGGCCCGAGGAGATTGAGCTGTTGGTCCGAGGTTCGGATGAAAGTTTGGATATCTCGGCGCTCAAGTCGGCTGCTACCTACGATAATTGGAGTACGAAGAACCCAGTGGAAACGGAGCCGACGGTTAGGTGGTTCTGGGAACTTTTTGAGGAGGCGTCCCCCGCAGATCAAAGGAAGTTGTTGCTGTTTATCACGGGCAGTGACAGAATACCCGCGGGAGGGGCGGCGGCGCTATCGATTCGGATTGCGTGCCTGGGCGAGGATTGCGGGCGGTATCCGACGGCGAGGACGTGTTTCAATTCTTTGGCGCTGTGGAAGTATGGAAGTCGGGAGCGGCTGAAAGAAGTCTTGTGGATGGCGGTGTTGGAGAGTGAAGGATTTGGGTTGAAGTGAGGGGGGAATGATGAAGGATGATGTTATGCTTGGTGTGTTTGTGTTGGTATGAAAGAGTTGTGGAGGTTATGGAACAGGAGTTTCTCTACATGGTATCTTTTTTTTTTTTTTCATTTTTGGTTACCCTGCATATCCCAGACCGGAAGAAAGGAGGCAAAGAGAAAACTGCATCATTATCATCGGCATCAGATAAGAAAGAAGATAGCGGAAAGCAAGCCAGATAAATTCATTCGTGTAGCGTCCATCCTTTGAATAAGCCGAAACACCACTCCACGCTACCGTTGATTGAGCAACATGATTATTTATGTACGACAGCTACCATCGAAGCCAGTTTTGAGCCACCATCACAGCACGTATATTGGGGGTAAAGTGTATAAAAGGCGTTGGAAGAGTACTTGTCAATAGATGAAATGGTGAAGAAGAGGAGGAGGAAGAAGTCAGTTTAGACACCCACTTGGGCCTTGTACATCGAAGTGAAGTGATGGGCCGGGCGGGGCTCTTATATGAGATGACAGTCCATTCAAATTGGATGAAAAGATAATTAAACATGTGATACCAGGTTTTGATTCAAACAGTGCCGGTATGTATTTCGTCACAACAACGACTTGGTCGTGATCCAAATGTATTTATTTCCTTATCATTGGTGTAGTACCAAGTCTACGCATCTAATTCCCCCTCAAACTCCATACTGTGAAACCGCTCATGAGCAGATAATGCAAACAAAGGAATGAAGTGGTTGCATAGTGGACATTTGATACCATCACCACCATCACTGTCGCCATTGACACCCAGACCCTCGGCGTCTCTGAGGTCGTCGTAGTCCAGATCTTCTTCTGTAGCTTCTTCTTCTTCTGCGGCTTCTTCTTCTTCATCGTGATTCCACACATTGTCTGGTGAATCATCCCAGACTTCGTCGTCGTCTTCAATGTGAAAGTAATAATGGTTGGTTGACATTATTGGACCCAAGTGGTTTGTGTCGCGGTCGGCTTGTGCTTGTGCTTGCTCGTGGATGTTGGAGACGGGATGTTGTTGTTGATGGTTAGTGGTGCTGGGGTCCCCATTGTCGTTATTGTTGTCCTCCGCCGACCCTCTTGCTTTCCCGATAGAGGATTCATAGCTTGTATCACTCATGTCCAAGTTCAAGTCCGGGTCCTGGCTTAGGTCTTCTGCATCCAGATTATCCAAAGGTTCAGCTTCAGTTTCGGGTTGGATTCCGGTGTTGTCGGCGTGCTCATGTTCGGGATCGTAAACGGTGAATTCTCTCGCCCTCATAAACATGTTTTTGATGTCCCTTCCCCTTCCTCCGCTGCCGCCGCCACCGGTCGTGGGATCAACCGAGTCCATGTTTGTCACGCAGACGTTCAGCAACCCGATACTATACCCCTTTTCCCCTTTTCTCGGGTTAAGCGGGTTAAGTTCGCGGAACATCGGTAGCAATGTCTCGGCGACAAGTCTCTGGATAATCTCGTCGTCACCATGGGCGTTACCGTGACTGTTACTGCCTGCAATGGTAAAGACGTAGCCAGGCAGACCCTGACTTTTCGAGACCCTTCCATAGCCATACCCTCTCCCCTCTCTCGGGTCCGTCCTCGGTCTCGTCGTCAACCGTAGCGTCTTGGGCCTCGCTAGCCACCTCTTTTTGTCGTCGTCCATCAGATCCGTCTTCATTCTCTTTAATAACGACCCAGTGATCTTCACCAGTTCCCGCTGGATTTGCTCGATGGTGACCAAAGGGCAAGAGAAATAAGTATCTTCGATGCTGATTTGCGTGGGGAGCAAGCGAGCGGGTTTGACGGGGGAGGAGTCGTGGCCATGGAGGAGGGAGACGATGTGTTTGCCGATTCCTGTTCCTGTACCTGAGGAGAAAGAAAGTGAAGAGAGGAGGGAGTCGAGTTTTGATGGTGATAGGTTAGGACAGGAGAGGAGGTCGTCGACGGTGATTTCTTTGGGGTTTGGGGGTGAAGATGAGCCAGGCTTGGACTGGGAAATGAAATAGTCCGAGAGAGCAGCGGCCGTTTTCCCTCCGATCCCGGGTACTTTTCTCAGTTGGTGACTGCCCATGAATCTTTGAATAGTTTCCTCACCGTCGTCGGGCCCGAAAGACAAGAGGGTCGTCTGGTTCCGGGGTTTGTTCACGTTACCGACCAACTTGGCGAGAAGTTTGTTCGTGGATATCCCGCAGGCGGTGGTGTACCCTTCCTCTTCGATCTTCAAACGGAGGTGAAGAGCTAAGTGGGAGGCGAGGAGAAGTTTCGTTCTTAACAACCCAGCCTGTCCACCTCCATACCCCCCAGTCCCAGACCCCTCAAGACCAACCTTTTCCCTCCCATAAACTTGCCCAGCAAACCCCCTCGCATTAAACGCAAACCCCTTCTCCGGATCCTTATTGTCTAAACAAAACCACGAGTGCTCCAAGTCATGGCGGTTCAGCAGTTCAACATTATACTCAACCATATCACTTACATCCATCCAGACTTCATCCAGACCCAGTCTTTCGACTCTGTCATTCCACGAGTACGAGCGCAATAGGGCGTAAAGACGCTTGGAGACGTCCCGAAAGGGAGTCAAGTCTTCGCCGTCGACGATGACCAGGTCCGGGCAGATGGCTAGGGCGGAGGCGATGGACATGAGCTTCTTGACGCCGAGACGGCGCGCGGGGTAGTTGCATGTTGCCAGTAGGGACTTTTGGCGAATTCCGAGGGGGAGGGATTTGAGTGAAGGGGTTTTGTTTTCGTAGACCTTGGAGGGGAGTTAGTAAGTAAGGTGGTTAGGGGAGGTGTACATCATGTTGAGGTGTTTTGAAGAACTGAAGGCTTCTTTGTTTACACCATGGGTCTGAAGCGAATAGGGGAGGGTGTGGGTGAGTGGGTAGGTGGAATTCAAAACCTACTTACCTGGGCGTAGAAGCAATCGAGATCCTACAGACGAAGATTCACACACACAGACAGACAGTCAGACATTGTGTCTACAATTGAATGATGCATAAAGAATAGTAGGGAAGGATGCTGTACAAAATGGAGGATGATTCGATCATGGTGCTTGATTTTCGACTTTTTCCTAGGATGATCCATCGCGGGTACTGTAAGCCGCATCACGAGGACGCGGTGATGCTTTTCACGTCTTGCGATGATGGGTCTGTCTATCCCCCAGTCTGTCCCATGTCTTCTTCTCCTCCAGTCCTCTGCTGTTTTGTGGGGAGATGGCCGGGCTGGCTTGCTAGGGTCCGGTAGCAGTTGGGCTAAACACGATGTGAATGCACCGTGAGTTGGTGTTTCGAAAAGTTGTGTTGAGTTGTGGTTGGTGGTCTTGCGTTTTGGCGCCGTTTTGGAGGTTGCAATGGGTCGAGACGGGATGTGACAACTGTAAAGAGTGGAGACTGTGGAACGCTAAGCGTTGTGCTCCACTCGTCATTTTGGGCTTATTGCAATTGGCTCCCGGTACCTAATCAAGATTCCCTTGCCGCACAGACCAATCCCGAACGCCCTAGCGGCTCAATTGTGATGGTGTACTATAGGGTTACCACAGAGCGCCGATGGGATGGAATGGGATGGTACGGGCGGGTGAGAGGATGATTTTTGACTGAGATTGCCGGCCGTGACAGCGAATGACAGCGACCACAGCGCTTAGTTGCAAGGCGGGCAGCCCAGAAGGAAGCTGGTCCCGGTCACTGTGATGATCATCGGCCTCTGTAGCGTGAATTAGGCGATCCATCAGCCCAAAATGGGAGGGACCCTCACCCCAAATGGGAAAGTCCAATCTTGAGTCCAGTGCACTCGCCAGCATGCCGGTTGATGACGACGGGAAGAGGAATGGGCAAGAGCAGTCCACGATGGAGTTGGAGAGATGGAGGTGTGGAAAGTAAGATCGGTACCAATCTCCCTCTTCCTTCCACTTGGTAGAGGTACTCTTCAAGGCTGCAGTGTTCACTGTTCAGGTCTCCTCCTCCCTCTTCAAGCTCATCTCGCCTCCTCTTTTCAATCCCGTTCCCGGACAGTTTCCATCCGATTCATAGGTAGAGGTAGGAATTGGAAACGACACACCTCACTACACTACCTACACAATGTCGTCCTCAGTCTAGATCGCTCGCCCGCCCGCCCAGTCCCTTCTTCCTCCTCCTCCTCCTCCTCCACCCACACACGCCCGGCTGCTGCATCTTGCATGAGGCTGCTTCCCTAGGTTGAATACCTACCTCAAGGTTACAGTCACGATATTTCCACTTTTGGCGGCACTTCGACCTCATCGCCCGCCTGAGCCAAGACTGCAGACTTTTTGAATCCCAGTCCATCCAGGGCAGGATTGAAGACTTTTCCCCGCCAGAGCCAATTCAATTTAGTTACAATCACTCTTTCGCTTTCCCTCCCTCTCTTTCTCTTTGCTACTGCAATTTCTTCTCTCTCTCTCTCTCTCTCTCTCTGGCCCGTTCACTCCCTACATATTGTAAGACTGACCGGACCATCTCGATTTGATTGCAATATTGCTTGCTTGCGCAAAGTGGAAGGTTCAGTTCTTTGCTGGACGTGCGCTGTTTGTGTGTTTTTGTGCAAAGACACTAACAAAGTCAAATCTTGCAGCGTTACCACGGGAACCTTCACAACAAGGCAACAAATATCCACATACACACTGACAGTTTTCAAACACGTCACGCAATCTCTACCTTTGCACTTGATCTTGGCCAATTTACAAGTTCGGACGGAAAGCTCAAACTTTCCCAGTCGTCTACGCTACTTCCGTCACCATTATCGCTTCTCTTACAACCAGCCGCGGCCTTGGCTCAGCTCGGGCTTGGAGATCAAGGCATCACCATTGATCCTCCTCCTCGCCACTTACATCACTCCACACGCAACAGAATTTGGGAATATTCTTCACCATATCCGACGACGACTACAATCAAGTTACTATCATCAATCTTTCACCACACCGTCGATTCTTTTACAAGCCACTACCGACGCCCACTGCAACTGTACACCACCGATATCGAGGACAACGTGCTGGCTCATGTTCTTCCCCCTTGCTTCGGACTTGGAAACAGACTAACCTCGGCCCGGCTTCCCAACGGCCAATGGCTACGAGATGGCATTCACTCCTTCGAACCGACACAAGCTTACGCCCGCCAGCTCTCCCTTCGTCACCAGGACTTCTAGGTCCCCAGGTCCTCAACGGTCCCGTGCCATCAATGAGACCTGTCTGTCCCTCAGGCGTGTCATAGGCACCACTTGCTCCTCGCCCACCGGCTTCGATTCCGTCTACTCCTCTTTCGCCTACATTGCTGGCGGAGCTGTTGTAGTGGTTGACGTATCCGGCGAGCATTATTCCCAACGCTTTTACCGAGCCCGTCCCTCGGCAGTCCCCGTCTTTGCCCTTTCACCCGTCTCCCACATTACCGCGGCGAATGCCAATCCGACACCGAAAGCCAATGACAGTAGGAACAGGACTACCGCTTCACAGAGGGAATTGGCCTATCAGACAGCGGATTCTTCACAGACCTGGACAAGTCGCGAGCGCATAAAGGCTGCCACTTGCCTTGGCCTCAGCCGGGATGGACGATACCTGGCTGTGGGTGAAACGGGCTATGCTCCCCGTGTCCTCATCTTCAATCTCCAAGATGCCTCTTCCGATACGCCATTGGTGTCCATCAGTGAACACGCATTTGGAGTCAAGGCCGTAACATGGTCACCAGACACAAAGTTTTTGGCTTCTCTGGGCGCTGCCAACGATGGGTTCCTTTACATATGGAAGGTTGACACGAGAACTGGCGCCGCCAGGCTCTTTCAACAAAACCGCTGTACCTCTCACGTCAAGGGTATGGTCTGGATGGGCAACAATTTGATCACATTGGGTGTCCGTCACATCAAGGTTTGGAGGGTTGAAGAACCTCCGCCGCCTGTCTCGCCGATGAAGGCCAAATTTTCCCAACAGGAGGTGGCCTGTTCAGCCGCCCAGCTGGCCCAGAAACCATTGCCTGGCCGAAATATTCTGTTGGGTTCCATGCTGGACGCCACGTTCAGCTGCGCTCTTGCACTTGATGAAAACAGGGCCATCATCTGCTCAGAAACGGGCAGTATCTGTCTCTTGGATGACACAAACAAGCAAATGAAACTAACACGACTATTGGACCTGAACTTCCACGTTAGCTGCATATCGATGAGGAATGAAACGCTCTACATCGGCGGGAAGGATGGTCAGCTATCAACCCTCGCACTCGATGGTGTCTTGGAAGGCACCCCTGACCCCACAATTCACAATCCTCATACGTCTGACGGCCTTGTCGCCCTGGGATTCCTCGCCGAAAACTTCGTCACGATTGACAGCCGCCGAACGATCAACATTTGGAGTCCTGATCATATTCCGGCCGTATCATCCGACGACCCGCACCACATTCCAATTCCTGGCGCCGGCGACATTGTTGGAATACAAGAGCTTCCTGGGTTGAACGGCGCGGACTCATGCTTCGTCACCTGGTCTGCCTCTGGAAGGATCAATATGTGGAACCTGGACGGCCTGATCAAGTTAACACTTGATGTTCCCGTGGACCAGGTAGAGAACAACATCGATGGCGAGCAACCGGCCAATCAGCTAGTGGTGGTGAGAGCCACGAACGATGGGAGTCTCTTTGTTGTGGGAGACAAGCTTGGCGTTCTTCGCATCATTGACGCCTCTACGAGAGTTTGTTTACTCGAAACGAAGGCACATTCCTCCGATTGCCAAGATATTGCCATCTTCGAGGACGAGTCAAGGCTCCTTATCGCCTCATGCGGCAGAGACCGCACAGCTCAATTGTTTCATCGAACATCCTCCGGTGCATTTGACCACTTTCAAACGCTGGAATTTAGCGCCAAGGTCGTCCAGGTTTTGATACCCTCCCGCGACAAAGTCCTCACTTGCTCGCTGGACCGTACCCTTCAGGTACACGATCTGGTTACGAAAGAGAGTGACCCTGATGTCATGGCAGCCATTTCTTCAAGGGTTATTACGCTACGGGCTTCGCCATCCTCAATGGTGGTAACACCTCTTGGAAAGTCAATCTTTGTATCACTTTTGGATCGCTCAGTTTGTCATTTTGACTACAACAATGGACGGCTCTTGAACTCGTTCAAATGCCACGACGAAGGAGGGTCCGAGACCGTTGTCTTGGAATCACTAAAGTACGGCCAAACCGGGGGGGACATGGGCTTCTTGCTTGGCATTTCCAACACAGACAAATCTATCCGGGTATACGACGCTCACTCCGGGACCTTCATGGGCCGTGAATGGGGTCACACGGAAGCCATCAACGGTGTGGTCATGGTCGAGGGCGAGCAGGCTGGCAGAAAGATTATCAGTGTCGGAGAGGATGGGACCATCATGGTTTGGGGACTGGACATACAGTTTCCAGTGACTGGTTCCAGGAACCGCGATCCTTCGCCTGACAAGACCGCCAGCTCAAGGGCCAACAACCCGTCTGCGCACAGTCGACCGCCACTCAGGAGGGTGTTATCAAAGGCTGAGCTAGCCGAGTTTCAACGACCATCTTCATCCCATGCCGGCAGCAGCAGACAGCGCCGTCTCTCACCCAGTCGAGCACAACCCCGTCGTTCCTCTCAACAACACGCAGTGACTTCCACCGCACGCACACCAGTAACATCGGGGAAGCGGGTAAGCCCCGACGGTACCGGATCAATCCGAATCAAACGCAATGCCCTACGTCGGACATCTTCAGGAGCAGGCAGCAGATCCGAAAGCCCGCCTTCCGAGGACAACGGCATATACCGTCGTTGCGCATCCCCCCCGCTTATCAACGGTGACGTGACACGCGCAGCCTCCACCGTCCGCTCGTCCGCCCGCAAGAAGACCAGTCAGTCAAACCTCCGAAGCAATACCGCCCCTAGTACATCGGCAGGGCCCAGCAGCGCCAACGGCTACGGCTTTGGTTCCCTCAGCGCAGCCACCGAGCAGACTTGCCGCCAACTACGAGCCTACCGCAAAAAGCTGGCAAGCTCGGACGCTATTAGCGGCGACATCTTGGCCGAACTCGATGCCGAACTGCGACTTACCGCGGCCGCCCTCGGGGAGCGGGCGATCCGCAGCCGGAGCAGGAGGCCTCATTTGCAGAACCACCACAGCTACTGCGGCCACGGCAGCGATCGTGAACGTGGTCACGGTCATCACGACAGAGACAAGGCGCTCAGCGAAAGCATGCTCACCAACCTGCTGGACCAGTATAGTGAACGGTTGGTCAGCATGTTGGATGAGAAGCTGAGGATAAGGTTGCTCAGCGAGGAAGAGAGGGAGGCGTTGATGAGTGCAAGGCAGAGTCAGCGGCCGACGACGTCTGGAGGAGGGTCGACGAGCTCGGGGGCGTCGGGGGTTACGGAGGGGAGGAGTGGGAGCAGCTCGATCGGGAGCACGATCATGTGCATCGATGGAGATGGGATGATGATGATGCAGGAAGAGGAGGACGGTGGGGAGGCGGACGGGGAGACCGAGTGTGACGGAGAGGGAGGGGCAGACACTGAGGCGGAGGATTTCTGCGGTGAGGAAAGAGGGAGGGAGAGTGGTGGGTTGAATGAGAGGATGATGGGGTTGGATTTACATTGCTAGGCAAATGGCAGAAAGCAAAAGAGGAACCAGGAAAGGATCAGAAACAAAAAACAACCAAAGTGGACAAGATACCCCTTCTAAACAACATTTCCTTTTCTTATCACGACTTTCAAGAACAATAACACAACCTACCCACTTGCGCGAGCCACGCACTTCTCTTTTTGTCAAACACTTTTTTTTGTATCAACAGATTGGAGAGAATCATCGACTGCAATTTGCATTGGAGTGGTATTGTGCATTATCGGGGAGACTAGAAGGCGGGCGGTAGATGGGGGTTAAGGCGGAACGGGGAAAGAAGGAGTGATGGATAGAAGTGCTCTATAATTCACTTGAGGCGTTATAGGTAGTTACGGTAGTTAGGTTGAATGGAACATTTGACCCGCTCATCACGATTGGTTTCATCTTCCTGTTCGTACAGCCACCCATCATTCACCAATCTCTAAGCTCAAAAATGACCTCCATATCACCCCATGTGCTATGCTAACCTGTTTATATGCCATGTGATGCCATGAGTCGCCATTTTACACCGAGCCATGCTATGTTATGCCATTAATTTCCCTTCTAGCCATCCATCCAATCCCCCTTCTTTTTCACTCTTGAAAGACCTGTTGGGTATCAACCACCCACCCCCCCCCCCCCCGACTTTTTTTTTCTTTTCCCTAGAGACATCCCATACACTCAGTTGCGCACAGCGCAAAGCAGTTCTCTCTCTGAAGCCAGCTAGCCAGTTATGTAAACATACCCACCCCCCTAAAGCCCTAAGGATGTCGTGCAGATCCATGCCGTTGCCGTTGCTGTTGCCGTTGCTGTTGACCCTGCCGTTGCCGTTGCCGCTGTCGCTGAACGACAGCCGAATACGACGATGATGACAACGAGGATGTCGCGGATGAGAGTACCTAAGCCCCAGTCCTTGATACCCGTGCTGCATGAGCTGGTGGACCATGTGAGTTCATGACACTTTCTCCTGTGCTGCCTTCTTCTTCTTCTAGTCCGTCAACACCACTACCAAGAACAGCTCGACCGTTGGTCTCAGGCTGCCGCTGCTGCTGATGATGATGATGATGAGGATGATAATGATAATGATGGCCTTGCCTCAACGACTCCTCCGTGACTTCCTCGACAACTGATAGCTCATGCGTTTCATAGGCCTTGACCTCCTCCTTCTCCTTGTGGAGCTCATGCTCATGCTCATGCTTCGTATCCTTCTTCTTCTTCTCATCTCTCGGCCTTTTATCCTGTCCCTCAGGGTCCGTCTCGTGTTGTCGGTGATGATGGTTAATCTCGCTCTTGCTCTTACTCGTGCGGCGGCTTTTGGATAACATTTGATCTCTCAATCTCTTCCAATCAGCCTTCCAGTTCTCGATGCTCCGGACCAGTTCTGGATCAGCGGCCTCGACGGGCGGGAGGAATTCGTTGACGAGGGTCTCGATGGCGCGGAGTTCGAGACGGAGGTGCTTGAGTTCGGATTCTTGGTAGGAGATTTCGTCTTCTCTGTTTTGCATTTGCAGCTTGTCGTTAGTTTGTTCTGTGGGTCAAAAGGGATGGATGAATGAGGCTTACAGATCGAGGACTTCCTTCTCTAGTTCGAGGATGCGAGAGGCGGCCGCTTCGGCTCTTTCTACTAGAAGGGCGTGAACGTGCTGTTGGTTTGTCGTGTGGGGTTTAGTATTTGTACATACATGAATAGGGATTTTGGAGAGTGTGAGAGGGACTTACATTTGATTCCTCTCTCCTCGTCTCCAGGCTTTTCAGGACTGCCTCCAGCTGAGCAGCTAGCTTCTCAGATTCGGCCGCGATGCGCTCTGTTTCAGCACCCCGTCGCTTTTGTGCCTCCACTTCCACTGCAGCAACAGACACTGATGCAATACCAGCGCCAACAGAAGGTGTAATCTCAGCAGCCTCCGCCAGCTTCAAGTGAGCTTTTGATGACGGCGACGGTGAGTGCGCCCGTGACTCAGGCGGTGAAGGCTCTGATCCCGAAAAGTTCTTAGCTATCCAACCTGGGGCAGCAGCAGCAGCAGCAGCCTCTGACGACTCAAAGGCAGGCATGTCATTTAGAGGCGAATGAGCCTCATCTTCCTCTCCACCGCTCTCGCTTTCACCTCCACTTTCCTCTGGTCTTGGAGAAGGAGCCTGTGAACGTCTTGATCTCCTCGCTGATGGCCCAACAGGCCGTTTCATCACCCTCAAACCACCAGTAACACCCGCAGCACCCGCAGGACCATCACCACTGTCAATACCCCTAAGTCTGGTCCCTGTTCCCTTCCCGGTGAGGACAGCTTCCATCTCATTCACCTTGGCGTGCAATTCGCTGATACTGACATCGCTAAGAACACCATGGTTCGTAACCGTCGGTTCCTTGGCCTCCTGCAAATGGTGAATTAAATCCGTCAACCGTTCCACAAGCACATCTTTGCTGTCCTGTGTGAGCTTGTCGTCTTCTGCCTTGTTAGCAGCAGCAGCGGCAGCAGTGTCCGCCCGTACCCGCTGGTACTGGTTGTGCTGGTCGTCATCATCGCTTAACTCGTCATCGGCGTGAAAAGAAAGAGTGTTGTCGTTGTCGTCATCCTTGACAGCAAGGTGATGAACCGTACCACGGCTGTCGTTGACGTGAGTGAAGAAGGAGTTGCCGGAACCGGGATAGGAGCCGGCGATGCTGGCAAAGCTGGGGGCTCGAGACGATGAGCGGACGGCCTGAAGAGGGGCGGAGAATTGCCTACGGAACGGAGAGAGTGGTGAAGAGGGTCCTAAGCCTAGGCCTCCGACGAGGTGATAGAGCGTCGAAGCTGCTGGTGACGGTAGGTGATGGGATGAGGGTGAGGGTGAGGGCGAGCGGCTGCCGTGCCGGTGGAGAGCATGGCGATTTCGCCCGCTTTGAGGATGATTGGGTGGTGTCTGAGGATGTGAAATGAGTTGTCGTTCTTCAAGGTTACATGAGGAGCCTTGTGGGGGGGAGCCGAAGCCTAGGGGGGATTGTAGTCCTCTGGGAGAGGTTTGTGTGGTGGCACGTACCGGACTACCTGAGGTTGTTGTTGTTAGACTTGGCAACGGGGGGTGAGATGGGGATTTGATCGAATGAAGGTCCGAGTCTAGGTCTGAATCCGGGTCTGCATAGTTTGGTGCCGCAGACCGTCGGTGGTTTTGTTCATCATCATCGGGCATCGCGATGGTTGATGGTCCTCATGCCACCAATAAAGATGTAAACAAAGAGTCGTATCAGATGTCAACAAGTCATTGATGAGTGCTAACAACAGTGAAGGTATCGGCGATGGTTTTCTATCATTTCAGTATCCCCAACTTTCCGCCCTGTTTGTCTTCCTCTTTACAGACTGGAATTTCCGGTTTGATATCGTTGCTGAAGCCCAAAGCAGATCAACAAGATGTCTTGGCAGTTCTACAGGCTCCTCTGCTCCGTCGGCGTAGTGGAGCAGTTCAGCCGTCGTGTCGCTGCGCCGTTGGGTGCCAGCTACTGTACCGGTTAATTGTATGTTGTGGGCGATTTCTTTATTTGCTGGATCATCTTTTCAGGAAAGTTTATGCAAGAGACAACTGAAGGCCACCAGACAAGAGAGGGGCTTCGTACGCTGAGGTTGCTGGTTGTTATTTCAGTGTTAGGTATCAGTTGAAATTGTTATTGGCGAGGTTTCCCTTCCGTTGCTAGAGGTAGTGTACCTCTGCAGGTCCAGGGCCGCAGTTGCACTGGAGCCCAGAGTCGGGTGAAACGTTTTTCTGTACAGTGAGGCAGTCACAAACAGAGTCCGAGCTCCTAGACTACCTAGGTACGTACTTAGTTCCCCGGACAGCCGATCTCCAGTCTCCGGACGGTGAGCCCCACAAGGTGGGTGGAAAGCCCCCGGACTCCGGGCCAGATGAGCTCGGCGAGTCATGGACAAAGCACGACAAGGAACACGGGCGCACAGCCAGTGGGAAACAAGAGCCCGACGGTTGCCGAAAGTGTGTTTTTTTTGTTTGTTGTTTTGGGCGCAAAAGAAAAAGAACCGAAAGAGCGGACGAATCAGCTGTCACTCAAGTCGTCCGAGATGCCCCGCCAGGATTGTCTCTTGAGTCTGGACACTTCAAGGAGCTTCACTAGTACAGAGAGTGCTCTCACCATTGAGAGCGTCTATGAGAAAGAACAGTTACGCTTTGATATTTTTGCTCGGTGCTTTGTTTATTTACTTTTTCTAGTTCGTCTCAAACCTCAAAGCACGCTGAGCATGACGTCAAGTGGAGGTTGACGGTGTATCCGTTTGTCAGAGCTCCTGTTTTCGTGATACGGGAGTGACCTATAAATGCGATAATGCGAGTGGACTAACTTTTTATAGGTAAATGAAACGGTATTTGATGTGTTTTTGAACTCTCAATTCACAAGTTCAACTCGCCTCTCGGCTTCTCAATTATTACCACAATGGGCCTGCTTACCAAGGACCCAAGACTATTCTAGTATCACGCTCAAAGCTCTTGACAGCTTTGAATCCAATGAGACCTGAGTTCGCAACATCAAGGTGTCCGCGTGTCGGTGGCTGACTGTTGGAATCTGAAGGTCACCTAGAAGCTCTTCCATGTCTCCCCCATGTCACATCAGCTCCTCACTGTGTTTTATGTTTACTGTCTGCGGAACTAAGGGGGCATGCTTGAATGTGGAGGTAAGAGCTATGTATACTACCAGCCTCGAGCCGACTGCCACCGCAACGTAACCAGACTATAGAGGCTCATCAAACTCAGAGGGATGCTCATGCTTGACAATCCCCCTTTGGGTTCCTTGGCAGAGGTTGGTGTTGGAGGTGACTGTTTGAGGTTGCTATATCCGGTATTTCTCCGCCTCATTCGGTCTGCCCCCAGGGGATCCAATGAGAAGCGCGGGATATCAAGAACAGGGGACAGAGCACAAACGCAATGGAACCTTGACTCGAGGGTGCCGTACGATACTGGCGAGAGGCAGTTGCAAAAGAGCCGGAAAAAAAAAGAAGCGAGCCATGCTGCTGTGCTCTGCTTGTGGACGGGAGGGACGGGAGTGGTGTGCATGAGGATGAGATGCATCTCGATTCCCTTGCTGGTTGTTAGGACAGAGTCGCTGTGCAAGGCACGCTGCGGTAGCTTGCAGTAACAGCCGGGACAGGTACTGAAGGCACTGACTGGGTGGATATCTTGTGCCCGTCTGACACTCATCCGATCCATGGCTCGGGAACCCCGCCAATGGTGACTAAGGTGGACTGAGTGTGTTTCCCGTCCCCCGGCTCCATGGAGCCCTTGTTAGTGCGGTGACTAAGAACCTAAGCTGAGGCACATGGGCAACCACTGCCTGACTCTCTCTCCCGTCTCTGTCTCCATTCCCGTCCCTATAACCCGAGTGCCAACCTACATAGATAGGTACCTAAACATTTCCAGCGCTTTCGCTTTTTCCTCCTTTCTTCTTGAGTTGTCGTCTCTCTCTCCGTCCCTTTCTTTATACCCGAGGGGGCTGTTTTGACTTGCGCGTGTATTGGCGACAACGGAAACGCCCAAGACGCCAACGTCAGCAGGAGGATATTGTTTCCCATACCGCCAACACTATAACCACTAACAAATCCACTTGCGTCATTGTCGCCGGATTCCGCTTGCCTCGGTTGTGTTGCGCCCGACTGGCTTGAGGTGTCCTACAGGGAGCACTACCAGAACCCTACCTAGCTGCCGATACCTGGCGCCCATAACTGCCGACGCGGTCTTGTCCGGTACCTCGAGATAACCGAAGCTGTTACCCATCAAGCCGTCAACACCGCACCAGACACCGTGCAGTTCCCGCAGCAAAAGTCCATTGGACAGCCGACTCCCGTCCCTCTGACAACCAGTCACTCCAGTCAGTCAGTCAGTCAGTCTTCTTCAACCACCTACACAGTACCGTAGCCAACCCTCCTCAATAAAGACCGCCCTGATCGAGAATACCCAATTGCGGTCCGACTCATCCGGAACGACAAGCAACGCCAGTTCCCTTTCTGCATGGTGCACGGCAGCCGGCCTGCACTCCAGCACTCCACTGCTCTCTACGGCATCAATTGGCGACAGCGATAGCGGCCAAGGCCCGTAACCACCAGCCAACATGTCGTGGAAAATGAGCGAGAAGCTCATGGACACCATCCGGCACTATGCGAGCTTTCCTGCCACCGGCGTCAGCTTGCGCCAGATGGTCCAGTTCGGCGAGAAGCCTTCTACTGGTAAGGGGGGGAGAAAAGACACTTGGTCCGTCCACAAAGCGTCTTGCTAACCTGCGCCGCCATACATCCAGGAACCCTCTTCCGCGCCTCCCAATTCCTTGCTGAAGAGCTCCCCATCCGTCTCGCCCACAGAGTCCAGGAGCTTGATAACCTTCCAGATGGCCTTAACGAGATGCCTTCGGTCAAGAAGGTCCAGGCCTGGTACGCTCAGTCGTTCGAGGTGCGCACAATAAACACTCTCCTCTTATCCCCCCTCCCCTGTCCCACCATGTTAGTGAATATCTAACGGGTCAACATAGGAAATCACACAACTACCACGGCCACACCTACCAAAAGATGTCAGGGAGCGCTTGATGAGGCCGTCGCGAAGCGGAAAACACGCCTATCTACCAGAGGCGACACCAAACCCCAGCATAGAGGAAGGCCAGTACGCCTCACACAATGGAGCAGGCTACGCAAGCGGACTCAACCACAAAAAGTTCTCGGCCTCAAGGAGATACTTCGCTATGGTCGATGACACCGGCGATTGGCCTCCCGACCTACACCTTTACAACCAGAAATTTGCGCAGACTCTGCACAAGATCAAGAGGCGGCACGACAGTGTCGTCACCACCATGGCCCAGGGCATCCTTGAATACAAGCGCAAAAGGCAACGCATGCAGATCGACCACAACATCCAGTCTTTCCTCGACCGCTTCTACATGTCGCGCATAGGCATAAGAATGCTGATTGGGCAGCACATCGCCTTGACGGACCAGAACCACTATCGCGATCCCTCATATGTCGGTATTATCTGCACCAAGACGTATGTCAAGGACCTCGCCCAGGAGGCCATTGAGAACGCCCGGTTTGTTTGCGAGGATCACTACGGTCTCTTTGAGGCTCCCAAGATCCAGCTAGTCTGCAACCCTAACCTCAACTTCATGTATGTGCCAGGGCATCTGTCGCACATGCTCTTTGAGACGCTCAAGAACTCGCTGCGCGCCGTCGTCGAGACCCACGGCCAGGACAAGCAGGAATTCCCCGTCACCAAGGTCATTGTTGCTGAGGGCAAGGAAGACATCACCATCAAGATCTCGGATGAAGGAGGCGGTATTCCCCGTAGCGCTATCCCGCTTGTTTGGACCTACATGTACACCACCGTCGATCGCACACCCAACCTGGATCCCGACTTCGACAAGAGCGACTTTAAGGCCCCCATGGCCGGTTTCGGCTACGGACTTCCTATCTCGCGCTTGTATGCGAGATACTTTGGTGGCGACCTTAAGTTGATCAGCATGGAAGGGTGAGTAACCCGGGCTGCTTCTTGAGGCGTTGTGTATGCTAACAGCTCGGGATAATTAGATACGGAACCGATGTCTACCTGCACCTCAACAGGTTGTCAAGTTCGTCAGAACCTCTGCAATAGCAACCAGCAGTCATGAGGGGTAGCGGAAGAACAGGAACCGCATCCCAAGGATTGACGCTGCCATCGTCACTGAGATACATGAAAAAACGGCTTAAGGACCTCGAGGTCTCGGAACGCAAGCAGGTTGGCGACACCGAAGCCACAGTTCATCCTCTTCCACCTCAGCCCGTGCCTTCGTCGGCGTTCGCCTCGGGAACCGGAGTAAGAACCAAAGACAGCGCTCTCTAGAGGAAAACAAAAAAATAGTGTTAATGCCTTGTCTTTTGCTGCAGGTGGGAAGGACGGCGGGGCTCGGATCTGGATTTGGTCGGCTTTTCCTCGTTTTGTCAACTCTGTCGTTCGGCTGGTTCGGCTTTTCGGTTACTCGAAGCGGTTGAGGGACTTATCCACGTACCCACCGGATAGACAAATAATGTACGAAAGCTTACGAAACGAACTCACAAACACGGATGAACGAACCGGTTCAAAAGGAACACATAGCAACATAAACGCAACGACATACAACGACAAACAGATACGCATGAAAGCATGGAAATTGGCGCTGTTCACATCGGGAAGACAGGTGGGCGGTTTTCACAACGCAAGGGGGTGAGGCGAAGGGTGAAAAGGGGAGAAGAATCTACCCTCTGCGGTTACATGTCATTCAAATAGGGCGCCCCGGAAGGGGAGGGATGGGCATCGATGGGAATAGAAAGAAGAAGAGGTGTGTGGGGTACTACGAGAAGCTAGTACGATGGACGACCACCTACGAGCCTACCTACATACGCAGCGAAGAAAGGGGCAACAAGGGGGTCAGGCCGTCACACGGAGAGACGGAGAGATGAATGACAATAAATATCCTTTTTACACACTTCCCTTGGTTCCTTCTTCTCATCCCAACTGCGTCTTGTCGATAAAAGAGATATCCAAGTTATACGTACGGTATCAATATTCGAGTACACGTAATGTACAAAGGCATTATATATGTTTAGCATGTCACTGTATTCGGAAACAGGCCAAGATTGTACGTATCTTGGTGTGTATGAAAAGGCTGAACTACACAACGACTGGGTAGAGGTCATGTAAATAGATTCTACAGAATATTGATGGGTTTCGTTAGCATAATAGATATTTTTGTTGTAGCTCTAGGTATGATGAGAATTGGTTTCAGGACAAGACAACAAGGACATGCCACACTCCTCTCCTCCTCTTTCTCTCCTTTCTCATACACAGTATCGTACCATGTCATGCCAGTTGACACTTCATGACCTCGCAACCATGTACACACGCTATACATCTCCCCTTGTTAATCCCATCTTCATTTCCTCTGTACACTACTTAGGTATCTCTCTCCAACAATAACAACAACGCAACGCTTGCTCATCAAACCCAATTTTACTTTGACATTCACTTCATGAATTGATCATCTAGTCAACCCTGGTATCTCAACTCAAACTAAGCCTTGTACAACAAATCCAAAAACCCCCTCGCCAAATCCACCACGACGCTCTTATTCGGCAAACTGCCCGCAACACCATACAACGCCGCCGTATCCCCAGCAGCCTTTTGTTTGCCCGTCTTTCCTGAGGTACCCATCTTGAGCGCCTCCACCTGCCGCACCCTCTCTTTTTCGCGTTCCTCTTCGACCACACTTTCCAAATCCTGCGCCAACCTTTCCCAATTCTTGGCCACCGGCGCCGTCACTGCTACGTGAATAGCTGGCGGGTTTTGCAGGGCGTTCAAGTGCCAGCCGCGCGAGGACATGCCGTCGGCAATGTCGTAAATGTTGAGGTCCCCCCTGGCTTGGAAGGCCAAGACGGACACGAGGGGGTTACCGAGGATTTCGAGTTCTTGTTGCAAGGTGGGGTGGGAGCGGATATGTTCGGCGAGTTTCTTGGTGGCGCCCACGATTTGCGTGCAGGATTTCAGGTAGCCTTCTTCTCCGACAGACATAAGCGAAGCCCAGCAGGCGGCGATGAGAGCGCCGGGGCGGGAGCCGGCGATACCCGGGGAGGCGTAGACGCCTCCGGACCAGGAAGGGTCGACAAAGTACTGGTAACTCCGTAACTCGGCAGTGCGGTACAGGACTGTGGAGTTGCCCTTGGGGGCAAAGCCGTATTTGTGCGTGTCGCAGGAGATGGAGGTGACGCCTTTCAGACGGAAGTCGAACGGTTGCGAGTCGAAGCCGGCTTTGTCGAGGAAGGGAACGAGGAAGGAGCCTAGGCAGCAGTCGACGTGGAGCGGGATCTTCTTGCGGAGGGCAAGTTTGGAGAGGGCGGAAATGTCGTCGATGATGCCGTGCGGGAAGTTGGGGGCCGAGCCGACTAGCATGATGGTGTTGCGGTTGATCAGGCGGGCCACGCGCTTGGTGTCGACTTGGTAGGAGGGCGCAGGGCAGGCGACGAGGTGGAGCTTGATTTTGAAGTATTCGGCTGCTTTGCGGAAGGCTGTATGGGCGGTTTCGGGGATGATCATCTCCGGCTCGGTCACGCCGCGCTCGTGGTAGGCCTTTTGGCGCGCGGAGAGGATGGCCATGAGAATGGACTCGGTACCGCCCGAGGTGGAGACGCCGGCGGCTCCGGGGGGAGCGTTGAAGAGGGAGAGCACCATGGCGACGACTTCGGCTTCCATCTTGCGCACGCCCGGGAAGACGTCCGGATGGATCGGGTTGGCAACGGTAAACTTGCCGTAGGCCTCCGTCTGCAGCTTGAGAAGCTCGTCCTCGCCCGAGTAGACGGCACCCGAGACGTAGCCGTCCTCCCACCGCGTATGATCCATGGTGGCGAGCGCTTCGAGCTCCTTGCGGACGGCCTCCTCGGTCCAGCCCTCCTTGGGTAGTGACAGGTAGCGAGTTTGCCCAGAGGGAATCATCTTGGCTTGCATCTTGGTGAGGGCATCGTCGATTTGGGCGCGCACTTTGGTGCGCACGCCGGGTAGGCGGAGGAAGTAACCATAGAGAATGCGGCGAGCGTCAGTGAAGAGCTCGAACAGGGTGCCGAAGAGACCGCGGCCTTTGAGCTTCCACAGAGCGCGGCGGGTCCAGCGGAGAAGGAAGAGGAAGAAGACGATGTTGCGGATTCTGTGGTCACATTACTGTTGTTAGTCGAGTGTATGTAGACAAAGATGTATCTGATGGAGTGGTTTGGTTCCCGTGTAAGTCGATGAGTCTGCGACCAAGGGTAAGACATCCACATGTGATTTGCGATTGCGGTTGGAAGGGCTGGCCGAGGCTACAAACCGCACCGCTTTCGCTGCATGGGAAACTCAAAAGATGACGGCCGTCGTATTACCCATATAGACTGTTATGAGCACATGGTAGAAAGGAATACGAGACTCACAAGTCCACATTGAGGTTCAACACCTGTATCGGATTCCTCGGTCTCGACCTCTTGACGCTGTCAATGCTCTGCCGGAGGCTGACAGGCATGCGTGAAGTGCCTGGCATCTTTGCTGTTCAATAAGCAAGAGATTGCTAACTTGGACAGGTAGAAAAGGGAGGATCGAAGTTGTTGTTATGGTGATGCAGTGACCCGAGAGGCCCTTGAAAGAAGGAAGACGGGAAAGAAGAGAACCAAGTGGGGTGGAAACCCGCCCGGGATATATCACTTATTCATGAAGTGCCTGGCTTACCCACCCCCGGCCTCAAAGTCTAGTGGACGCGTGTGAGCTGTTTAGTGCTTGCATTCAGAGCCTGGCAGTTCATTTAGCGCCTTGCGGGGGAAGTCAGGTTATGTAACCGCAGTCAACCGAGGGACCTGAATCGAGAAAGGAAGCTCGGCGTGGGCGCGTGGCAGTCCAGCGTGGCGATTGCAACCATTCAAACAGGGCAGCGAACAGCCTCGTGTTGATGATGTTTTCCCGCTCACTCGTTCACTGCGACTCCGTCCGCGGACCCCGTTCGGTTCCAGGTTTTGTAGTAGCAGGACTTCCGGGGAAGCCGGCATCACTAGTCTAGCAGTGCCAGACCATCCATTCATCCAGATGTTCTGCTACCGAGGGAAACTCTGAGAAGGAAACTAAACAGAAGCCAAGAGAGTTTGGGTACTCGCCATTTACCATATGGAATCAATGGCTCGAGACATCGAGGTACTTTTTTCCCCACCGTTCCCTTGCCGTTATCCGAACACATGGAAGTCGAAATATCGATCAAATCACACAATCACATGCACGAAGGACTCACCACCACACCACACCAACAATGGCCTTTTGACGTAGCACCTTGATGGCTCTCCACGGTAGCAGGTAGTAAAAGTCATCCTTAGTATATAAAATACTTAATGATCCAAACAACCACATCAAATCACCGTTTCATCGTGCTACCAAATTGCAGGCAGTGTACGTAGCAGTAAGTACTCATCCAAACATAACCGCCGTTTCATTTGCCTCCCCCTCCAGGCTTTCAACCTCCGCCTCTTTATTCCTAAATCTAGTATTACGTTGACGTCGTTCTTCTCATCTTTATATCCATATTCGTTCCGTAGGTTTCCCTTCCACACCATGGGTTGCTTGCCTCTGTCAGCCTCTTCCTCATCCACCTTGCTTAGGAGGAGAGGTTACTAATTATATGTTGTCCAAATTTCCCGGTGAGCAAATAGCAGAAACATTGTCTCCTCAAACGCCCCCAACCCATCCTGTTGAAATTGGCATGTGCTTGCTATGATGAAGGAGCTCCTCCTCCCTTTCTCCAAGTAAGAAACGCTCTTTGTGCTCCATACCTCCCCTCCTGAGCCCGTGTACGTTGTCAGGTTATTTTGTGTGCTGTAGGTGGTGGTGGTGGTGGTGGTGGTAATGCTGGTGCTGGTAAATCATTAAGCAAATTCTCCTCCCCTTTCGAACGCCGTTCCTGCAAAGTGGCAGCCGACCGTATTCCAAGAGGACAGTCGGCAATACGCGCCCTTCCTTGTCCATGAAATGCCCACTAAGATTTACAATTCGTTGTTTTCAGCCTTTCGAAATCGTCGTTCAACGAGGTTGGTTATTCGGTTCGGTTCGGTTCGGTTTGGTTCGGTACGTGCATGTTCATGGTATCCAAGAAGCTGAATGTGCCTTCTTGTCGCCTGCTATCCTCCATCCATCCCTTGACCTCTGCCTGCCTTCTCATGAGTCCTGAAACGCGGCCTTCCACTGAGCGAACCTCTGCGACTCGGTCTCACAAGTATCCTCGCCAGCTTCACCGCAAGCGTAGAGGCGCACCGCAAGGTCGCCCTCCTTGTACTCCTGCCCACCCTTCTCCTTGCTGTATGAGTTCAAGATGCGCTGGGGCACAAGAGCGAGCTTGGCGAGGATGGTGGGGTGCCACTGGACAATGTGTTCCTGTTGTCTCACGTGTTAGCATATTGTCCGTTTTCACCCCCTGATCAGCGACGCTTTCGCGAGAGCTTGGCCCAACTTACCAAGGCATGCTGCTCCGCCTTCTGAAAGTTATAAGTCCTGTAGATGGGATCAAACCAAGTCTCGAGGAAAAACTTGGCCCACTCGCCATTCTTCACCACGAAGCTGCTCGAAGACAGGCCATCCTTGTCCTGCGTCAATACGAAATCAACATCGTGTCCCTTGAGGTGGCTGAACGTCTTGATGATGCTGTCGGGCGGCACAACGGGGTGGTCCTTGATCATCAGCTCCTCCAGCCTCGATGGCTTCATGACGTGCTCCTCGATCTTCAGCAGCGGGTTCATGATGAAGGCGTTCTGATCGAGGTACCAGATGTACGACGCATCGGGGAACTTGGTCATGGCATGTCGGACGGCGGGGAGGGTGGCCCACGAGACGGGTGCGCCGTGGAGGTCGTAGTCGGAGGATTTGACGAAGAAGGTGCCGTAGCCTGCATCGGGTGGTGATGATGGTAAGTAAGCTGAGGTCAGGATAGAGACAGCGGGAGCATGCATCTGTCTTCGCATGTCGCTCCCCTTGGCGCAGATTGGGCGGGAATTGATGAACACATACCATGCTTCTCGGCATATTTTAGCCTGTTTTCCTTGACCATATCCAAATACCCCTTTCCATACTTGCCCTCGTTGAACACTGTAACTATCACCACCGGCGGGTTGCCCGACGGCTTGTGGTACGCCGGTGGCGCATGTCGACTACGGCCGCTTCGTTGGAATAGCCACAGTAGCGTCAGGAATGCCAGGCCGGTAAGGACAATGGTTTTCAAACGCTTGCCTCGTATTGTCGGAAGAGCGGACGTCCGGGGCCGAAATGGCGGCGGGTTCGAAGATTTTCGTGGAGGGTATGCGAAATGCATCGCGGGCAGGTTTGCGACGAGGAACAGACGAGTCCAGACCCTGAAACTATGGTGTCGTAGTACGCGCGGCGCGGCGTCGTCAGCTTCGGCAGAAGATTCCACCCTCGCAGGGACAGAGGGAAATAGAGCGGTTTGGCGGGCGGTGGGAAGAGGCGACCAAGTGGAAGCTTCCGTCCGCAGAAAGAGGAGTTTAGGGGAAAACAAGATCGACGCCGAAAAGGTCAAACTAGGGGTTCGGCCGTTGGTGATGCGCGCGCGCCTGTTCGCGACGGTCTAACCAGCTTGATTGGGACAAATCGCCCAAACAGGACTTTTGGCTCAACAAGCCTCACACTACCAGTCGAAGTTTGGTTGTCGTCGGCCGGACTTGTTTGAGGAATACTTGTAGATACTGTTGACCAAGGCAGGTACGTCAAGGAGTATCAATCTAGATCGGATCGAATCGTGGCTGGTACTCTTTTTTTCTTGTCTTATAACGAACCAACACGCTAAAACGGACGGGGGGTGAACCAGGTCGGCGTGATAGCGTCCGTTCGGTTGGTCGCGGCTTTCTAATAGCACGTATCGTCGTCAGGATTTAGACATGGACATCTGGTGAAATTGGCTGGCAGCTTTGTGCCCCGAACACAATTCGTACGTATCCCACTGTGCTCGACGCTGCACAAGATGGGAGACAAGAGGCGCGACGGGTGGAGGTGGATATTTATTGGAAAGCCCCCTTTCGAGATCCAACATCTGGACCTGACTCGACTCGCTGCTTCTTGTTGGAAATTCAGTTTGGGCAGGTTGAAACAACGCAGGAACACCCTCTAAATTACGAGCGGCCTGAAGAAGACCGTTGCCAGGTGTCATCACTGTAATACAAGTAGACGTTGGCGGCGTTGGATGCATCGATAAGGGTCCTTGAGCCCCACTCTGGCACAGGGCAGCCCTCGGTCCAACAAGGTGCTCACTCCCGCCAAGTTGGAATTGAACTGCATCGTCACCTACCTACCTCTTGGTCCCGTCTGATAGCTGCTGACTTCACATCACGCAGGGCGTATCTGGATATCTTATATAAAGTAGGTAGCTTATTTCATTGTAACCAACGCTGATTGCTAAAGCAACGCGTGCTTGATTTTTAAACGCTTCGCTAAAGTATCAGGACCTCATCCGGCCATCATCATTAGACAAACCCCAGGTATCTCAATGGCATGTTCCAATCTCGAAAGACAGCAAACTCCCTTCTCCCATCCGTCCGACGGCATAGTGCACACTCGAAAGCATGCGCCCAAAGACATGTCTGCCCGAAAGCAAGTGGATATCCACCCGAAGGCGTGAGGAGTAGCGAAAGATGGAAAAGGCTCCAAAGAACCCAGTCCAGTAAGGCTCGGATTGGCGCTCCATGCCAGTCCCAAACGAGAAGCAGACAAGACGCCTTCTTCTCAGGGCGACAATGAAGCTCGATCTTTGCACACAGACTAGTTGCCACGACATGGAAGCAGGAGCCAGTGACAACTTAAGAGTGTGCAAGCGGTTTTGGGGGTAGGCTATGGCGAGAGCGGACGTGGCGTTGTGGGCGAAGGGACGTGGGATAAACAAAAGCAGCTCGGATTGAATACTCGTTTACTTATCTTTCCTCGTCTCGTCGTCCACTGCGTAGTCCTCGTCATCGGCGTCTTCATCCTCTTGTATGTCAACAACTCTGTCGCGGGCCTTTTCAAGGACTCTCGCGCTGAAGTGACGGACGAACTTCCATGCTGCCTGCTCCTTTTGTTAGCAAGCTGTCTGGTCTGTTATGAAAAAAGGCTATAACTTACCACAAGAAATGTGAGAACGCCAATCATCACAAGCATCCAATTGACCGACTCAACTCTGTCTCTGCCCCTGCGACGTCCACCTACTGTACTACGAATGTTGAACCACTGCCACGGCGACATGGCAATAAAAGTCTTCAAGAACCCAAGCAAGCCAAGCGAGAGAAATCCCTTGAGAAAATGGAAAGACCAAGTCGTCGGTTCATCGTCAACCGGGCGCATAGCCTCGACATCTGAGATGACATCGTGAATCGTCTCCACCACGCTTCCCCAAGGGTCGACCCAAAGGTTGATGATGGGGTCGGCAACAAAGCCCAACAAAAACACGGCCAAGATGAACACCACCCCGGTGAGCACCACGCTTCCCGTCGTACTCGTCAACCAGCGGCCCCATCTCAGTCTCTCCAGCCGGTACTCGAATCTGCAGGTAGGACACTGCCAAAAGTTCCGGTCAGACAAAGGCGACGCTTGCCTCCATTGCTGAAGGCAACCTTCGTGGACGTATTTTTGGGTGCCTTTGCATCTGCAAGGGCTGATCAACCGGCCCAGCTCCGGATCCTCTGAATAGTATCGAACGCGGGCTCTTGAGGTGAAGCGAGCCGCAAATGACTCGTCAATCTCGGTGGTGGGCTGGACTACTTCCAAGCAGATGCGGCAAGTGCGGGGTTTGTAGGCTCGCTGTTTTGGCTGCTGCTGAGAGCTCGGCTTTGATGCTGATGAACCTGATGATGAGCTGTGCGGTGTCTCGTGGGTTGATGAGGCTTGCGCGCTGCTGTTTGGATGGCCGTTCGGGTCTGTGCCCGAAGGCCATGACCAATTTGTTGATCCAAAGTCCATGTTTTACCCTGCAAGGCTGATGATACTTCCGGGAACAGTGCTGCAAAATCAAAAGGAGGATGATGATATGGTAGAAGTGTACGGGGTGATGGGAAGGGGGGGGATCCGGATTGTTGAATAGCGAGAAGTCCAGAGAACATCTCGGAAAAGGTGGAAGCAGCAATGTGGTCAAATTGCCTTTGCCAATTGAACTTGACCACTCGCTCTTAACCCCAGCGTGCCCAGCTCAAGCCTCGGGACAGCACTGCCCGCTAAAGAAAGAGTGGGCATCATCATTTCGTAACATACCTCAACCGGCTTCTATCACATCTGTGATAGCTTCCACCTTTGTGGCACAGATTGCGACAGTTCAAAACGCATGTCGCCAGGGTGTTTCTCAAACAGAAAAGTCGAAGAGGAAAATGTGAAAAATATCTGATGGGGTTGCAAAATGTTAAGAGCAAAAGAAACACTGGGGGTTTTTGACCTTTCCCCTTTCGGACTAGGGTAAGTACCGTCACCAGCGACTATGTGTGGGGTCGCAGAGCTAGCTCCTGGTGTACTTGCCGTTGCCTGCCGCGTCTACCAGCAACAGCAGCACAACAGCGACGGGAAGTGCCTGCCTTGAGGCTCAAGTGGTCCGAGCTCTTTCAGGCTGAGTCCAGTTGCTGGCAGTGGTTCCAGCTCCAGTTCGACGCGCAACTTCCCCCGTGCCTGGGCCTTGAACAGTGACAGCCTGTGGTGGGAACTCTGGAACCCGCCTCAAGCTTGCAGCCAAACGACAACAGCTCTCTACCTGCCTAGTCAGGTCTGCCACTCCTCCGTCGACAACCAAAACATTAAACACTGCATTTCAAAGAGCCAAAGCCCGTCGCAAACCCACCCGCAAAACTACGAGCAGAACGATTTGGGAATAAAGGAACAAAATGGCGGACAGATACTCCTTCTCGCTCACTACGTTCTCGCCCAGGTAAGCTCCCGTCGTCATAGTCGCTTTGATGTGGTGGTGATGGTGATAGCTGCTAACACTTGCGCAGCGGCAAGCTGGTCCAGATCGGTCAGTCGCCTCAACCCAACCCGACTTCTGCTTCCAACTAGCGACCTCACATTCTTGCGCCAATACGATCCCGACCTTATCATGCTGACTGTTTCTCAGAATATGCCCTTAATGCTGTCAACCAGGGTGTAACAGCTCTCGGCATCAAGGGTAAGCTCCCCCTCCCCCACCACACACACCATCACCACCATGGTCATTACCAGCACTCGTCCCCTCTATCGACTATTACACCCCATACTATTCCGCGCTCGATTATCAGTTTCCAGTACTAACTACTCATCACAGCCACCAACGGTATCGTCCTCGCCACCGAAAAGAAGTCCTCCTCACCCCTCGCCGACCCCTCCTCCCTCTCCAAGATCAGCCTCATCACGCCCAACATCGGCATGGTCTACAGCGGCATGGGCCCCGACTACCGCGTGCTTGTCGACCGCGCGCGCAAGGTTTCGCACACGGGCTACAAGCGCATCTACAACGAGTACCCGCCGACGCGGATATTGGTGCAAGACGTTGCGCGCGTCATGCAAGAGGCCACGCAGTCCGGAGGTGTCCGCCCTTATGGTGTCTCGCTACTGATCGCCGGCTGGGACGAGGGTATTTTGCCCGAGGACGAGCTGGAGGAGCAAAAGAGCAAGGACGAAATGGTGGCCGACGATGGCGAGACCAAGAAGAAGGCGACGGGCAAGACGGGCGGCATCCTGAAGGGCGGCCCCATGCTGTACCAGGTCGACCCCTCGGGCAGTTATTTCCCTTGGAAGGCAACGGCCATTGGCAAGAACGCCACGACGGCCAAGACCTTTTTGGAGAAGAGGTATACCGAGGGCTTGGAGCTCGAGGATGCGGTGCACATTGCGCTGTTGACGCTGAAGGAGACGATTGAGGGAGAGATGAACGGTGATACCATTGAGATTGGTATGTTGTGCGATGGATACGGATGCACTTGTTTTATTTTGACACAGGATTTGGCTAACATGTTTGCACACACAGGCATCGTCGGACCACCGGCGGACCACCTCCTTGGCGTCGAGGGTGTTGAGGGAGCAAAGGGCCCCCGCTTCAGAAAACTCTCCCCCCAGGAGATTGAGGATTACCTGACGAACCTATGATGTTGCAAAGCAGGAAGTAGAAGCAGGCAGGTAAATAGGCACATGAGTGTATCTTAATGAATGACCATTACAGCAAGTTCCTTGTACAATAGAAAGGAGACCCGGGAATAGAGAGCCCTTTCATGACTACCTAGGCAGATCTGGACCATTGGTGAGTGAAACCTCGCGTCCCAATTAGTGTTTAGTAAGAGCAGGCAAAGGTATTGTGTGTGAGGCCAAAAGTGGGATCATTGTGCAAAAATCGATGTTTCGCTCTTTCAGCAAAGCAACTGAAGCCGACCAGTAATTTCACAACGCCAACTTTGGTACCCATGACAAAACTCATCTCAACAGACTTCACATGCGCTTCTCCTCCTCACCAACAATCAAGAAACTCGCCCAAGGGCCTGCCGCGACCGCCTTGATCTCCTTTTTAGTCCCGCCACCTCCATCGTCCAGCGACAAAGGTACTTTCTCCCACTTGGTCACCCATTTAATCTCCTCTCCCAGTCCCAACTGACCACACCAATTTTGCCCAATCACATACACCTCCCCTTGGTCCGTCAACGCTATCATGTGTTCGGTGCCCACAGCCACGTCCACAATACCATCCACCTCGTTCCCGTCCGTGTCGGTGATTACCACAGGGACCGGACCGTCGTTGTAATCGTGCCCATCGTCGTCGGCACGTCGTTCGTCGAAGAAAAGTGTTTGAAGAGAAGGGGGTAACTGTCTGGGATCCCCCCAGATGTAGAGGTCGTTGCCGGCTGTCAGGCAGGCGAGCAAAGAGGAGGTAGGGCTGATGGAGAGGTGCCGAGCGGGGCCGGTGGGAAGTTGGGACAGGAGGGGGACGGGGGAGGGGTACTGAGCTGGGCTGTATGGTTTTGGGGTTTGTGTTGTTAGTTCCGAGTGAGGTAGGGGATGCATGAGGCGGAAGGGGAAGAGGACACAAGGAAAGAAAACATACCACTCATCGCTAACCTCCCTCCCCAAGCACCCAACAAACCGCTCATCACCCCACGTGTACACCTCCCCTGTCGAAGAGAGGGCCGCGAAACCGGTCGAGTGAGCAAGTAGCTGGACGATGTCGGGAAACCCGGTGTAAGAAACCTTGCTGATCTCGGTTGGTCGAGGAATCACTTGGTGATAAGCATGATAGTGCTCATAGTCACAGGCGAATTGTTCTTTTGACGAGGGCCTGCGGTTTTGGTCTCTCTCTTCTTTTACCAGTTCATCTTCCCACAACTCGTGCTTCTGTCTGTAATGGAACCCTAGGTCTCGGAGGAGGTCACTGAGGGTGGCGTATTCGGTGATCATGGCTGTTTCGGAATTGTAAACTGTTTTGTCGTTTGTGGTAGGGTCAGTCAGTAGCAATTGACAATGGGTAAAGCCTCGGTGATGTATTCAGGTGAACGGGGGATATTAGGACTTAAAGGCAAACATGGGACTGGGTAGGAGAGGGAATCATCATGTGTATGTACCTGCTACATGTCCGTTGTTCGCCTTGGCGAAGGTTCTGTAGATGTTCTCATCCACGTAGCGTAGGGCGTTGTGGTCCCGTGGGACGCGGCCTGCTTTTGTGATGAACTTGTTTAGCCTCTTTTGGTAAACTATTGGGATTGTATATTTCGAGTCAGCGATGTGAAATGATACATGTGGTCGAAGGTGTAATATTCCAGACAACATATATGTGAGAAGGGATTGTCTCATCGCGTTTCTAGAGATGAAGAAACTCGTATGTTCGTGCCGTTTGAAAGGAGCATAACTTTGAACACTAGTTGATCACCAAATCACTTACCAATAGTATGCGAATCAAAGCTTCGAATGGTATGAATGTCTCTATGGCGATACAAGCAAGTGAATTCCCAAAGCTCGTCAGCATCGCCTTGGTATATATCTTCTTGTTTTGCAAAATGTAGCTGCAACGAATGGTTGGCTCCAGCTGCATACAACTCCATTGTCCCGTGTGGCTTCATGATTATTGAAAGAAACCAAGACGATCCGAGTAAAACTACGCAGATACACTGTATTGTATCAATAGAGGTAGTGTGATGTTCACGTCAAAGATCGGTTTAAGGAAGTTGGCGGATGAATGGATGTCGAATCCGAAGATGGATTGCTTGGTGGTTGAAGTCATGCACGAGGTCCAAATTCAATGCACGAAGGGATGGATCTCTATCGATGTTTGTTTATGTAACCCCCTCCCATGGCAGTGCTTGTCGAGGGTTCGAGCGAAAGCTCAAGACAATTAGGTAATGTCCATATCGGAGGAGAGTGCAATGGGAGAGATTTGTGCCTACTCTGGCTACCTACCTAAGCTCCTAGAATATCAAATCAACCTTTCCAACTTCCTGTTGAGGTGGCGGGTTCTTGCCGTCCTCATGGAAGCCATCCATGGATTCTTCTGTCGTGGACCGTGAAGTTGAAGGGGCTGCCCACAGCGTCCATTTCTTTCCTTTTCAAGGGTGGTGGTACGATAACTGCGCCCAACACTGCTGTTACACTAACAATTAATTAGGGCCTTCGAACACTACTTTCATTTCTCTTTCCTGCCATTCGTTCATTTACACTCAAAACTGTAGTGTGACATTACAACTGACTTCTTTTCAAACATCTTACTACACTACTCCTACTCGATGTGGTAGGACAGGACTTCAAAGGATTCAACTCCGGCCTTGGAAGAAAACCCCCAGCATCTTCTCGGACTGTAGGCCTCGTGCATGAGAAACAGGCTCGAAGTCGATTGCGGCTGGCACGCACGCACCCACTGTGACACAGCTTGAAGCCAGATGCCCAACTTTGCAAAGAACATGTCCACCTTCCAACTATCTCGAGCGCAACCCAACCTTCAACTTCCTCTCCGGTCTGGACTAGTTTCTACCCTAGAGGGCTCTAGTTGAAGGTTGCTGGCCTGTAAGGGCCGTTTCGAGTTTTCTTCAATAGCTTCTCTTCCTCCTCCTCCTCCTCCTCCACCACCACCACCAGCGACAATATCTTCGGTCTCGGCATCTTCATCCCCACCATTCTTCGTGTTCCCGAAAGGCAGCGTATCACATATATATTCACCGACTAGCTATGTCTATCATCCTTCATTCGGAATACCCCGACTCTCTAAGCGAAACTTCCACTCCTGCTCTTACGCCTACAAGCAAACTGCTATTGTTGTTTCCTCGGCCACCATGGATCAGGACCCTAGGAAAGACAACCCGGTCGAGATGGATGTCGATCGCGATGATAGTTCCCAGGACCCAGACGGCGAGGAGGAGTCGTTCGAGAGTACTCTTGACGAGCCCCTTGACTTGAAGGAACTCTATCAAAATGCTCTAGAGGAGCCATCTGAGGAGCCATCTAAAGAGCCATCTGAAGAGCTAAACGATCAAGTGTCAACCCCTGCTGCCTTGACCGCGAGGGCTTATCAACTAGAAATGTTCGAAGCAAGCCTCAAGCAGAACATCATCGTGGCTGTATGATATACCTTCTCTTTCATCATACCCTTGCCCCTTCTTGGCTCTTCTCTAACCGAGTGATGGTTGCAGATGGACACTGGCAGTGGCAAGACTCAGGTGTAAGTAAGTGGTCTCTAGAATCCACTACGGGATATTCTTGCTAATACTTTTCAAGTGCCGTACTTCGCATAGCCAGAGAGCTCGAACAAAGAGACAAAGTTCGTCAAAACCTTCCGGCATTTTCTCTTCGAACCAATGCCTAACATTTTTTTTTTCTAGCGAATCTGGTTCCTGACGCCAACGGTCGCCCTGGCTCGCCAACAACACCAAGTTTTGCAATCACAAATACCTTCCGTCAAGGCTATAATGCTCTGTGGCCAGGATGGGGTGGACAGCTGGTCTGAGCAGGCTGTCTGGGATGCCGTCTTGCTCAACGTTCGTATCGTGGTGTCAACATACCAGATCTTGTTCGATGCAAATGCCCACAGCTTCGTCCGCTTGGACTCCCTGAGCTTGATTGTCATCGATGAAGCGCACAATTGCAGCGGGAGCCATCCCATTGCCAGACTGATGACCGAGGCGTACCTCCCTGCAAAGAAGGCTGGTCTACCAGTCCCGAGCATCCTCGGTCTTACGGCAAGCCCGCTGAAGTCAAATAACCTCGCTGACATTGAAAAGCTTGAACAAGTCCTTGATGCAGTCTGTAGGACTCCTACAATACATCGAGAAGAGCTTCTTGCACACGTGAACCGCCCGGAGATGCTCGTTGTTTCATACGGCGACTCTAAGGGCCCTGGTACCGAGCCAACACCAACCGATCTCATGACAAGATTCCTAGAAGCATACCACAGGCTTGATATAAGCAAGGACCCAGATGTCTTGTTGCTCAAAGCACAACGCACTGAACGGGCTAGGGAGAAGCTTCGTCAGATGGTTACCAAGAAGGACACGCTCGCCCAGAAAGAATTGAGAGGGGTTTACAACAGGGCCCTCCTTGTGCGTCGGGAAATTGGGCCATGGGCGGCGGACTATTACCTCACAAGGACAGTTTCGCATATGTTGGCCGAACTGGAGCGCGGGGAACCTCCGGCCCAACACCGGTACATAGGCGAGGCATTACGATCTATCCCCATTCCGGCTATTTCAAAAGAGCCCATCCAGCTCTCCCCAAAAGTCCAGACTTTGCTCAAAGTCCTTGCTTCCCATCAACAGGACCCGGTTGGTATTGTGTTTGTCAAGGAGAGGGTAATGGTCAGCATTGTGACGCATATCATATCCACCCATCCGCTCACCAAGGACCGTTACCGCACTGCTTCCATGATTGGCACCGCTAGTGTGCCAGGAAAGGCGAGGAATCACATGGACATGACAAAAAAGGAGGACATGACATCCCTCGAAGGATTTCGCCGAGGCCGCTTCAATCTACTTGTCGCAACGAGTGTCCTCGAGGAGGGCATCGACGTTCCCATTTGCAACCTCGTCATTTGTTTTGACGAACCATCAAACATCAAATCCTTTATTCAGCGTCGCGGAAGGGCAAGAGAGGTAAGCTCCACTCTCTATCTAATGGTTCAAAACGCCTCTGGTGAGTCCGCAATGGACTGGCATAATCTGGAACGGCTGATGAAAGAGAGGTACGAGGACGAGATGCGTCAAAACGCAGAACTCGAGTTGCTCGATGATCCGAGAATTGGCAGTTATCCGGTTCTGGAAGTCGAGAGTACTGGCGCTCGCATGACTATCAGAGATGTCAGATCCCATCTCAATCACTTTTGCGCAAAGGTCTCGTCAAGATCCCGATATCTTCAGAAGGAACCGTACTTCGTCATTCGTCAAGTCAGTCCGGACCCAGCATCACCTGGTCGACGAACATTGCTCCAGGCAACTGTTCATCTGCCAGCATCTCTTGCCCCTGATTTACGTCGCCACGAAAGTCTTTGGACTTGGACGTCGGAGAAGCTTGCAATTATGGATGCCTCATTTCAGGCATATAAAGCTCTTTACAACGCAGGATTAGTCAATGAGAATTTGCTGCCTACAAAGGTATCTGACTTCCTGGCCGACCTTGGGGACGATCCGGGTCATATTTGGGTCAAGACACAGTTCGACCCCTGGCCAGAGGTAGCTTATGCCTGGCAAGAGAGTGCGTCCCTATACAGTCGTCACCTGACAGTTCTGGTTCCAGGTGTAGAAAAACCCCTCGAATTCGAGTTTATACTTCCCGTGCCAGTTCCTTTCATGGCACATTTAAAGCTGTGGTGGAATGCCACTTCTGCTTTAACGCTCATCACCAGTCCAGAGATGCAGGAATTCCGCAAACAAGAAGGAGCCAGTGCTGGGTCAGACCATTCATATGCTTTGCTCGCCATGGCTTTTGCACATCGATTCCCAATCCAGGGCAGGCAATATCCGATTCGCCTTGTATCAACCCAGAGGAAACTTGACGTCGACGGAATCGCAGCTCTTGAGTTTGACCCTCAACTGTATGAAAGCTCCCCTCAGCCTCCTCTTGTGAGGCTCGTAGACGGGAGGAACATGCCCTATTTCGTCACCGAGATCTTGCCCTCCAAGCCACCGGTCGAACTCATATCCAAGCCAAGTACAGATCATGCAGACCTTCCAGAGAACGTTCCATACGTGGTTTGCAAGCCCGTTGGCAAAGCCGTGGGTCAGTTCATTCCACTTGATGCAGCTCAAGATCAGGACAGTTGGACTCCGAAGAATGGAAAGCTGTACCGAAAGGTCCTTCCCTCCACACAGATTCGGATGGATAACTTCCCGGCCGTGTTTGCTCAGGTGGGTGCAGTCATCCCAGCTTTCACAAGGGCAGTGGAAATGAGTTTAGTGGCCGCGGACCTGATGTACAATCGTCTGGGTTGTCTGCAACTTGATAACTTGCCTCTCATTACGACCGCACTCATCAGCAGTGGGTCTCGAGGCCCGACCAACTACGAAAGATTGGAGTTTATCGGCGATACAATCTTAAAGTTCTGCGCCTGCCTCACTGCTTCAGCATTATGTAAGTGCTTCTCACAAGACCTCTCACGGCAGCTGCTCACCATAGCATAGTTCCAAACCACCATGAACGGTTACTTTCCCAATGGAAAGACAAGCTCGTGAACAACGTGCGACTCTGTCGGGCATCTCGCGATTTTGGCCTTGACGAGTACATCATCCACTCTGCGGCCTCGAAGAAGTGGCGGCCCAAGTTTGTCGAGGATTATCTGGATGAGATGAAGTCCCCGGAATCGGCAGAAACCCGGCAGATGAGCTCCAAGATGGTAGCCGATGTTGTCGAGTCCCTCATCGGCGCCGCATACATGTGCGGGGGCATGTCAAAGGCACTCGAGTGCGTCGCCCTCCTTCTCCCCACTCCCAAGTCCAGCCAGTTCAAGTGGCAGGAAATTAGCCTTAGTCGTGCCCAGCTTTTTGAGTTTGCTCCCAAGGATGCCATCCTTTCCAAGCAATTAGAGCCTCTAGAAAAGGCCATGAGCTACACTTTTCACAAAAAGTCACTCCTAATCGAGGCCATGACGCACCCGTCCTGCGCAGGTCTCAGTACCAACGAATCCTGCTACGAACTTCTCGAGTTCCTCGGCGACGCCATCCTCGACGTCATCGTCGTCAAGCGTCTCATGGCCGAGACAGGCCCCAACGAGCTCGCGCACAACGACATGCACGAGCACCTCTCCTCCGTCGTCACCGCCGACATCATGGCTTTCCTGGCCATGGAATGGGTCATCATGCAGACGGACATCAACGAGATCGACCCTACTAATCTGGACGCGCTCGGCCTCCTTCCCTCATCCCAAAGCAGGATAACACCTGCGAGCCTAGTCTCCAACAAGGAGGATTGGCCCTTCTGGCGCTTCATGCGCCACAACTCGCCACAGGTCGGAGCCACCCAGACCGCCACCATAGAACGCTACCTCGCCCTCAGAGACGACATTCGCGATGCGATTTGGAAGCAGAACACGCTGCCGTGGGCCCTACTGGCGCGCATGGGCCCCCAGAAGTTCTACTCGGACATTGTCGAATCGCTCATCGGAGCCGTGTGGGTCGACTCCGGCTCGTGGGAAGCATGCGAGCACGTGCTGACCCAAATGGGCCTCTTGCCTCTGCTGGACCACTTACTCAAGACAAAGGCGCATGTGATGCATCCCAATGTCGAGCTACAGATACTGGCACCCCCGAACAAGCGGGCTACGCGTACCGAGTTTGTGATCATTTCTAGCAAGAGAGGTATCATCAGTAGCGGGACGGAGTTTCAGGATGAGCCGAGTGCCGTTGACGATGGGCTGGTGGCGGTGGAGCCATATGAAGATACTCCGGAACATGACGAGGTGTTTTCTTGCAAGCTCTTTGTTGGAGGGAAGCAGGTGGCGGACGTGACGGGAGCGGCGACGAAGGAGGAGGCCAGGGTAAGGGCGGCAGAGAAGGGGTGTTTGGTGATCAAGGCGGAAAGGAAGGCATGGAACGCAGCGAAAGCTGCTGCTAAAGAGGATAAGGGGCATAACACGGAGAATGGAGACGCCAACGCGGATAATGGGCAGAGCGGGGAAAAGGAAGAGGTCCCTGATCGCCGTGATGCGGATGGGGATACAGTCATGAACTAGAAGAGTCAAGAGACAGTCTCTGCTATGGTCACGGACAGGAAGACGGATGAAGAGATGGTGACGACTCAGTGTATATTCGCAAGCCTTTCGTTAAGGTAGGTTTCCCTGGATTCATCTGCGTTCTTGATATTTCTGTAGCAGTTTGGAATACCCGAGTCTCAAAGTCTTTGGATAGCGGATACCTTTGCTATAGAAAGACACCTTGGTTTTTTTTTCATTTTTATTAAAAAAAATGTAAAGACGCGGTTGTTATAGCTTTGTAGCGGTTCATAGGTGGCGATCAAGGCACGTCACTTCTTTCAAAGCCTGAGAGAAAAAGTTGGGTCAGACCAAGTAACTTCATTTTCGTTATAGCTCGAAGATTACAAGGATACCGACATGTTACCAGCTTTCCATTATTTCCCGATAGCAAATGCCTCCAGTTGTTCTCCTACCATGACATGACTACCTGACAACCTAACCATGGACAAATTTGAAATAGACACACCACGCTCCCTTAACTACCTTATACCATTATCAAGTCACACACATCCCCCATCCCACACATCCTTACAAGGACTCTACTCACTTCTTCTTAGCAGGCCTTCCCCTTCCCCTTGCAGCCGGCTTTTTCGCTCCAACATCCTCATCATCCTCGTCATCATCTACAATATCCTCATCTTTGGTCTTCGCCGCTGCCTTCTTCTTGCTAGCAGCAGCGGTACTTTTCTTGGCGGCAGCCTTCTTCGCCTTGGGCTGTTTAATATACTTATCCTTGGTGATATCCACATCATCGTCTTCATCAACTTCCGCGGCATCATCAACAAGGCCGGCGTCATCGCCCTCAAAGTCTTCCTCGATGGCTTCCTCCAGGTCGGGCACCTCCTTGGTGAGTTTCTTGGGGGCGAGGACGCTGCTGGCTTTGATGAAGGGGACGGGGTGGGAGGCTGCGTTGTACCTGTGGAAGGGAGGGATGGTTAGTAAATTGAGGTGTGTGGGGAAATGGGGGGCAAAAGAAACTCACATCCTCGTAAAAGCAGCCTTGGTCTGCGACTCAATATTGACCGTCTCCTCCGCCATATGACCCAATCCCAACTCCTTGATCGAGTCAAAGTCTTCTCTCGTCAGGTAGTAGCTATCCATCAGATCGATGACTTCGGGCACGCAATCCTTGCCCTCCACCTCGAGGCGCTTGACGAGCTTGTCCCACAGCACAGGCATGTACTGCTGGCGAATTTCTTGGGCGTCACCCGAGGACTTGAGGCGCATGTGGGCGTGGATCTCGCGGTTGAAGCGGTTGAGCTTGCCGTACTTGCTGTTGTTGCCGAGCCAGGAAGTGAACTGGGCCTGTCCGCCGAATTGGCCGGCGATAAGACTTGAGGGACGGACGGTACTGAAGACGGCGTGTGTGGGCATCAAACTCCATTGTTGCTGGGGGCCGTGGATCATGCGGTCTACTAGATCACCATCGCTGATGCTTTCAGCTGCTTCGTCGACGAGTTCGAGGTACTTGAGGTTTTGTTCCCTTGGAGTGTAGCCCTTTTGGTTCAGGACCATGGGCCTGGAACGGAGGTAGTTCTCCTGGATCATGAGATAGGAGAATTCGTGATCGTTAAAGTAGAGGTCGATCTTGTCATTCAGAGTTGCCGTGCTGGAAGGGGCGAACATGCCACCGCCGATCAGCTTCTGGCAAATATCCCAAGGCTTGAGGATGACGTGCTTTTCCCAGGCCTTGCTCATTTGCTTGCTTTGATCAAAATCCATGGTCGTCTGATCCAGCTTCGCTGTAAAGATCATGTTGATGATCTGCCGAATGTCCCTACCGCTACCTTCGATAAGAGCATTGACGACAGGTGGCGGGATCTTGAGACCTTCTCTGTGGCAGATGGTCATGATACGCGAGCGGATCTGGTCGACCGTGGGGCGCTGAAACTTGATGTCAAAGGCGACATGATCGAAAGGCTTCATTTTTGGCAATCTGCGCTCGTTGCAAATCAAGATGAGCGGCACCTCGGTCTTCTTGCAGAACTTTGCCATAGTACCGACACCTCCACGATCACCAGCAGACATACCGTCAACCTCGTCCATGACGAGAACAATCTTCTTCTTGCGGGCATCAGCATGCTTACCATCTCCACCAAAGAAACCTAGAAGAGATGTGTTGGTCATGACCTCACTAACACCGTTCTCGATGAGCTTCTTGCTGCGAGTGTCACTGGCGTTGCTCTCGATCACGTCGTAGCCTTCCATCTTGGCAGCAAGATGCGCCGCAGTTGTCTTGCCGATACCAGGAGGACCGGAGATGATAATAGCACGGTATCCACCTGAACCATCGGCGCCTCTCTTTTGAAAGTTGTACTTTCTAGACTTGGGCCAGTTTTTAAGCCAGTTCTGTATCTTCTCCACGTTGGCTTTGTTGCCACAGATCTGGTTCATCGCTGTGGGCGCATACTTTGTTGTCCAGAGCTGTGACGACGGTGTGGGCAGAGCAGGGGCAGGACCAGAAACACCGCGAGCAGCAGCGGCCTTCTTGGCCTCTTTCTCAGCCGCCAGTCGCAGAGCCTTCTCTTCGCGATCTAACTTCTCGGCTTCTTCACGCACCTTCCTCTCTTCTTCCTCTCGCTTCTGCTTGGCCTTCTCCGCCCCCTTTCCGGTGCCGCCACCGGCGGGCATAGTCCTGATGAGGTAAAACAAGCCTTCCTCATCAATGGTCTTGATCCCATGCTCTTTGATCTTCCTCAGCTTGCTGGGTCCTGCATCGTCGCCGAGAACGACGAAATCGGTTTTGCTGGATGGCGCTCCTGTGACCTTGCCACCATAGCGCTTGACGAGTGCTTGGGCTTCCTCACGCGCGATAGTCTTGAGCAGGCCGGTGAACACAAAGGTCTTACCCGCCAGACAATCAATTTCACCCTCAGGAATGTCGGCAGTGCCCGCCATGGGGGGTGGGCCCGCATTGCCAGCTCCGGCGGCCTTAGTCTTCCAGTCAAACTTGAAATTAGGGTCCTTGGGAGGAGCATCTGGTGCTTCGATAGTTGGGATATTGTCGAGGATCTTCTTGACGTCCTCAAGTTCTTCAACCGCCGCATCCTTCTTTGCCTTTGGCGCACGGGGCTTAGCGGGGGCTCCCTTCTTCTTCGCTGGCTTGACTTCTTCTTCCTCTTCGTCTTCCTCGTCACTTATAACAACCGGGGATTTCCGCTTCCCTGCCGTAGTAGTTGTAGATTTCTTGTTCGACTTGCTGGGTCCAGGCTTGGCGTCTTCGTCGTCAGACTCGGCTACGGCTGCTGTTTTGGCGCGAGATGCAATTCGCTTGGGCTTGGGGAGGAGCTCCTCATCACTGTCCTCCTCGGCATAGTCATCGTCCTTTTTCCTCTTGCTGCCACCCTTGAATTCCGCCGCAAATATGTCATCTCCAGCATCGTGCTCATCATCCATGTAGGCATCGCCATCGTCATCCTTGTCGTAACTCTTGTAGGCCGTCGTGGGTTTCTTCGTAGTCGAGGTTTTCTTTGTAGTCTTGGGAGGCTCTGGTGCTTTGGCAGCGGGGGTGGCTTTCTTCCGCGGGCTTGTTCGAAGTGCTACTTTTGGTTCTTCTGGCTCGGGTTTCGCGGGTGTCTTTTTCGGTGTTGCCTGGGACGCAGCAGCTGTTTTTGTTTTTGAGGTTGCAAAGTACTTGGCAGCATCGGTTTCAACTCCTTTTACGGGTTCCCTAGATAGTCTGTCAGCAGGAACAGGATGACATGGAACTGAAAGGTGTTGCATGAAATACTTACGCTACTTTCTTCTTTGGCGCAGCCTTGGTTGGCTTTTTGACCCTGTACAAGCTGATTAGATGCTAATTCTGAGAAGAGATGCTTTTCACTGAGCTTACTCAACAACCTCATCATCTTCGCTGTCCTCAACTACCTTCCTTGGCCCTGCGACAAGATTGTTAATATAGTGTGATAAGCTTGTAATGGCGATCATGGTTCGAGCTTACTGCCCCGGGTCTTCTTCTCCTCTTCCTTCTTGGGTGCTGGTGTTGCCGGCTTAGCAGGCGGCGCGCCACCTTTTGGGCCAAAAAACGAGCGAATGTCGGCAGGCATAATGAAGTATGTGAAAAGAAATCACAAGATGCAGAGATGATAAATTGAACGTATCAAACAGTTGGGAAGATGCAGTAATCAGATGACACCAGCAAGCATCTTCTTATAGTGGCGGAGTTGGGAAGTTGGGACTTTTTTCTTGGTGTCTGAGTTGTCCAGGCAGCTGTCCTTCTGCCTAACAAGTGTTGTTGAACAAAAGGCCTAGAAGGGTAAAGAGCTAACAGGTCTACTCTTGTCCCTTGTAAAGAAGTAACAATTGCCCGAATGATGAGTGAGACGCGAAGGTGAAGTGGATGACGCGAGTCTGTGTCCGGGCTCTGCTCCCCTGTCGCGACTGGTGGGGTTTTGTTCTACAAGAATTCGCCAACTTGCTGCCTTGAGCTGCGCCCACGCGGCTGCATTTCTTGTGAGGAGTTAATGAATGAGTCCCAGGTCCCGTTTGTCTGCTGTGTCCGGCAGATTGTCGCGGCCGGCACCCGACACTTTTTGGTGGGTCACAATTTTTTGGAAGTGCCGTCCGTGCCCCGTCCGCGCCCGCAGCACCTTCCATTGCAGTTGGTCGCTCTGCCCGGTCCCCGTCTCTGTGCGCGCGCTGCTTCGGGGAATCCGTATCAATCGTCGTCGGCGACCGGCATCCAACTGGACCCTCCCTCCGTCCTCCGTCCACCACTCGTCCCCTCCCCGGTCCGGTCCACACCCAAACCTTCAACACAATGAAGCACAACGCTTCCTCGGCGCTCCTCAGCGCCTTCCAGGGCCTTAGGATATCCTCGTCGGCGACTCCCTTCCGCGCCGCGTCGCTCGCAACCTCTGCCGTCCGCCGCCCCATTGCGCCGACCCCCGTTTCTGTCGCCTCCCATGTCCGCCTATTCTCTGCGACCGCCATCCAGACTGGTTCGTGGCTCGAGCCCAACCTCAACAGAAAGAAGAAGATGATGAAGGGAAGGCCCAGAGTGCCGACGGGTGGTTCGACCAAAGGAACAACAGTGGTTTGGGGAGATTACGGCCTGCGCATGCGCGATCACCACCGCAGAATTAGCGCCCAACAGCTCAAGCTCGCCGAGGACACCATCAAGCAGAGGTTACGTGGTCAGAAGTACCGCCTGTACAAGCGCGTTGCTTGTAACGTCGGTGTGTACGTCAGCGGTAACGAGGTGAGCAGCTGAACAATCCACAGCCCGGGAAGGTCGGATGCCGACTGTTAGCGGACATGATGCTCACATGCATTTCCGGTGTAGATGCGTATGGGTAAGGGTAAGGGTTCGTTCGACCACTGGGCGACCAGAGTTGCCGTCAACCAGATTATCTTCGAGATCAGGGGACAATTGCACGAACAGGTCATCCGTGATGCCTTCCGCCTGGCCGGACACAAGCTTCCAGGTAACAACAGCACATGCTGGTCCATATCTTTGCAAGATCGAGAAGAGTAGAAAACTGACAAGTCATAGGTCTGTACGAGTTTGTGAAGAAGGGTGACCCACCAGTGGTTGGTATCACCAAGTTGGAGGATGGCCTCACGGTGGAGGACCTCAAGAACCCAAGGAAGAAGTTGTTGATGCCAGAGATTACCCAGAGTGCTGCGAGCACATCAAGCACTGCTGCTCCTCCTTCGTAGAGGTGGAGAACCCTGAGCCTATTCTAATTGTAACATTATGTAGAACAACAGAAGGGCCAATGTGCAAAAGAGTGTTGCCATGGCCATTTCATGATTATTATGACGACGTAACAGGCATGACCACTTTGATTTTGATGCTCTGAGAATGTGACTGTAGGCTACTAGTTTACCTGGATGGGCCAGAGCACCACATGGAGTCAACAAGCAATGCTGGCTTCCTAGATATACCCTTTCAACCATGCCATTAAATCCCTAGATGTCCGTTTATGGAAGATTCAATATCCAGCATCGAACCTTGCAAAACTTAAGAAGATTCAAGATAGCTGCCTAGAATACTGATGGTGAAAGCGGGCAACTGTCTGGCCCAGGACCTGTATAAGCGGGTGATATGGTCCGTGCGGCCCTCCCCCGTCATCTGTTAATTGATTTTCTGGACGGCGCGTCAACTCTACGCGTCTCCCATGCACCTCCAATTCAGCATTTCTTTCCCCTTCCTTTGTCAACCCATTTTCCTCTCCACAATATCACCACACCACGATGGCGCTTATTGTTGACAAGCACAGGCCGAGGTCTCTCGATGCCCTCACCTATCATACCGAATTGTCGGAGAGGTTACGGTCACTTGTAAGCAGACCCTCTTGTTCCCTCGTGCAAAAGAAGGTCTCCGCTGATGACGTTCTTAGGCGCAAAGCGGTGACTTTCCTCACCTTCTTGTCTACGGTCCTTCCGGCGCAGGAAAGAAGACCCGGATTGTTGCTACTCTCAAAGAGTTGTACGGCCCAGGTGTAGAGAAGATCAAGATCGACGCCCGTGTTTTCCAAACCAGCAGCAACCGCAAGCTCGAGTTCAACATTGTCGCATCAGTGTACCACCTCGAAATCACCCCGTCCGATGTCGGAAATTACGACCGAGTCGTGGTTCAGGACCTCCTCAAGGAGGTGGCGCAAACACAACAAGTAGATCTGTCGGCGAAGCAGAGGTTCAAGGTGGTGGTCATCAACGAGGCCGACCACCTCACCAGAGACGCCCAGGCCGCCCTCCGTCGGACCATGGAGAAGTACTCGCCCAACCTGCGCCTAATCCTCCTCGCCAACTCGACAGCCAACATTATCGCACCCATCCGATCGCGATGCCTGCTGGTGCGTGTAGCGGCTCCGACACACAAAGAGATCTGTGACGTCCTTGCTTCATCGGCGAAGAAGGAGGGTTGGCCGATTGTCAAGGGTCTACACCAGAGGATAGCTGAGGAAAGCGGAAGGAATCTTCGCAGAGCGCTGTTGATGTACGAGGCGGTATATGCGCAAAAGTAAGCAGTACATCCTAACCCGAAGGCCTGTCACGCCTTGCATTTGCTAACAACAAACGCCGCAACAGTGAGAAAGTCACAGATAGCACGCCCATACCACCCCCGGACTGGGAGGCTCTCATCGGCCAAATCGCCAAGGAGATTATGGAGGAGCATACACCAGCACGCATCCTCCAAGTCCGAGCGAAGCTTTACGACCTTTTGACGCACTGTATCCCCGCGACGATCATCCTGAAGACGCTCACATTCAAACTGATCCCCCTGATCGACGACGCACTGAAAGCGGATGTAATCTACTGGTCGGCCTTCTATGAACATCGCATTAGGACGGGTACCAAGGTGATTTTCCATCTGGAGGCGTTTGTGGCCAAGTTTATGAGGATATTCGAGATGTATCTGATGATGAGCATGGACTTGTGATTTGGGGTCTCTGTTTCGGTCTCAAAATGGGCATTTTGGCGTTTGGGGAAGGCAGGGGGGCATTGGCGTCGTGTAACCAGCTAGAATTAGTGGGATTTGTTTGGCGAATTATGACGGTTATTGCACACACAAAAGTGTCAGGCAATAACGGGGACTTTACTCTGGTCAAGTGTAGTGTATGGAAGTGTACATTGTAAGCTCAAGTGCCGAAGTTATTGTAGAATGTACCATAGATAGTTCATGTGTTTGATTCATGGACGGGCGGTCTCGTGGATTAAAAGCCGTCATATTGCTTGTCTTGGTTTATGCTCTAAGGGTGGGTGACTTCAGGGGTAAATGTTGACCACTTGCCCACCTCATTCAATTCTTTCAAAAGGAAGTCGAAATTGGACATTCGGAAGAGAGGAGGAAGGTATTCAGGCTGGATCGACAGTGTGGAGATGTTCCAGAGAGAAGGAAGCAAGGAACAAGCAAGGTCGCCAGGGGCACCATGCTCTGGCATGGCTTTCTACGACGTCTGATTGGGTAAAATGTCCGATTTAGCCCCATGCACCACGACCGTTCCCGCGAACAGGGCGTCTGGGCGTGCAGGGCCCGGGGCACCTACCTAGCCACCGGACGGGCACTCCAAGATCACTGCTCTTGCCCGAATCGCGTTCGTGTCCTTTTGGGGGACAGACACCAGTGAGACCACCTACTCTCCACAGGCTCAGTCCACTGAAGTTTCGCTGAAAGAAGACCTCCAAACATCATCTTGGACCGAATCTATCCGATTCCACTTCTCCATCATCGGCATCATCGTCCTCCACACCGCAACCCACACAACCACAACAACAACAACAACAACAACAACTTTGGCCACCGGGCAACGGGCAACCAATCCAGACCAGCACTACACCAAAACCACAACGGTTCCATCACCACCAATCCCTCTTCCCGAGCTCAGTAAAAGCTACCCGCTGAGCTACACACACGGCGCCGCTGCGGTTGCAGCCTTTACTTTTACTCTCTTATCTGCACATCAACTGCCGCCATAGGGGCACATCGACGACAAGCTCGCAATCATGTCGCTCAACATCTTCCGCGTCGCCGGTATGCTTACCTTATCTTGGAGGAAGGACAAGTTGAAGCTGGATTGCTAACTAACTCGTCACCATGGCACAGCGGACTTTAGCCACTTGGCTTCTATTCTTATCCTTCTCCATAAGATGACGCAGCTGAAGGTATACACAACTCGACCTCTGGCTGTCCATCCCGACCCTCAAGACAGGCAATGCTAACTCACTATTGTTACAGAGTTGCGCCGGCATCTCTTTCAAGTCGCAAGTCATCTACTTCATCGTCTACGTCACCCGCTATCTCGGTACGCCATCCCTTGAAAGCTATAGCTATGCGTTGCGGTCCCTCCACCTAGGTAGACCATTTGGCTGACATATATCTACTTACAGATCTCTTCTGGACGACAAGCTACTATAACATCATCTTCAAGATTCTCTTCATTGCTTCCTCCGGTTACATCATCTACCTCATGGTCAGCGCCTACAAGCCGACCAACGATCCCGGTCTCGATACCTTCCAGGTCCAATACCTGCTGGCTTTCGCTGCCGTCCTCGCCATCCTCTTGCCCTACCAGTATAACTTCTGGGAGATCATGTGGGCCTTTTCCATCTGGCTCGAGTCCGTCGCCATCCTTCCGCAGCTCTTCATGCTCCAGCGTACCGGCGAGGCCGAGACCATCACCACCCACTACATCTTTGCCCTCGGTCTCTACCGCGCTCTGTATATCCCCAACTGGATCTACCGCTACGTTACCGAGCCGAAGCACAAGATTGACTATATTGCCGTTGCGGCGGGCATCATCCAGACGTTGCTCTACACCGACTTCTTCTGGGTGTACTATACGACTGTCATGAAGGGCAAGAAGTTCAAACTGCCTGTTTAAACAGTGGAAACAGCCAATGGGTTGGGGGAAAACCGGGGGAATTGAGCAAATAAAGTCGATGCATCAACCTCTTATCCGGTTGACCAATGTTCGACAATCAGCGGAGGGTGGACTGCTCGGATTGGTGATTCGTGTCTGGCACCGTACGGTAACGAAAATCGAACCCTGACCGCAGCCACAGCTTCATCACATACTCACCAAAGGCGCAAAACTGCTGTAATGGCAGAAGGAATGGGGACTGGGGAGGACATGCTACACCCAGTGCGGAGGGCATGCGTCGTTTAACCTCAACAAAAAGGGATAACGTGACAATGAAAATTAATACTGGATTGCATGTTAGGCCGGCGTTGGTGGGATGGAGATGGCTTTGACGATAAGTTTGCGCAAAAACTATGAGGAGCGCATAGTTATTATGGCGCGCTAAGGCAAGTATACTTAGCCATCATGGGATTGGATTCTGGCGTGGTGAGCTTCTAGAGGCGATATATTTATGTGGTTTAGAGAGGTCGAACGACTAGGGTACTAAAATCTCAAAAGTGGCTTCTTCTTTCAGGGGCAATAGCCCGTGTGCTTGAGACATTCATTGTGGTGTTCGGTAGGTCGACCAAAAGGTGACACCCCTTGAACCCCTTGCTTGGCTGTTGCATGGAAAATGGGTGCGAGCCAAGCCGGCGCATGATCAAAGATGTTTCGAGTTCTCAGACACGGTAACGGTACCATCGGAAGCGAACCCCCCCCTGCACCTCGTCATTACACGATGCTGACAGTGGTACTGTGCCAAAAGCATGCCTCAAGAACATGTTCTCAACCGAGAAGGGCTCTCTAAAACGCGAATCTGGCCTCCCACCGTTCATGCCACTGGATTGCTAGGTATGAGAAGAGGATTTATCCTTGTCCCAAAGCATGAATGGTGGTTCTTCTCACTCTGGTACCGACGAAGCCTGACATATCTGGTCAATGACACACCATTTTCTTTAATTCTGTCACCCATCTTCCTCGGGAGTGACGAACCCGCTTTCCGTGCTACGTCCTGAACGGACCGAAGAACAAAACTTCTGGGGATCCCAGTTCACCCTCGTCATGTCGTCCGCATGCTCACAACGCTCTCTCTTTCTCTTCTTTCGCTTCCCCCCTTCGACCCACCCGTCATTAGGGGACCAGGCGGCATAGGCTGGCTCGCTGGGCGAAAGCATGATGATGCTTAGCTAGCCCACAACAAACCCTCTTTCTCACTTCGTCTCTTCCGCTGGCGGTAGACGTTTTCCATAGCCATGGCCGCTAATCACTCGTTTAACGTTTTCACCACCTTCGTTCTCTTCTTTTTTGTATTAACATTCTTAATATCTCCAAGCTGTGCCTTGAAGGACGGCCCCCATGTTGAAGCAGGGCATGAGGCGCCACAGGGGTGGGCCGAGAGAGAAATTCACGACGACACAGCGACAAATCTCTTCTCATCACCACCGCCACCATCAACGATTACGATAACCATAACCACCATCTCCCTCTTCACCTCAACCATAACCCCACCTCCCTCCCTGCTCCATGTCCAACACCGCCGCCAAGGCCCCGACCCAGACAACGACAACGCCATCGCCGACCTGCAATCCCAAATCACCTCCCTCTCCTCCCAACTCTCCGCCCTCTCGCAAGCTTCCACACAAACCAGCCAGCAACTCTCGCAATCGCTGCAACAAGCCTCCCAATCCCTCGCCCAGGCTTCCCAGAGGCTGAGCCAGACTGAACAGAGCTTAGCTAGCGCCAGAATCACGCAGCAGGCGGCTGAGCAGGCTAGTCGGGTGGCGACGCAAGCAGTGGCGGATCTGTCGAGACAAATGACAGAAATGAGCAGGAGTATGAGCCAGAGTGCGGAGCAGAGAGTGAGCAGGGTTAGTCAGAGCGCGGAGGAGAGGATTGGAAGGGTGATGGAGAGCATGGCTGCGGTTGCGAAGGACGATGGTAGTGGAAAGGATATGAATATGTCAGTTTTGGTGGGGACTGCAGTGGGTGGTGTGGCGGGGAGTTCGGTTTTGACGGGGTTATCGGTCGTTATGTTTATGAGGAGGAGGAGGAGGAGGAGAGGGGATAGGGGGAGAAAGAGGGGGGGAAAAGAGGGTGGGGAGGTGGTGTATGTTGGTTCTGCTCGTGATAGCGGTTCTGCTCGTGATGTTACAAGTGGCCCCAGCTCTCGTGGCAGTAGCCGTAACAGTCGGAGCATGTCAACAAGGGAAAACACAAAAAGCTATCACAGCCCAGTCGTATGGGTAGCATCAACAAACAACCTCTCCACCGCCGGTTCTGGCCGGACTCACGTGGCATCACGTTCAACAATGGCGACGTCCGCCATCAAGTTATCCGACTACGAAGACGAAAGCGTCTACAACGACGACGGCGTAAATGGCGGGCTACCCTCCAGCTCGCGGGGAGGAAGTCTTATGGAGGGCAGAACAGCATTGTCACCACCACCGCCTCCAATCCCTCCGCGAGCTAGGTCTAGATCTCGGTCTGCTCCAAAAGAAGCTGCTCCGGCTCCTCCTCCAGCAGCAGAAGCCTTCCCGTTCGCCCCCGAAAATCCAGTTCTTCCAGCTCCCACTCCAATAACAACAACAGCAGCATCAGTTCTGCTTTCTCCCTTCCCACCGCGCCCGAAGAGTATCAGGACAGGAGTAGGCACTGGTCCAGTCAAACTCAGAGACCGCCAAAACAGCGGCGACGAGGCCATGGGGGTAGGTTATGCTGTGAGCTATAACTCAGCGATACCACCACCACCACCTGTACGGGCCGCCCCACCTGCACCAAAGTGGGCGCCGCCTACGATACCCGGCTATAAGGATGATGCGAAGCCGTTAAGCTCCCCAGGCTTTAAGCTAGACGATCCGCCACCGTCGGGGGCTGCTGCTGCTGCTGCTGCGAACAAGGGAAAGACCGGCAGCAACAACCGTAATAACAGGCTCAGTATCTTCCCCCGCCCAAGTCCTAGTCCGACGCCAAGTACGCAGGGGTGGTCTTCGTCGCCGCTTAGTTCGCCGTCTACTCCTCCGGTTCCTACTGTGCCCACCGACCGTTTGGAAGCAAGTGAACATGAGAGTCAACATAAACGGGGAGGAAGTGGCGGAACAGCGGAAGAAGAAGCAGAAGAAGAGAACGAAAAGAGAGGACGACCTTTGCAAAAGCGACAGCAGCAACCCCAGACCCGGGCCCGGGGCTCCTCCGTAACGGGACGATCACCAATTCCGGCGCCTACACTAGAGGCATGGCTCAAGAGGGGGATGTCCTCGACGAGAGTGCCGGTACGAAGGGGGACGGAGACGGAGACAGGAATAGCTGGTCCAGGGGCGTCGCCGCCATCATTGCCGAGATCAGCTTCTACTTCGAATCTTGCTGCTGTGAGGAGGCAGTCGTATACTGCGAGGTTGAGGGAACAAGTGCAGCAGCGGTACATGCTGGATGCGGACGATGGGGGGAGGGGGGAGGATTGGCCTATTAGGCAGTCATAGATAGTCTAGACTCATGTATGGGTAGAGAAGAAGAAATGGAATTTACTGTCGAGGAAAGGATAGATATTTGTTACTTGTTGATTGGTGATAATGTGTAACTAAACTGATGCAACTGTTTTTTTTTGCGGTAACAGACAAATATTTTTCATTTCTGTATAGCTCGGAGAAGACTGAAGGAACCGTCCCGAAAGGGGAATGGATGTTCGCTTGCGTGCCTCTAGTGCAGTTTTGCACAGTATCTTTGCTTCAGATGCACCGCATAGTTTGCCCTGATAATACTTATCCATGCACATAACCTTTAAGATAAAGCCAGTCTCCAGAGTGTCCAAGTGACTATCCGTCGAGGAAGTTGTTAGGCAAGTTTAGAATGGTGGATTGTACGGGATGGGTGGGCGCTCGGGCCGCTTTAAGAGTAACTTGATAGTAACTATGTTCAAATTTCAATTTCAACAAATGACATCGGTCCGATGGTGTAGTTGGTTATCACGTCAGTCTAACACACTGAAGGTCCCCAGATCGAGCCTGGGTCGGATCATCTTCTTTTGCAATTTTTTTTTCTCTCATTCACCTTTTCCTATACTTCATTCATACTTTGGCATGCAGTTCTGGTTTATCTTGCTTCTCTGTTCCTCTCCAGTCTTTCGATTTTTTTTGATTTTTTTTCGTTACCCTTTGGCTTCACCATCTACGTGGCACACTCAGTTCTGTTATCTTGGCACAATACACGCCTCTCCGTCGCGGACATAATAGCGATCCTGCTCGATGAAGATTGAAACACCCGCTACTGAGTTTCTTGCTCATTCCATGTAACACGCAAGAGGCACTGTGCTTGTTCTCAAATCATGGAATTGTCCAGGTCGGAAAAGGCAACATTATAAAAGAAAAATACTTTAAACAATATCCATCACCAAATCAACCCAACCTAGCACCTATCATCATCCGACCCGCAAAACCCTCTCAACGTCCTCCCCTAACCGTCGTCGTCCCCCCTCCCCTCCTCGAACCAGCCCCATAAGCACTCCCCGTACTCCCATAATACCCCTCATCATCCGAATACGCCGGCGTATCCAAACTACTACTTCCTCTACCACCACCATGTCGACTTCTACTCCTTCTTCTATCCCTAATACCATACCCATCATCATCCAAATCCCGATCCCGATCTCTCAACTCCCGATACCCCCCTCCCCGTTCCTTCGCTCTCTTCTCTTCTTCTCCCGCCTTCTTCTTTTCTTCCAACTTCTTCTCAATCACATTCGCCCCCAACCCCCCGACAGCAGCACCGACGATAGTGGAAATCAGCGCCGCTTTACGCTCTCTTTCTTCTTCTTCTTTTTGGTTCTTCCTGCCCTTGGAGCTACTGCTACTGTGTCCGTCATGGTGGGAGGATTTTTTTCCATTGTGAGAAGACGATTTACGTGCGTGCTCAGTTGCTTCGCGCGCTGCTAGTCCGCCGACGATGGCGCCTAGGATGCCGACGCCCAAGGCGGTGGTGGAGGGGGAAAAAGTAGAGGAGTAGAGGTCTTTGGCTTTGCGGAGGGGTGCTGCTGCTGGACTGGGGGAGCGACGGGAGCGTGAGCGGGAGCGGGAACGGCGGGATGAAGGGGAGCGTCGTCGACGGGAGTGGCTTGCGCCACGGGAAGAGCGGGGGTAGTCTGACTCGTCGTCTGTGGTGTAGATGCTGCGAGCGCCGCGGGAGCGGGAGCGAGAGCGAGACAGGCCACGGCTGATACGGCTGTCTCGGCTGGGAGAGCGAGCCCGACGGGCGTCGGAGACGGCGAGGGCTTGAACGGCTCGCTCGGGATCACGCAGTTCTGGGCCGCCGTAGATTTTGGTCTCACGGACGATGTGCCGCTCGCGAGTGCCGGGCGCTGCCGATGGGGCTGAAGCTAGGCTTGGGCCGCGGGACCGGCTTCTGCTCCTGCTGACGCTGATGGTTCGCGCTGCGACAGGGGGATTGGTACCAATGCCGGAGCTGCGCTCCCAGGAGCGGTCTCTACCCCGGAGCGGAGTGCCATTTCGGTCTCGGCCGTCGTCGTAGACGTACCCTCCTGGCCCTGGCCCCGCTCCGGTGCGGTAAGAGATAGGAGGAGAAAGTGGCGGGGAGGGAACGGGTGGCGGTGCTGGGTGTGCTGTTGCTGTTGATGGGATGGCACCACTGGCGTACGGACGAGGAGCGCGGCCGGGGCCAGAGATGAAATCGGGGGAGTAATCTCTGTCGCGACTGGAGTGATGAGAGCGGGTTGGAGAGGGACCGCGGCCGCGGCGGGCACGCGCGTCTTGTTCGTCCATGAAGCGGACCATGTTTTAGTCGTTGTGATGAAAGGTTTGTTGTGTTGCGATGTGAAGATTCCAAGAATCGAGTTGTGTGTCTGATGCCGTCCGTTTATTAACGGCAACCTGACGGACTTGACCACGAGCTAGTATCAGTACCCTCAATCTCTTCTCTTCTTCAGCTTTGAAACGTCCAATTCGTATAACCTCCTTGCCAATGAGGAAAGTCGTCAACGTCCAACCTTGAAGTCGTGTGATGTCGAACCTCAGAAACTAGAGACCGACCCTTTTGCCCTCTTGCTGTCGAGGCCTTTTACTTTTGCCGTCGCCTTGATGATGCCGAGGTGTTTGATAGATTAATTCCCCGGGCGCTGTGTAATGATACACGTAAAGGACGTTCCGACCGAGCTTCTAGCGTGGTTCCGTGGGTTTCTTCCTTTGCCTTGTGTTTGTGTAATGATAAGCCTCTTTTGACTACCGAAGTGATAGACGCGGACTGCCAAGGCAAGAAAAGGCGAGAAGAAGTGGTAGTGTGACCTCGGTTGGTATTGCCGTTGTTGGTGATTGTGGCAAGTAGGTTGAGTTGACTCCGAATTTTGATCTTCTAGCCAAGAAAATGGAAACAAAAGCGAGTTGATCAAGAAGGAAAGGCCGGCATATGTATGGAATACGAACTCCCGGTGACGACGGTGATGCTTGCCCGATGATATTCAGGGCCTTGGTGTAAGTGACGGCCTAACGGGGCCCCACAAGCCGAACAATGAACCCCCCCTCCCAAAAAGAAAAAGTGACTGACAAAAATCAGGGAACTTCCACTTGGACGGAGCCCAAACGCCGGCTCTTTCGGGAATTTGCCAGTTGAAAGGGCACGAGGCCTTCGTAAAGCGAATTGAAGAAGCTTCGTGAATGATGGGGGACTGATTCAAAATAGTCGAGGGAGACAAGTTATAAGACCCTTAAAGAGACGATAAAAAGAGGAAAAGGAAGATCTATCCACCTAATGATCAACAGTGAAAACAGCAGATTGTCTTTCCTTGCGAAGCTCACATCCCGTCCAAAGCGGAATGGAATGGCTGTTGCCCAGCTTTGCTCTCAGTTGTCCAGCCAGCCAGCTCCATGCCCAGCCATCTTTTCACCGTACCCAAGCAGAGCCCAACCAAATCCACTTTCGGTCACAATGCCCCCCCGAAAAGAATATCACTTTCCTCTTCTCGAATCTTGTTGTTGTGCTGGTCCTATGCATTGTTACAGCATCAGCCTTAACTGGGGGGTCGCTGTCGTCCCACTGCAGGAGCCGACCGTGATTGGTGGAGACGGCGAAACCATTCCATATGATGTCACTGTCGCCAACCATTCAGGATCGTGAAATTCTTGGGATGTCGGGGACAACAAGCGGTGATACCCTGCAAATACCTGCGTTTCACAAAGCTGTCCATGAGCGTCGATCTTCACCTTGTTGCTGACCTCGGTGAAGACCGAGTGCAATCTTTGAATTAAAGGTATACACAGCTGTGATTGAACAAAATCAAGGGCTTTCCAGCACTCGCCGGTTGCTGGTAACGTTCCTGTTTCATTGTTCCTTATTACCCAAGAAAGGTTAGGTATCTAGCAGAAAAGTTCATCTCGAGACATCCTAAAATTAACAGGGCCTGGATTTCCTCTTCTCTTCCTTGCCTTTTCCGTCTCTTCAAAGTAGCTTTTGTCTGTCCGACCGGCCCAGCCTAGCCCATCCATCACCCATATGTTCATTTGCGTCTGTTACTTTTTCTGGCCCCATCGCTGCCATGTCGTAATCATCCATTCACTCCAAAATAGCCATGTAGACTACCTGGTGAGAAAAATCATTCACACAGGTAACCCCTCTTCCGTAGCTTCATCCCTCTCCAACTTCTCCAGCCCCGTACCAACAGCACCGTAAATCTTCAACGGTACTGCGACCTCGAAGCTCTCGCAGATGAGATTCTCCGCCGCCACCAAAATCAAACCGCCCCTATCATCCCTCGAAATCTCTTCCAGCAAGGGATGCGGTTGCTGCTGCTGCTGCTGCATAGCATTCCTCTGTCTTTCCCGTTCGCGTTCAGAGATGGTCTGGTTCTTGCGCAACATAGGCGGCCTGCTTTTGCTTTTCTGGTTCCCCCCTTCAGCAACGCTGCCATTGGCTTTGACTAACCTCGTTTCCCTTTCTTCTTCCTCTTTTCCCTCGCTACCCTTATGCGCTTCATCCGCTTCTTCTTCTTCATCCTCCTCTTCAATGACTCCATTCCTCTCCGCCTCTTCGTCACTAACAATGTCATACTCCTCCTCTCCAATATTAGTTATCCCCAACCCCATCATCCCTTGCCCTTGCGCCTGTCCCAGCACCTGGGACTGTCCCATCCTCTCTAATGCCTCTGCGCTTGCCACCACGAACTCCACCCTAACCTTCCACTCTAAACTGACTCCGCTCGTGACAAACTCCGGCGTGGCTGTGACGGGAATCGTTGGCGTGAATACCACCCTCTTGGCGAACATGGTCGCTTCACTGCTGCTTACCAGCACCTTTCTCGTTACACGGTGCACACTCGCTTCACTTCTCAGCGCCAGGCTGGAATCTACCCGCTCGGCTGTCTCCAAAGCAACGTGCACAGCATAGCAAGGGATCTCGGCGTCTTCAAAGTCAATGGCCATGGTGATCTGCTCGCCTAATCGGTAGGCGGGGCGGGCGAGCATGACGACGGCGACACGGCGACCGTTGCGGGCGATTTCGAAGCGGTTAGTGGATTGGTTGGAGTAGTGGGAGGCTATGTTGGAGCGGAGAATGGCCAGGTCGATGGCCTCTTTTGCGGTGAGAGCAGGCATGTGGGTTTGCGGGCCGAACGGATTAAAGTGCGAGGACGTGTTAGAGTTGAGGGAGTAGTTGGACTGTCGGCGGGAGGGGGGGCCGCTAGCTGTTGGACTGAGAAGGCCAGGGGCGCGAGCGCCGTTTTGGAGTTGGAGGGAGCGGGAGGAGAGAAGCTCGTCAACATAGGAGAGGAAGGAGTCTTCGTTGGCGGCGGGTTTGTCTCCCAATAGTTTCTGTCGTGCTTGTTGTGGTTGTTGCTGGTGATTATGATTATGTAAGGTAGTGGTAGATGCTGTGTTTGTATTATCAATGGTCTTAACCCGCGCCTGGTCTCGCAGGATGATATACGGCGCCATCAGGTCGTGACCTAGGATTTCGCCGTGGCTGTTGACGCTTCCAAGCACGCGGAACGGAACGTCCACAGACTTGACGTGCTTATCCTTTGCGCCTCCAGGCCTTTGCGTGCCAATGACGAGGCTGTATGATATCTTCATCGCCTTGCCGCGATGCGTTGGTGGTAGCCCCTTGGGCAGTTTGAACGAATATTCAAACGTCTTGCTTTCCCCGGGTGCTAGCTGCAGGTCGACGAAAAGAATCGACTGGGGTGTTGACAACAGCGGGATCGACTTTGAGCTGGCAATCCCGCGCATCTCTTTGATGGTGCTGAGTTCTCCTCCGCCTAGAAGCTCGCCAATGGAGCTCGTGATACTGCCCCAGCCGAAGCCCCTCAGCAAGCCGCTGTCGCGCTTCGTAGTTTCCACACCAATGACGCCGCCACCATGGCCACCCACTACAGCTTTCCGCTTCACTTGCTCAAATGGGCCGAGGTTTACCAAAGAGCCATCAAGCGTAAATGAACCCTGGATTTGCGCATATCCCATCATCAACGTTTCTGGCATCTTTGCCGTACTTGGGGAGAAACTGGACGGCCGCCTGCTGTGGCCCGATCGCCCACCAGCCATTCTCAGCGGCTGTGGTTGGACATATTCGGATGCCAGGGTCTCGGAAGAGTAATTGCTCATGGAGTAAAACTCGCCACTACTCCTTGGTGTGCCGCCAATGCTGGTTGTTGAAAGAATACGTGCCGAGGGTATCGCACCATGTTCGTTGATGGTGGGGATAGGGTCTCTTGATCGCATCGGGAGAGACCTGACGGATTCGCCAGCGACCGAGTATGTTGGGCTCATGATGTTGTCTTCATGTATGGGCCCCGCCGGACTGCCTCCGTGGACAACATCGGGCGAAGAAGAAGATTTGGTGAAAGGGAACCTGAACTCGGTGTTCTGCTCGGCTCTAGGAGAAGCCTTGGGAGAGGGGGACGTTGCCCATGGGAAGATGTTTCGTGTTCGTTCGGAAGGAGTCAGAGGGCCTTCGGTCGGGCTGTGTAGTGTGTTCCGGTTGGGAGGGTAAGAGGCATGGAAAAGGGGTGATGGCTGCTGAGAGGTCTGCACTTTTGGGTGTGTAGCTGTATGGGGGCGAGGTACATAGTCAGGCGTCTGTTCAGTGGTGGCCTCACGTAAGAAAGAGGCGGCCTTGCCAGACTTGGGCCCGCCAAAGAAAGGAAGACGGGAGTTAATCTGCAAACTCGAAGCTCGGGCATGACCCCTCGCTGGTCGCTGGGACTTGGCGGGGGACGAATTGAGGTCCGGAACCTCGTCCATGGCCTTTGTAGAGCCCAGTGACACGATGGACACCGACCTCTTGTGTCCGTGGCCATTGCCGTTGCTCCGGGCGGAGGAGCTCGAGGGAGGACCACCGCGGGAGCTGCTGCTGGGCCCGGGATTCTGGATTGGTGACCAGGGTATGGAGCTGTCTCGGGCGCGGGAAGTGGCAGCGGCGGATGGAACTGTCAAGGAAAGGGTGGACCGATGGCCGTGACCGCGTCCGCGCACCGAGGGCGGCGGCGCCAGGCCGTCAGCATGGCCCTTGGTACGGCCATTTCCTCCTTGTGTAGCAACGGACGACGACTGAACAGGGTGACCGGGGCCGAGAGGGGATGGCTGGCGCATTCGTTGCTCGGCAGCGGCACCTAGATGTCTCGGAGACGGATGCGGATTCTTTGTGGGCGTGGTCGGCGGGGGCCCGGGAGGTCGTGCGACGTTCTTGAAGGTGATTGTGCACTTGACTTCCTCTCCGGCGAAGACGACATGGTCCTGCCAGCGGACAAAGACGCGGATGTTGCTGTTGCTGTTGGCGGCTGCGGCGGCGGCGTCTGAAGGCGACATGGTTGTTGAGGATCGGTCTGTTGTTTTCTCTTGTTTATTCGTCTAGTATCGTCTATATCGTTTCAAAGCCGTCTTCCTCTGTTTTTTATACACTTCCTCTTGGGTATGCGTATGAACCAAGCTTCTTCTGCCTTTGTTGATGGATCGCCGTCCAGGTCGCTAATCCGCTGTTTCTCTCTTCATTGCTGACGAGCAGCAGCATTTTCTCGGGGTACACAGCGTGCGAGAGATCGATGCTGGCGTCGGCGGGCGGGCGGGCGGGCGGGCGTCTAAGTCGCGGAGTCGTGTTGGGTATGCTTATGATGTCGAGAAAAAGAGGGAGAGGAAGTGACCAGAGAGAGAGAGAAAATGGGAAACCGAACGAATGCGGTTTCTCCTCCTCCTGCTGACTGACTGAGAGCAGCCAGCCTGAGCCCGAAAGCGGTAGGTCGTATGGATGGAGCCGCCGGGCGCCGAGTGTTGCGATAGGTTGCCGTCAAGCCGTCCGCACCGCTGGAGTCGTCTTGGAGTTCTTGGCTTTGGAGCATCGATGGTGCCAAGACATGCAGATGACACTGTCCGATAGCGTCAACAGCCCCGGAGCACGCAGGGGAACCTGGCTTCAGGTTGTGCTTGGTGAGGTGTGTTGGGGGATCACAAAGGGCCCAAGCTTCTCCTGAACATCCATCGCCAAAAGGGGGGGGGGGGGGTCACACAATCACTTCCTGTCAAGATGCCTTCAGTTGCAATTGTTTCAGCATTGTCATCAATGCATGAGCTCCCGCCATACTCAGAGAGACTCTTTTAGGTTATCAGACCTATAGTGTAACTGAAGGGAGTCTGTTCAGACGCCTTGACACGGCAGTCCGATTGGGTATCTTGTCCATTGCAAAACTCCGACCCCCAAACGCCACTCAGCAAAAGGACATCTGCCAACTCGAGAATCTCCAACACCAACCCTAACCCCGGAGGAGTTTAACAAGGCAATTGACTGAAACCATCATCATAAAGATCGACGACCACTTCAGAAAAAGGGAAGAAAAAAACAACAAGCAAGGAAAAGAAAACAAAGACCACAAGCAAGGAGAAATCCATCCACGCCTTAGGTACCCTTCCAGCCCTCCGTCAACGCCAACCACTCCTGCCACTCAGCCCACTCCCTCCTTCTTCTCTCCTCCTCCTCCATCTCCCTCTTGACAATCGCCTGCGCCTCCTCAAGCACCCTATCTGTATCCTCCACACCCATCCGACCCAAGTTCTCCAGAATCTCTCCAATGGCCGTCAGCTTCTGATCTTTCTTGTGCTTCAACTTGCTCTGCGTCTGACCCTCCCTCATCACCGACACATACTGCGCGTCGGATTTGTACTTGAGCTGCGCGATCTGCTGGTTGAAATACTCACGGATCTGGGCGGGGCGGTCAACATCGGATTCTTTGCGGATTTTAGGCGTCTCTACGGGCATCTTGGTGTTGGTGTTGCGAGAGGTGGTGGCATTGACAAAGGAGGAAGAAGAAGGAAAGTGCTGAGAGCGAGAACGGCCGCGGCTACGAGGAAGAGGCTGGGAAACAATACGTTCGATAATGGCAATTGCTTCCTCGTTGGTGGTGATGGCCGGGTTGAAGAGTCCACCAAAAGCTAGGGGACCTTTGGCGAGCTCGGCCTGGAGACGGGCGCTGATGGCGGCGTGGACTTCGCACTCAATCAGTTCCCTGACAAGCGGACGGCTGCGAGATGACGAAGGAGGACGAGGCGGCTGGTTAGTTTACGTTAACTCTTAAAGCCGTGATGGAAAAAGGGTTGCGACGGGACTTACATTCTCTCCAGCTCATCCACCTCGTGCTCGAGGGCTGCCGTCTCAACCCGCATCTCCGCCTCTTGCTTTTCCAGGTCGGCAATGGCCTTGTTGCGAGCTTCGAGGTGTTCACGCGCCTTGTGACCGGGAATGCCGTCTGCCAAGGTACCGGGGTAATTGGTGATCGCATCCTCGATCTCGTCCTGTTTCGGGGTTGCAAGTCAGTGATTGATACTAAAAAAAAATGACTACAGCAGAAGAAGGAGAGAGAAACACTCACATAAGTATAGGTCTCAACATGACCATAAGGGAGCTCCGGCGCACCAGCTTCCTGAGTCTCAACATAATCATCAGGGAGTTTCGGCGGAGGACCAGCTTTAAGTTCCACCATCTCGAGGCTACTGCCACTGCCGCTACTCAGACTCTCCTCAGGAAAGATGATTTCCTTTCCCTTGCCCTTCCAATCAGTCTTCTTCTGCTGACCATCAAAAGCGTTCGCAGAAGCAGACGAAGCCTCAGCCTCGTCCTGGGTCATGTCGAACTCCCTAGCCTGCACTGCAAACTGCGCTTCAAAGCCCGGAGGCACTGAAACTATCTTCCTGATCTGGCGCTGCGCATCAAAGGGGACAGCCTTGCGAAGGGGCGGGATATTGCGCTCGTCAATCGGAATACGAGGAGGAAGATCGCCGACATAAACGTAAACCGGCTTGCTCTCGCCAGGTATCTTGACGGGCGAGTAATCGGCGAGGTTGGAAACCGGACGTGTGCCATCCGCTAAAAGTGCCGGCCCGGCAGTAGCAGCAGCGGCAACAGCCGCAGTAGAAGTCGAAGCGGAGGCAAAAGCGCTGTCGTTGTCAGTGCCCTGAAGACCCTGGACACTCTCGGGCTGACCGTAGCGGCGATGGCACAGCTCGCGACCGGCGATGGGATCCATGCGGTCGAAAGGAAAATTCTCGATTCTGCCGGCGAAATTGGTGTGGGCAACGCCCGTGGCGGTCCACTTGACCGAAGGGTTGGAAGGCACGGAGTAACGACCGGTCATGACGCTACCGTCGTATGCGTCGTACTGAGACTCGTAAGTGTCCTGGGATGAGGGAGGGGGGGACACAGCCGGCATTTCCTCGATGGGAGGTGTAGAAGGGCGGGTACGCTCAAGGTTCTGGTAAAAGTCAGCCAGCCAGTCAGTCAGCGAACAGCTTTCATATGTGTGAAGGCAAAAGAAGATTACTTACGCTGGGAACAGGAACCTTGGCCGGACCGCCAACCCTAAAATATCTATTATCCGTCGCACATCCCTCCGTCAGCTTCAAAAAAGTCCTGGGTGAAATGCTGCTAGCATCCAAACCCTCGTCATCGCTGACATCGCCCTCTCGAAGGAAGGACATCTTGACAAACCCCCTGGGCGGAGTAGACGGAGTGCTGCTGCCGTATCCACCATCGCCACCATCACCACTGCCACTACTCTGGTCAGAATTCGATTTCGCTGAGCCATGAGACGCATGGGAAGAGCCGTATGAACCGTTGGAAAAACTGCGCAGTAAATTGGCTGTGGGAGGCCGGGAGAAGCCTTGCTCCTCCCAGTCTGCACGCTCTTCGGTGATCGCGGAATGGGGCCGGTAGTAACGACCACGCACTTGGAGGCCGAACGGGGAGTCGATGGTGCTGAAGGGGGAAGTGATGCTGATGCTCATGGGAGAAGAAAGGGGGGTTTTCAAAACTTTGCCATCTCTGCCGTCTTCGGTCTCGGACTTGCCATGGTCCACTTGAGGTTCTTGGTCTTGGTACTCTTGACACGTGCTTGTGTCATTGCTAATGAGTTGCCTGTGTCTTTCAGTAATAATGGTTGCCACACCATTTTGCCCACTGGTAAGTATGTTTCTTTTCCTCTCTCTCTCTCTCTCTCTCTTCTCTCCGCTGGGATGTGCCACTATCCCATTGGCTGGTCATAGGTTGGTTACAAAAAGTATACCAACACCCCCTAGAGGCCCCCATATACAAGAAGGACAAAAATGATGACGGTGACGGTAGTGTGTAAGTCTAAGGGGTTGTCGACGTACCGGTTGTCGTCTTGGACAGGCTCTGTGAGCTCCAAGAACTGGAGAGGCTGGATTGTCACCTCTTGGGTAGGCTCGTTTGCCGTCTCTCGGGCAGGCTCGGCCATGGTCGTCTCTTCGGCAGGCCCGCTCGACATCTCCTGGATAGCCTTGTTCACTTCTTCCTGAACCGCCTCGATCGTTGTCGTCTCCTGAGTAGACTCAGGCTCAGTCTCGGAAGCCCTTGGCTCATACATGAGCCTGACCAAGGGCTCTAACGCCTCGTCGCGAGGGTAGTGGCCGTGGCCGGTGATGCCACGAATGGTGACGTAGGCCATCATTTCCGCGTCACTGAAGTGACGAGTCTCAATGGGCCGGCTGCTGCTGCCCTGCTCAGCCGAGGAAATGTCAGCTCGACCGCGTGTGGATAGGCCAGGCGAGATTGCTATGGAAACAGAGTCAGTTGATGAAGAGAGACAAAGAAAGAGTTAAGTGATGGATGAAAGGCAAGTGAGCTTACGGCGGGTAATAGGAGGGGGCTGGACCGCCGGCTCCTCTGCCTCGGTGTTCACTTCATCGGGGTTGATGAAGTAGCGGATGGGCATATCTTGCTCATCCTCGGGGTCGATGAACCGGACTGAGCCGGGGTTGGGGTTGTTGTGAGTGTGGCCACTCATTGTTGTTGTCTCGCGTCTTGAGAGTGATGAGGTATATGGTCAGTAAAAGGAAGGCTTCACGCGATAGTTCAGGAGTGTTGAAAGGAAGATGTTGAGGAGGAGTAGACGCGAAGAAACACGTGTGGACGCAGGGCAAACAACGCGAAGGAACTTCGGTTGCTACAAGTGACAGTTGATTCCACAGCATACGCGGTGAACAACCTGGATTGCTCAAACTGAGAGTGAATCGGATGCGAGGGAGGAAGGGGTTCAAGAGTCAACTTCACGAAGGACGATGATAACGAAGAAGAAGAAGAAAAGGTCATACTCACAAAGTGCTCGTTCGACTTGTTGCTAGGTTGCAAATGAGCAAAAGTCAAATCAAGAAGAGGAAACTGACGAGGGCGAGAAGGTCGCGTCAACAAGAGAGTTATCTGGTTTGCTTACTCCCCTCACTGAACAATAGTGCAAATCACTCACGTTAGTCACAATAGCAAACCTCAATAGGCAGTTCACTGAGTCATCCTTGAAAACTAGCAGCTAGTTCAATACAGCAATACCTAGTATTGTGCAACTATGAGACCCAACCTGCTGGGTGGTGGTGAGGTGGTGAGGTCTGTACATCAGGTAGGGGATCCACTCCTCATCCTATTCAACGATATAAACAATAGCAACCTGAATTAGGCATTCCCGCAAGGACAGGCAAGTAAACGTGCATCAGAAACCACTCACAATACCCAGTCACAATAGGCAGACGGACGGGAAAGAACCTTGATAGTTCAGATGGACACTCTACCCTCAAAACCAAACCGAAATCCTCACCACGCGACCTCTTCATCCGAACTATGAAACACTTCCAGGCAGATTTCTGATATTGCAAGGAAGATACCGACCCACGCGAGTAGTCGTAAGAATAACCCGAGCAGGACAGTCCAATACCCCTCTTCCTACAGAACGCCATCACACAACTGTCATACGCCTCGTAGTATATTGGAAACACGTCCGCTACAGTCTCTGAGGGGGTTTTCCATCCAAGAACTGCCTGGAGTTTGGATTCTGAGGTATATCGAGGACGCATTGAGGCGCGTAGGAGGACCCTGAAGGTATGTCTGATGGATTGTGAAAAGGAGGGGGAAGGAAAGGAGTGAGAGAGAGAGAGAGAGAGAGAGAGAGTTGGGGGGGGGGGGGGATATCCTTATCATCACTCGCCAAGAGACTTCGTCTGAAGTGTGAAACACCGACAGCAGGTTTTGGAGAAGGAAGGCACACGTATCTAGTATGGTAAGATAGTCATTCAATCATTCATCCAACTGGTTACTGGTTGGGCAGCGCAGGTTGTTGATAGAGCATGCTCGACTCCGGTTGTCGGAGCTGGGCTACCTAGTCACCGCAAGTACAGGTTTGTAATTCTTGCGGTTACCCTGGTAACGAGTGTAACTACCTATCTCAAGGTACGCAGGCAGTTCTCGTCAAACCCCTCGAGAGAGTGATCGCATTGCCGAGGGCGTCGTCAACAAATGCCATGTCGTCCGTTATGTTGATATGGAATCTGCTCGAGGGGAGGTGAAGTAGACAGCCACAAACATCACCAGTTGTGGGGAACAAAACAACGGCAGCGTTGAGTGATGATTAAAATTAGACACTAAGCCATAAAATACGGTATAATAACTCCCGACGGACTCCTCTCTCATGTATCCATTAGTCCATGCGTCCTTCTCAAGCTGTTGCCAGCGTCTTATTCTATGCTCCTCTTCTCCTCTTTGCTCCTTCTCCTATACTTGGTTCGCTCCTTTCGTCACCAATCCCGTTTCTCAGCACGCCTCTCACTCCTCACCGCACCAAAGCCCAACTCACATACTAGGAGTAGGCATCAAAACATAAGGCAAATCCGTCTGATCCCCCCTCCCCGCCAACCTAATCACACTCCCACTACTACTATCACTATTCTCCCCACTCTTCACACTCCCCCCTTTTCCAGAGGACGATGCCAACGACAACTGCGAAACCTCCCCAGGACTAATCCCCGTACCATTCGTCTCCGCCCTGCACAGCCCCGTGTGCCCCGTCAGCGCCACGCTCCTAGGGGAAGCCGGCGCCGTACGAAACTGTCTCAGTTGTTGCTGCCAGGAATACGTGGTCGAGCAAGTGCCAGAGGATTCGCGGTTCGCAGAGCGTTGATAGGGATGATGATGATGACGATGACTGCGACTGCTGAGGTGGGTTCTTGCTGTTTTCGCTGTTTCGGGGCGAAGGTAGTTGTGGGTGTGGGTGCTCCTGAGAGAGGAAGAAGAAGAGAAGTAGGAGGAGTTGGTTTGTTGCCGGGTCAGGTGATTGAGGCCGCGGAAGGGGTTGGCGTCGCTTGGGCCTGGGTCTGACGGGCGGGCGGCTGTGGTGTATTTGGCTCTTCGCCTTCTTCTTTTGGGGGTTTTGGGCGTGGGGGTTCTGGGTGGTTCTTGTTGTTGTTGCTGACGTCGATGCTGGCGGCTAGCGATATATTGCTCTGGTTCGTTTCCACCGTAGTACATGCTACCGCCATCGCTATCTTTGCGTAAATCGCCAGAGGAGTAACTTCGCCTAGGCGCATCGTTGTCGATGTCGCTTTCGTAGAAGGAGTGGGGCGAGGGCTGTTGCGGTTGCTGAGAGTAAGGAGAGAAGAAACGGCGATCGTTACTGCCATCCCCTTCGGTGCCGGCGTTATAAGCAATTCCCGGATCATTATCTTCAGCTCCATCATACTCGTACTCTCTGGCAATTTCGTCCAACACCATCGGATCAAGCGGTCTCATGTCTTTAAGCACCTCCGCAAAAACGTGCATTAACCGTCTGAATTCGTCAAGCGATAGCGGCCGAGTAGAGTACCGAGCGCGCTGGTACAGCTTGATGAATTCACTCAGGGCCTCTGATGGTGCTACCACGCCGAGCTCCGTCAAACTAGTCAGATACTCGCGAAGTCCCATGCTCTCATGTCGCTGGAGTAGCTCCACGGCATCCGGGTCCAATAGCGGTGGGTCCATCCTCCCTGCTTCCCCCTCAGCCTCGCCTTCGCATGCCCGGTCCGGCGGTGCAAGGGTAATAGCCTTGGCCTCGATCAAATTCGGCAGTTCGCGTATGACTGTATCGTATTGCACATTCGCAAGGTCCGGAGAAGTAGGCGGACCCCAGCCAGGGTGTTCGATTTCGCCCCAGATATGGGCACCTCCATGTAGTGCACCGATGTTGATGCACGTCGGCTCGTCATGGCCCGATGGGTGCGTGGTAGTCGAATCATGTTCGGATTCCCGACCCTCAATGGTGCCCGCGCTGAGTCCCCTACGCACCTTTGGTTTCCAGCGAGATTGTCTCCCAGCGAATCTGTCTGTGGCTTCTTTCGAGGCTTCCTTCGCTGCCGTGGCTATCCGTCCACTATGCTCTTGCTGTGGTTCTTCATCTTGCCCTTCATCATTATTTCTTTCCACCTCTTGCCTTTGCGATGTAGGGTGCGGCACATTTGCTGTTGCAGGGACAGAAGTTGGCCCAGAACCGGGAGCAGCTGAAGTCGGAGGCAAAGGCAACCTTGGTCTCGCTTCATACGCAATGGCGGCACTCCTGCTGAGACCGGCGACAATCAACTGTCTGACATCGCGGGGCACGTCGCCCTTCTCTATAGGGACCCATGATTTGGGTATCGAGTCGAGCACCGCTTTGTTATAGTACAGTCGGGTAGCGTAGATAAAGACAATGATGAGAATGGCGACAAGGTAGCAAAGCGCAACAAGGAGGATGCTGTAGTTCTGCTTGGTGATGATCGCCTGGCGGATTAAGTCGATAGGACTGACAATGAGAAAAGCGAGAAGGACGAGATAGATGAAGTAGTAGACAAGTTTGTAGAGGTAGTGGGCGATGGTAGACACGGCCGACTTCATTCTTTAGTGTGATGTTGTCGAGGTCGCAGCTGGATATTCAAATCACTTGCCAAAAGAGGCAAACGTAGAGAAGCAATCACAGCTGACCGTTGTTGAGGTCGAAGCTGCCGCTGGTTCCAGATGGAGCTCGTAACTTGCGACAGAAAAATGTTGGGCGTCGGGGAGTGTCATGGCGGCGCGGAATACCTAGGTTGGAATGCGATGATTCGAGACGGGAGGAAAAGAGCCGCAATTCAAGGGAGATGGTTGCCGATTATCAGATTGATTAGGACATTGGAGGAGTTGCGATGCCTATGTTAGGTCGAAAAGTCGAGAAAGAAGCTAAATAATAAATAAACTCGGCAGCGGAGGCCACGCCCGCGAACAAAGGAGAACCTTGAAAGGATGCAGGAACTGGACCGAGACAGCGAACGGAACTATCGAGTTGGGTTAAAGCCCGTGGATCATGGCACGTGTGACCTCATTTCCCGCCGGCTCGCCCATCCCTGCACAGCCGCACCATTACGTACCGAGCCCCTGCACGGCTTGACCGTTCAGGGGAGCACAGGGGGGACATCGCTGCAAGTAAACAATCTGTTTGTACCTTATGTAGCACCACTACCGTACGCTCATTGAGGTAGTGTCATACAACATAAAACAATCCATAACATGCCGCCGAAAACAAAGCCATGCTGCTTTTCTCCCTATTTTTCCTTTTAAGCAAAACCTCCCTACTCCGTGTGTGTGTGTGTGCTTACTCATACAAGAAATATGCTCCAGTCATCACAATATCTTCATCACCTCTTCCACTGGCTCAGGTCTAGTAGATGGTCCGCCCTTGGCTGCGGCTCCGGAAAATTCGCAGCCTCCCTGGCCAAGCGCATATCCGTCAACGTCAGCCTCAAATCCCGCGCATACGGACCAAACTCGACAATGAGCGTGGTCAAAGCTTCCCTCAAGGCCTCCAGAATAGCATCCACCTCAGGGCACTCCTTGATACCCTCAACATCCGTCCAGTGAACCTCGAACCCTTCCTTGAATCTGTCCAGCTTCTTGGTCATATTCGTCAATGTCCGGATAATCGTCGCGATATCCCTCTGCACGTTGCCGTACTTGTCCTCCTGCAGACTGTGGCTTGTGAGCATGCCGAGGGCGTAGGCTGCGTTGATGTAAAGACTGGGCTCGCCGTAAGGGCTTCCGAGAACTGCATGGAGCATCCTTCTCCGGTACTCCTTGCGGAATGGAATCCCCACCCACTTGTGGAGTCCCTTCAGAGCCCAACTCCTGATGAGGCTGGCGGTATCGTCGGTTCCAGTGACGGCCTTTTGGATCTCCAGGAGTTGATGCTTGGCCGCATCTACGACCTTCTTCGCAAATGGCTTGAGGGGAGATCCTTGACCAGGAGCAACGGCAACCTCAACAACCGTCTTCTCAACCTCAGACAGGAAGTTCCGCCTCCTGGCAGGGCCTCCCAGGAAGATGGGTTCCTCCTTTGGAGGTGGAGCAGTTCGAACCTTTTCCTCAACAGGCTGTACTACTGGAGCAGCCACAGGCTCAGGAGCCTTTCCATAATTGCCAATGTTCGTCTCAAGGCTCTTCAGAACCTCGAGACAAATGGAGCAGACCTGCGACCACGCCGGTCCGTCCTTTCGGTCGAGGTCTTCGTAGATGGCTTTGCGTCTCTCCGGGAAATCGCGCGCAATCAGAGCCAACTCCCACATGGCGAAGCACTTGTTTGATCATTAGCAATCAGGTACGTGACAACGTGGACGATTAAAGCGAACATACCTTGTAAAACAACTTTCTGTGCCTGAGTCCGTTCAAGAGACTGCCATTGGGATCCTTGGACCCCGAGGTGAAAGGGCGTTGATCCTTGGTCGGTTCCTTGACCATGAACATGGTGAACGCAGTGTTACCAGCAATCCAAACGATCAGGAGCATGGTGCTAGCCAGGACCATCGAAGTGGCGCTCTTGAAGGAGACGGGCCACGAATATGGCACATAGTTCGTCTTTGGAAGGTTGAAGAATGGGCGAAAGAAGAAGAGCGACAGCCGCCAGACCGCCTTGCGCAGGAACGGGTAGATGACGAAAGTCAATATCAGGCTGGCAAGCGTTTGATTGAGTGACTGCAAAAAAATGATAGGCATCTCACCCCAGAACTTCTTCATAAGGGTGCCGACATCACTGTTGTTGTTTCGGACGGCCTTCTCTGAGGGCTTAGCGACACCCAAGAGGAGCCGGTCAATGTCCAAATATAGATGTCTGATGGCCTGGTAGACGCCGAGAATCACAAGATGGGTGGTAAAAAAGACAGCCTTCTCGTTCAGCCTCTGTCTATCGTACGACAAGTAGGTCACCCATTCCATCCCAGAGTCCTTAGGCTGGGAGAGTAGGTAGACCTGGGCAAAGAGCCAGGCAGAGAAGGCATACGTCAAGATGGTCTCCAAGGTCGAGAAGTTGCGCCAATGCTTGAGGAAGGTATCGAAAGCCGAGTCGGATGTTCGGTAGCCGGGATGGTATTGTGCGATGCGCAGGATGAGGATGAGCGAGCCGGAGAACCAGAAAAAGGCGGCGCGAAAGCCAGTTGGGCCGATGGGAAACCAAGACCAGAGGACTAGATGGAGAGCAGCATGGTCAGTTGGTTCGCGTCAGGTAGTAGAAGGTAGCTAGCTAGCTTACAAGAGTTCCATCTGGCCAGGCCAATGGCATAGACATATGCGATGACGAGCAGAATCAAGGCCGTGGTACTAAAACGGCGATGGAGTGCAGGCTGGAGGAAGTCCTTGTAAGGCGGTCGTCTAACAGATGCGGACGCCATCTTCACAGCACATTGTCGACAGTCCCGCCGTCGTTGGTTGTTTGCCTGTGGATGGTGTCTGGAAGACGTGATGCGCGTGAGGAGGAGGGCGGGGAGGTGAGATTGGTCCTCGTCGAAATTGAGCTGAGGTCAGTAAAGCCCGATTTGGATCTTGAGGCAGCTTCGGGTTTGATACGAGGTGTTGAGTTGGTTGTAAATAAAAAAACGGGGTGGGCCTGCCTGCCGCGCTGGACTGAAGCTTCCAGTTCCCCAAAACACGAGGGGACGCGCTGTCGTCAGCCTGTCACTCTTCTTGGATCCACACGAGCTAAAGGCCCGGTATCATGATTGGTCAAGATGCCCCATTACGTCTCCAACAAGCCAAGCCGAAGCTTTGGAGCGGCAGGACGGCAGGGATGGAAGTTCCCTCGAAACTGACAGTGGAGGATGCTGACAGCGCACAGCAGCCACTGAGGGACAGCGACTGGTGGTGTCCTGGCTCGCCTGGATATGGAACGCAATCCAATGCAACTGAAACCACTTGCGACCCATTGTCGTCCCAGATCACAAGTCACAAGTCACCTTAGGTTCGCTTCAACTTACAACCACCCACCCAAGGGAACCTCGGACCACCACCGCCTGTTGACAAAAACATTCACCAACAAATCAGGCACCGACTGATCGCTCGTTTTCCGAAGGGCCTCATCTCAGCTCCCTCTTGCTTGAAGAACTGAACAGCATATTTATACATACCACATTCCATCTTATCGACGACAATCACTACCCTGCGCATCGCATCAGGCACCGATAAGCCAAACTATCTACTATCACAACCACAACCACAACCACGACAACAACCACCAGCAACCATGTCATTCGATCAGCTCTCCTCCCTTGAGGCGGGGCGCCGTCGCAATACCGGTGGCAGCCAGTATACCGATGACCCCGAGTTCCAGCGTCTCTCCCAAGATTTGATGAATAAGCTCTTCAAGCTTAACGGCAACAACCAGCGACTCCAAGGCGAGGTCGGCCATCTCGGCACGCGGCGCGATACTCCACGGGTTCGGGAACGAGTCCACGAGCTGATTGAGGAGTCGCGCGATCTATTCAAGGAAGTCGGCGGGGGCGTCAAGAAGGTGCAAACCTGGGAAGATGTCACTGTACGTTACTATTCTCTCTCTCTCTTATCACCACTCCTCGTCCCCTCCATTGCCAAGAGCCGGACTGTCGACTAACACGCCAAACCAAAAAAAACCAGCCCACCCAAAAATACATGCAACAAAAACTCTCGCGCGAATTTCAATCTTCCCTCTCCGAATTCCAATCCCTCCAACGCACCGCCCTCGACAAGCAAAAAGCCTCAGTAACCGCCGCCCGCTCCGTGATCGACGCCACCGACCCTTCGCACTCTTCGCACCCCGTGCTCGAGTCCGGGGAACCCCAGCTGCTGCAGTATCAGGAGCAAGAACTCACCCACCTCGCGTCGCAATCCGATGTCGATTTCCAGGATGCGCTCATCCTCGAGCGCGAAGAGGAGATTCGCAATATCGAGCAGGGTGTTGGCGACTTGAATGTGCTGTTCCAGCAAGTGGCTCAGATCGTCAGCGAGCAGGGCGAGATGCTGGATACGATTGCGAATAATGTGGAGAATGTGAGGGATGATACGGCGGGGGCGGATAGGGAGTTGAGGAGTGCGGCGAGGTATCAGAAGAATGCGAGGGGCAAGGCGTGCTGTTTGTTGCTGATTTTGAGCGTTATCTTGACGATTGTTTTGTTGGCGGTGTTCTTGGGCTAAATGGGTGGGACATGATATGGCATGGTACGAAAAACGAGTGCAGGATGCGGAAAGACGGGACACAGTAAGGATATGATTGTTGATGACGTTTTGATGATGAAACGGAAGGGAATGGCTCGGAGGACAGGGTAATCCTGTAATGGTTGGTTTTGTTGTTTCTGTTGCTGCCGTTGTTGTTGATTTCGTTATTGCAAAGACGCCTGGAGGGGATCAAAGACAGGGGAAAGGCGTTTTCGGAGTTCTTACATTCTTTTTGCTCTTATTGGTTATACAGTTTCCATCTGGTCTCTCTAGGCGGCCAGTCTATCTATCATCCATCCATAGGTATCTTATGTCTCATACATCTACATACATACAGTACAAAATCTGTTATACTCCATCCTGTGATTTGGCCCGCAAGATTGCCTTCTGTACGGCCGTGGGATTCGGCTCCCAATCCAGCCCCGGCAGCTTCGGTCTCACATACGGATCATCTCCCCTCCCCTTGGCCGGTCCCAGATACGGCGGCAACGGCATCTTGGCCGCTACCACGCTCGTGATCGCGTTGCTCGTCAGACTCGTTGTGATCCAGTACAGGTGCAGCGCCGCCGGCAAGTTGATGGTGGCGGGCCCAACGATCAGCGTCAGCAGCAGCAGCGCCCGCTGCATCCTAAGTCCTACGAATTTTTGCTGCTTGATCTTGGATGCGTGCTCGCCAATGTTGTTTGGGTTGACGTCCTCCGTCCCGGGGTTCAGGAGACGCAACCACCCTTCTGAGTTGCGAGGCATTACGTTGACGAACATGGTGAAGGAAAGAATGAAGGGGAGGATGTGCAGAGGGTCGGCGGCCATGAGGTCGGGGAACCAGAGGCAGCCCTCCATGGTGGTGGGGAGGGGGTTTTGGAAATAGCTGGAGAGGGATTCCGGGAGGATGTTGGCTAGGGGGTTGACAATGGTGTCGGCGACGGGGGTGGTGGTGATAGTTGCTTCCGTAGCAGTCTGGGCGGCGTTCATGGCCGCTTCAGTTGCTTGTGACACTGCTTGTTGTGTAGTTTCCGCCGCCTTCGAGGCCGCCTCCGCCGCCGCCTTCCCGTCCTTATTAGCTCCCAAAAACATACCCAACAGACCAACCGGTCCGCCACACAACCTCCTCAAAGCCTCGATACCCACCAGCCAGCCGGGAAAGGCCAAAAACGGCACAAACTGCTTCCATGGCTGCACGCCCCACTCTTTCAGTAACCTTTTGCTCGTCTTCTCCATCCGCTTCATGATCTCGGTGGGCGGGTGAAAGTCGTGCTTGACGGGATCGGCCTGCTTCGCGTAGTTGACTTCCTGGTAGTGCTTCCGGCCCCATGCCATCAGAATGGGCTTGAGCAGGGCCCGGCGCTGGGCGAGCCGCTGGGTGTATTTGGCCGCGGGAACGCGGAAGATGAGGCTGATGGTCGCGCCGAAACCGGGGATGAGGATGTACCATGGGATGTGCAGGTTGGCTTGGGCGGCGAGGAGGAGCTGCTCGACAGTGGTGACGGCTTCGTTGACAAAGGTTCGTCGTTGTGAGGGAACCGATGAGGCTGGACTATTCCTCCTGTGACGTATTTGGGTGGCTGCTGTGAAGCCCAGTGGTCGGACTGAGCTCGATGTGGTGGAAAGCCCATGCCGGGCCAGCGAGCTCATGCTCAAACCGCCGACTGTACGTCCTCCGAAAGCAGCCATAATGAGCTGGGAGCTGGTGATGAGTGAGACAGGGTAGAAAGAAGAGAAGAAGAAAAAAGTTAGGGTATCATATTATCCATCCGACTCGAATCACCCTTTCCTTCCAACCTCTCTCTTTTCAGCACTTTACTGCTGAACAACTGAGATGAGATGTTGTTCCCGGTGAACCCTGAAGTTCACTTAGACATTCAGAGGATCCTCTTGGAATTCATTGGCGAGACATTCCCGATAAACATTCAAATTGAATAACGTGCCTGCCGGCTCTACATAGTATGCCAGGGTCCTAAGCATAACTATGCCAAGATCAAACATGAAGTCCGTGCTCCGTACTCATCTGACCAATTGTAGGCTTCAGCTGACACTTGGCGACTGATTGTGAGCTTGCACATTGCTCTTGGTGCACAGTGTTCCCTACGTCAGAGCTCGACGCAGACCCCTGAATGGCGCCCGCTTGCACTATCAAACACCCCCGCAAATACCGTAGCTGCCGCGATAGTACATATTCAGTCATGGTGGTGGAGGGACCTGAACCCAAAACACAAGGCCAGATCATTCGACCTCCATCACCCCGTCAAACGTTATCATCCGCCCAGCAACCCGTCCAGACTCCTGTCCAGTTCAGTGGTCGGCTTTGGGATCTTGCGGCGATTTAACTTCATAGTCCTTCGTTTAGCCGTTAATCCCTTTCTGTTTTCTGTACTATATGACCTCTCTTCTATCCCTGGGCCATTTTGCTTGAGCTGCTCCAACAAACGCCCGTTCGATTCGCGCCTAGATAACCCGAAGCTCTGGACAATCTTCCAAAGTTCCCCAAGCAACGGCGCATAGCGCTCAAATACCAATACATAGAACCGGCATAACAGTACAGAAACCACGCATATATAACACTTCCAGGTATGGCGAACGGTCTCTTCACATACGTTGCCATCTCCTTGTTCACTATCGGCCCGCTTCTCGCCCTGTTTATCCCCTTCATATGGCGATTGGTCGGTTCCTCGCTGGGATGGTACTTGCGTAGGAAGACAGACGGCCGACGCTGCCACATTCTCGAGGTGGTAGAGGCCGACGAAAGAAAATATCGAGACTCCAAGGGCGCAAAGGGCCGAAAAGAGGAGAAAGAGGATCGGGACACCGTCAACAACACCGAAGCTACCGGCACATCCGACGGCAAGGTCTACGATAAGGATTGGGATGGCATCGTGGGCTTCTTTCACCCCTTTTGGTGAGTTGTGCCTAGGGGATCTCTTACTGTTACAGATCTGGCACTAACACCAGACGCAGCAACGCCGGCGGAGGCGGAGAGAGGGTCCTTTGGGCTGCTATTCGGGCCACGCAGAAACGCTGGCCCAAAGCCAAGTGTGTTGTCTATACGGGTGATCACGATGTTAGCAAGGAGGCTATCCTCTCCAGAGTAGAGGTGAGAGAAGTGCCCAACTGTACCGCTTCAAGCGCATCCCCAAGTGTCTTGCTGACCTCTTTACTTTAACAGCAACGCTTCAACATCCACCTCCACCCGCCCACCGTCAACTTCCTCTACCTGTCTACCCGGCGATGGGTTCTCGCCTCCACATGGCCCTACTTCACCCTCGCCGGCCAGTCCTTTGGCTCTCTTATCATGGCCTGGGACGCCTTCTCCCTGCTCGTGCCCGACATCTTCGTCGACACTATGGGCTACGCCTTCGCTCTCGGTTTCTCCCGCTTCCTCTTCCGCGACGTGCCCACAGCCGCCTACGTGCACTACCCAACCATCTCGACCGACATGCTCGAGTCACTCGATCCGGCCTCCACCGTCGGCAGCCAGGGCGTCAACGCCGGCAAGGGCACTGGTGCCAAGGGCCGCGCCAAGAAGATCTACTGGCAGCTGTTCGCACGGCTGTACTCGCTCATGGGCGCGTCCGTGGACGTGGTAATGACCAATTCGACCTGGACGCAGGCGCACATCGAGAAGCTCTGGGGACCTGTGCGCAACCTGACGGGCGCGGTGCCCGGTATCAAGTCCAAGGTCAACCCCATCGCGGTGGTCTACCCGCCCGTGGCCGTCGAGGAGCTGGAGCAGGAGGTTGAGGTCTCCCCGGAAGGCGAGAAGCGGAGAGAGAATGTGCTCCTGTACATTGCGCAGTTCAGGCCAGAGAAGAATCACCAACTCATTGTGCAGGCGTTTGCGGAATTCTTGAAGAGCGGATCGGAAGCGGCGAGGGACGCAAAGTTGGTCCTGGTCGGCAGTGTAAGGGATGATTACGACTCGAAGAGGGTCTACAAGCTACGGCTGCTGGTTAACGAGCTGCATATCAAGGACCGGGTTGAGTTCCATCTGGATGCGTCGTGGCCGGATATCCTGGAGTGGTTGAGGCGCGCAAGCGTAGGCGTTAATGGCATGTGGAACGAGCACTTTGGCATCGGAGTGGTGGAGTATCAGGCTGCTGGGTTGATCTCGGTGGTGCATGATAGTGGTGGACCGAAGCTAGATATCGTTGTCGAGGTCGATGGAGAACCTACTGGTGAGTTTTGCATTTTTTGATTCCTTTCTCGGGCCGAGTTTGACTAACGAATGTAAAGGCTTCCACGCCACGACCTCCAAGGAATTCGCAGAGGGCTTCGAGAAGGCTTTGTCCTTGCCTAACCCGTACGCTGTCAGGTTAAGGGCCCGCAAGTCGGCGAAACGCTTCACTGAGGAGGAGTTCGCGAGGAGGTGGATCGAGCAACTGGAGAAATGTGTGGCTATCAAGGCGGTCGAAAAGCCCAAGAGCAGACAGTGATCGCGCGATCTACTGCCCTGTTCGCTCCTGCACCACGCCTTACTATACTAACGTCATTACTATGTTGGAGAGGGTGGCTGGGCTATAGGTCCCTGCCAGCAGAAACAGTAAATATCATCATGGATACCCTTTTCTTAATATACAAATAATCAACCAGCTGTTTGTATTTATCCTGAGTTGTTGAAATGTCATGCATCGGGAGGTGGTCAGACATATATGGGCACTATCAGCCTTGTCTTAATCATGATGGGTATATAGAGGCTTGAATCAATTCACATTTTCTTGATGATGTAAGATGGATGACAAGACCGTTCTTCTACAATATATTGACGTTTCAACCTGAACCCTACGAGGAGTTTTGTCTCGAGATACTTGTAGAACGAGTCAAGATCAGGGGTGAGTTTAGAGGCTGTGTGGCCCGTGCGTACCACTCAGAAAATCCAGACTCCATCGACCACTCAGGTTCTCCCTGTCATCCACTTTCCTATTCGGATCACAAGTCAAAAATCTGCGACAGGACCTCGATTCATCCCAACTTTACCAAAGGAGAAGAGTTGAGATATTGGACGCAGGAACCGGACTTGTTCACCTGCATCTCACTCGTCCGCCTCACTTGGGTTTTGATTGTTTCTGCGTCACAACTCATCAATGTCGGCAACCGCCCGACTTCTCTTCACTCGATCATTCATCAAACCCACAACATCAGCATTCATCCGTAGCCAATTGGCGCTGCCGAATAACAAATTCTCCTGGGCCAGGTCAGCGAGCCACTACACGGCATCAACATCCAAAGCAGATTTCGACAACGAGTTCCATAAAGACAACGGGTTCCATAAGCACCATCAGCATAACAAGATGGGCAAGAGACAGTTTAACGGCAAGCCTGGAAAGTTCAGGAAAAAGCAGAAGAAGGTTGTGGTTGCGTCCGAAGGATCCCCGGAGGAAGTTCTGCTGCACGATATCAATGCACTTCTTGAGACCTTGACTGTGGCCGATGTGATCGATGAGGGAGCCACTGAGGCTCAGGCTGAGGCCAAGCCGGAGGTTGAGAAGGTAGAGGGTGAGGAGAAGACGGAGGAGAAGACGGAGGACAAGGAGGAGGCTGAGACCAAGCAGGAGCTTCTTGCGCAGGGCACCGAAATCGAAGCCGAGGTGCTATCACTGTCCTCCACCGGTGATGGTCTTGCCAGGCAGAAGGGTTCGAACTCCAACCACATCTATGTCGTCCCCTTCACTGTCCCCGGCGACGTTGTCAAGGCCCGCGTCTACCGCCATGTACCGCAGGACGGCTACTCGCATGCCGATTTCCTGGAGGTCCTCACCCCTTCGCCTCTCCGCGACGACAGCCGCATCCAGTGCAAGTACTTCGCCAAGTGCTCCGGCTGCCAGTTCCAGATGCTCGACTACTCGGAGCAGCTCAAGCACAAGCGCAGCATCGTGGTCAAGGCCTACAAGAACTTCTCCAACCTCTCTCCCGAGCTCGTTCCCGAGATTCTCGACACCATCGGCTCCCCTCTTCAGTACGGCTACCGCACCAAGCTGACCCCCCACTTCGACGGCCCCCCTGGCGGCAACCGCCGCGGCTTCAAGAAGCCCATGGAGGAGATGCCCCCCATCGGTTTCACCCCCAAGGGTCTGCGCAAGGTGATGGACATCGAGGACTGCCCAATCGCCACGGACGCCGTCCGCGCCGGTCTCAAGGCCGAGCGCGAGCGCATGTCCAAGGAATTTGCCTCCTACACCCGCGGCGCCACCATCCTGCTTCGCGAGAGCACCAAGCGTGTGCCCAAGCCCGCCGACGGCTCGGAAATCGCCGTTCCCGATCTCAAGCCCGGCGTGCTCTCCACGCCCATCGCCACCCCCGCCTGCGACGGCAGCTACACCGACTTCAAGACCTGCATCACCGACAACAACGCCACCTCGACCGAGTACATTGACTCCTTCATCTTCCAGAACCCGGCCGGCTCCTTCTTCCAAAACAACAACTCCATCCTCTCCCCCTTTACCGACCACATCCGCCAACACATCCTCCCGCCCTCGCTGCCGGAAGGCGCCAAGCCCATCAAGAACCTAATAGACGCCTATTCGGGCTCTGGCCTCTTCACCATCACCCAATCCTCCCTGTTCCCGGGTGGCTCCATCGGCATCGACATCGCCGACAAGTCCATTGACTTTGCGCGGCGCAACGCCCGCCTGAACGGGCTGGACGAATCGCAGTGCAAGTTCATCGCGGCCGACGCGCCCAAGCTGTTCGAGTCCGTTTCGCAACTCGACGCGGACGAGACCGTGGTGGTTCTGGATCCGCCTCGCAAGGGGTGCGATGCCAGCTTTTTGCGACAGCTGATGCAGTTTGCGCCGAGGAGGGTGGTGTATGTCAGTTGCAACGTGCACACGCAGGCGCGCGATGTCGGCGTGTTGGTCAGGGGCCGCGTGGGGGATACATTTGGGGAAGCGTTTGTGGATCCGACGGAGGGGGAGAAGAAGATGAGTCGCTATGTGATTGAGAGCATTCGCGGGTTTGATTTCTTCCCGCAGACGGGGCATGTCGAGGGCGTGGCGATTTTGAATCGGGTTGATGAGTAGAGAGTAGTTGTGTGTGATGAATACAAGCAAAAGACGAAAAGAGGCTTTGGAACGAGATGCCGCTTACTGATCTTGGGATATAAAAAAGGATGATTTGCGGCTATCATGTGGTAACTATGCATATAGATACGGTACTTGAAATTCATACCCCTTGAAAGACTATTCATCCTCCTGTGTCGTTAGATGGTCGGTTTGCGGATGAACTCTTATTGCTTTCATCAAGTTTGTCACGTCAAGGGGAGGAATATGGTCATGGTCAAGGAGTGTAAACGACAAGTAAAGGCGTTGTTGAGAACAGGCTACCGCCTAGCGACGAGCGGACTATCAGCTACTTAGAGGTAATATAGAGGCACCACTAGAGAGCGGCTAATGTCCTCTTTGTCGGTATCACGATAATAGTCACTATGTACGATCCGTCACTAAACAATACACTAGGGTTCAGTTACCTACCACTGCCGTTGATTTACTTTTTCTGTCCCCTTTGCATTACTCACCTCATCTCTAACTCTATCCCTTTCTCACCACCCCCCTCAAGGAAACATATTAAAGCTTTAACCGCTCGATTTCGAGGGCCTACAGACCAGGAACAGCCAAAGACTTCACATCAACTATTCCATGACCACCACCAGCAGCAACAGCACCAAAAGTGAAAAAAAGAATTTGGCGGAACATCATAATGACCTTTCAGATTATTACAACTTGCGCTATCAATCGGTTTAACTCTATAGCATCTTCTTGATGACCTATTTTTTACTTGCAGAAATGACAACCGCCGACTAAACAGCCAGCGCTCTGACGTGCCGGTGCCTCATCTACAAGGCGAGACCGGCAAAGATGGCAAAGGCACCCATGGCCATGGCGGGCACGGTCATAGCAACGGCGCTGCCGGCGGCGCCGCTGGTGTTCTTGGCGTCGGATGTAGCCTCCGAGCTGGAGCCCGAGGTGGTGGAGTTGCCGGAGGAGGAGGAGACGCTGCTAGAGGACTGGATCTTGGCATCGTTGGTACCGGGAGCTGTTGTGATTTTGTTAGTTAAAGATTTCCTTGGTACTGAAAGAAGGAGAAGAAATACGCACAGTTGCTCTCGTCGTTGCTGAGGGGCTTGACGGTCAAGTCGGAGATGACGCTACCATCGGCGTTCTTGACAGTGTACTTGGACTTGAAGTTGGTAACCTCAATGAGCTTGCCGCTGGGCTTGGGGCTAACACCATTGGCGAGGATCTTGGGCACGTTGGGAGGCATGGCGGGGAGGGTAAAGTTGCCGTCAAAGTCCTTGGACTGGATCAACTTCGAGTCGCACTTGGGGGGCTTGGGGCCGGAGCCGTCCTTGGCGGACTTGACGCCCTGAATCTTCTTCCAGTCGAGCTTGGCGAACTGATCCTTGAGGGTGTAGAAGTCCTTGAGGAGGGTGACGGACTGGTCCTTGGTGTTGACGCTGACGAGACCGTAGCTGTTCTCCTCCTCGGTGTACTCGTAGACGATACCACCAGAGAAAACGGTGCTGAAATCCTCGCCGTAGATGGCGCCAACTTCGGTGAACATACGGGGCTTCACCTCGTTGCAGCCATACTCGGAGTAGAAGACGGGGACGGAGGTGTTGCTGAAGCCCTCGACGAGGTCGACGTAGCCGGACTTTTGCATGTCACTGTCGCCGCACCAGGAGTAGCTGTTGAGGGCGAAGATGTCGGCGCGGCTAGGGTCGTCGGACTTGCCGTCCTCGGCGCAGGTGAAGTACTCAAAGCTGTCGAAGAGAACGTCACGGACATCGGCGGCCGAGTAGCCGACGGGGATCTTGCGGTCGCAGTGCTTGGCGACGTAGTTCTTGATATCGCGGGTGACGGCCCTCATGTAAGGGGGGACCTGGCCGGCGGAAGAAGCGTCGTTGATGACCTCGTTTCCGGAGAAGAAGGCAAGGGTGTTGTCGTAGTTCTTGAAGGCCTCAACAACGGCGAAAGTGCGGTTGACGTAGGTGTCATAGTACGACTCCCAGGGGTTGTAGTTCTGCAGGGAGCCGGCAACCTGGGGAGAGTTGACGTCGAGGATCATGTAGATACCGGCGGCGTTGAAGATGCTGGCGCACTCGTCGTGGTTGACATCCGGGTTCAAGTTATAAACACGGATGGTGTTCACGCCGAGAATCTGGAGAATGGCAGCGTCACGGCGGCAGATATCGCCATCGCTGAGGGGGTCCTTTCCGAGGGCGGCATTGTAGCCAGCAGAGCCACCGGGCTGGTAGGCGACACCGACGATCTGGAAGATGTTGTCGTTGGGGTCGACGAAGAACTGGTTCTTGACCGTCAAGGGCTTGACGGCGGCAGCGAGGGTCGCGCTGAGCGCGATAAGAGTCGATTGGATCTACAGTCACATATAGCGTCAGTCATTGCGGCTGTTTCCCACAACGTTCACATGCGTGCCACTGCGATGTAGTGTACATGCTACTGCAGTAGAGCTGCATATAACATGGCCAAGAGGCTGCGCCGGCGCATACTTACAAGCATGGCAATAGTATGATGGGGTCTGGAAATTCCGCAGCTACTGGATTTGCAAGTCGAGATGACCGAGTTCGGTTGTTGATTGACGACGGGTTGTTGCTCTGGTGATCTGCCCAAATACTAGTAGTAGTAGATCGAAGGGCAACGAAGACTCGAAATGAGAAAACGGCGGTCGGCAGGAAATCACAACAAAGCTGTCTAAAGGAGCGACAAGAAGAAAGAGCGGAGCCTCAGATCAGGCAAATCGGACGAACGAGTGTCAGGAATTAAAGAAGGTGCAGAGAATGCGACTCCAACAAGACGCCAAAGTCGATGCGTTGTACGGAAAAGACGGGGACGAAATAGAAAGGAAAGAGAGGAAAGCAAGGAAGAAAAGGGAGATTCCAAGGCGCAAGTTGGAACAGGCCAAGATACCAGGGGCGGCACACCCCAAGCCGAACACGGGCAACAAGTGAAAGTGTCATGGTGATTTCGGCGTGGTTGGGAAGGCCCATGGGGGCACCGCTCCACACAAGCGAGCTAGCGAGGTTAGCCAAGTGTCAGGGTAGGTAGAGGTATTGGATACCTTCTCCCCTGCCGCGCAGGACTGTGGCACCTGAAGTAGCTAGTTCATAACTCCCCTTGATTACTGCTTCACCCAATTGCAGTCTTATTCGGCCGTTCATCACCATTTCTTTGGAAACAACACGGGGGCACCCTTTGTTCTTCGCGTTCTTTTAAACAGTGTCGCGCTAATCTGAGAAGAATCAAGTCATCTTCCGTTGCAACCTCCTCCCATTTATCTGCGGATCCAATCCTCTCTCCACATTCTTCTTGTATCAATGCCAAATACCTACATACTTCAAAAAGCCAAGTGTGGTTCATTCCTAAAGTTATTGTGACGGATTCATGGAGCAGGAATAAGGCTGTTAGGTTACTGACGATCGCCGGCATGCTACCTTTGTCTGAGATTAAATGTGATTTCCATGGTCCCCATAAATTATATTACAACTCGTACTATCCCTGCACAGCGATGGGATGACAGAGAGACACTCCCGCGCCGCCTCTGTTTGAGATTAGGTGCTGTTTAGATCTTGGCCACGACCTGTCAAAACGGCTGTGAGGAAGTTGTGAGAGCTTCTATTGTTTCTCAATGCCACACATATGATCATTGTGTCACTCACGCCGTCACAGGAAATGTCTGGGAACGACACCCGAACTCTCACGGGAGATGTGCACAAGCGGCAGGAGCTCTGATGCAGGCACACAGAACCGCTGCTGTCTATTCGCACGGACAGGCACATAAGTACCTGAGCGGCAATGACGATTTGTAAATCTGTCGGTAGCAGCCGGCTTCAACATCTTTCCATCGCATCTGTGATCTGGAATTTGCCTCCCTCATTGCTTCCAGTATCAGGTGCTGCTGTTGAACGTCTGAACATGATGACAAAGCAACCATTCAGCGTCTGGATGACCTCCTGTTCTGGAAGCTGCATAGAACATTCTTTTCCAACGAACTAGTGCCGTGCGCATCGCCAACCGGTATGTAGTGTACATACTTGATTGATTACGAAGCAACGTTAGCAGGTATAACCTGAACTCATCCATTGTTGATGCCATCAACTTGCACTTGACAACAAACTTCAAACCTCTCGCGCAATTGCAAATAGTACAAACCATCATCCCTTTCGGTTCATACTTCCTTGCATTGGTCTTGGAGTTTTGGGTACACAGCTATCAAAAACACTCATTGCAATCACGACCTTTAACTGAGATCTCATCTATATCAGCTGTCCCTGATTATTCAACTATCAAGATCGCGGGCGCAGATACTCAAAATTACGCAAGTTCTTATCGAGTAGTCCATATTAATCATAATGAACGATTCGGAGCAAGAGTCGCAGCCAAAAGGCGCACCGCTGCCACTCGCATCAGAGGTCAGCACATCATACATCAACGATGGCGAACACTTCGAAATGACAATCAAGTTCGCCCCCGAGAAACACTCCCAAAGTTGGCTTTTTAGGGACGACACCACTTTCGAGGACCTTCTCATGGCCCTCGGCCACCAATGGCCTGAATACGATTTTTTGAAATCGAAAGCTATCGTCGAGAAGCGCCAGTCACCACCATCATCATCATCAACAACAAAGACTAAATCCCTCCTCAAGACTCCAGACGACGATGCCCTCCCCATGCAGCTCTACGCCGGCAACTCCCTCCGCTTCATGGCCCCCAAGAAATCAGCCCTAGAATCCCTCCACGCTGCCTCCGCCTCGATCGCCAAGCGCGAAGCAGCCCTCCAAGCCCAGCGGCGCATGGCTTACAAAGGCCGACCAGCTCCAACAAGTAGCCAACGAACCGGTGCCGGTGGGATCCACACCATCAACGGCTCAACAGATTCAGACACCCGCTTCACCTTCCAAACCATCCGGCCCCTCCCTCACCTCCCCAACCCCTCCCGAAGCCTTTCCTTTCTTAACCGGCTTGCCTCTGACCCCGGTATCCGCACCGCCATGCGCTCGCACCAATTCACCGTCGGCTTGTTGACAGAAATGGACCCGGGG